GGGGTTTGTTGGGGATTTCCCCTTTTAAACGGTGGGCTCCTCCGGGTACAGGTCCTCCTTGAGCGGGATGCCGAGCTCCTCGCGCAGGGGCTTGAGCTCGTTCAGGTACTGCTCGTACTGGCCCGGGTTCTCGACCTTGGCCTTGATGCCTGATGCGGTATGTCAGCGGTGAGTCAGGGCTGCAAACATCGAGCTCGTGGAGATATTTCCCGCATGGGTTGGACTTTTCGTACCCTCGAAGATGCGGACGGCGGTGGGGAAGTCGTTGACTCTCCGCGCGGCGCGCAGGGCGGCGGACAGAACCGAGGGGGAAGGGACGAGATCGTAGGCGAAGGCGTTGTTCAGGTTGCGCTGCGCATTGTTGAAGAGACTCGGGTCAGCGGAGCTGTTGACGGGACTTGGGCGGTTCTTGGGCATACCTGGAGCTCGAAGACGTCCTGAACATTGTCGAACTCCTTCTCGTAGCTGTCCAGAACTCAGTAATCAGCAGCTGGGCCGGTCGTAATAGCTGTGGCTGGTGCGCTGGGCCGGGGTGGTTGGACCAAATCGGGTCACGTCATGGGCGCGAAGCTAGCAGGCGAGCTATGGAAAGCTCTGTTGTGCTCTCGAGTGGGCGACTCACCGAGCGGAAAACTCCTCAAAGGTCTCCTCCTGGTGCTCGGAGTGCATGCGGGCCGATGTGCTGAAGCTGTTGGCCGCCAGGATCGGGGCGGCGAGGCCGGCTCGAGCAGCCATGGGCTGTGGGCGGGCAGAGACGAGGTTGGCGCGAAGGAAGCTGGAGGGGCCGCGAGCGGCAACGCGGAGGAACGAGGCCGACATTTTGTTGGGTTTGATCGAAGTCTCGAGCTGGGAGGAGGCGTGGGGCGGGCAATTGGCGGGGCTGGGAAGCTCGACAACGATGGGCTGGCCCGGGAAAGAGCGCTTGGTTTGGCGATGGAATTGGATACGGATATAGTCGAAGTCAGTGTGCCGACTGTGCGTTGGTGTTGATCCAAGCAGCCCCGGTTATTGGCATTTGGCATCGAATGATCATTCGGCTATGCGAGCCTTACTTGTCGCTTAGTCGACTAGCGGGATCTTCGCTGTACCTGAACCACCCCGCCAATGAAATGCTGCGCATTGATCAATTGATTCTCAGCGGCAGTGTGGCTTGCAGACTTGCAGTGTCGCAATGATGTGGCTTGAAACCTGCGGAAAGTGATCTGTGGTGGACGCCAACATTGAACGACGACTCCAAGGCATCTGGGAGATGTATCATGTGCAAACCGACACCATATTGGCACCACAGCAGGTATCATCACTGTGCGATCATCAATCCGGTCATGGCCGACCTCGCCAGGAACAGCACAGGGATCTGATATAGAAAAGCTAATAGCGCAAAGTTGCATTCGATATTCTTACTCCGAATCAACCTCAGCCTCTTAACAACAACCTGTTCCGAACCTGGCATTCGTCAACATAGACCTTTTTCTCTTGACGCCAGGGGCATGCGCGATGGTTCTGATCAACAGTCTCAGACCCATCCCGGGGCCGCGGACGCCGGGATAGAGTCTCCAAGACCCTGACATCCGAGACTGCCTCAGCACTCTCGGCACCTTCGGCACCTCCCGAGACATCTCCAATGATGTTGCCGCGCAGGCGATAGCGAAGGCAGCCGCCGCCCAATCTGTCCCCGAGCACAAAGCGGGCAGTTTCGATCCACATCCCTGATCTCAAACAACTTAATTGTCAGCTGCAGTAAAAGGTGCCGAGCAGCCCAAGCCTCCGGCTACCTCGGACCAGAGACTCAAGCCGGGAAGCGTGATGCAGCAGAAGAGGTAACCTTTGTTTGCTTTAGGAATCCGTTGCCTCCAGCCCTGTGATTGTGAACTCTGCCACCAGAATGTCGAAGTAACTTGCAATTGAACTGCTGGCACAGTCTCGAGAACATGAACACCTCAACGACCAGAAGACACCCGAGGCCCAGGAATCGTGGTGTGGGCCGGATCTGACAGTGGCCGAAATGGCAACTGATTGGCCGGCAAAACTTCACATGCAGGAACCAGGAAATGAGGTTTTGGGGGGCAGTCAATCCCCTTTCTGGGGCAGGCCTGCTGAAAATTATTTGGCCCCTTGTCCGCAAACGTGGGAATCGCGATTCTCAACATCTGCAACAACCTTCCTTCCTCGGTGGCAACTCTCCCCAGCTACTTATTGATTTCCGGCTGTGAGGGAGCTGCCTGAGATCGCCTTTTTTCCTTCACTTCGTTTTTCTTTTTGGCGTCTTGACTTAGCCAGTCCTCCTGCCAATTACTTTAATAATCCCAACCGTCATTTTCATCGACGTGTCGCGCGTCAAACCTCGCATCGCTAGGTTGGTGCAATCCGTCCTTCCCAAGATGTCCACAACCGTCCACGCGAGGCGCTGTGGCATGCTATCAGGCATGAGCTGACTGATCGGGTGCGCAGAACTAATCGACCCCTCGCATCGAGCAACCGTCTTGCACAATGGCGACCGCTCTCTTTGACAAGGTGCCGGTCCCAACGCTGGACCGGCCGTTCGGCATCCACCTGTGGCCCATCTTCAACAAGGCCTTCGAGTACGTCGCTGGCTATCCGGCCGATGACTTCAGGTTCCAGTCGGGCGTCACGCCCATGTCGACGCTCAAGGAGACGAGCATCTTCATCGTCATCTACTACACAGTCATTTTTGGCGGCAGGGAACTGATGCGCAACCGCGAGCCGTTCAAGCTGCGCACCCTCTTCTTGATCCACAACTTCTATCTCACCGCCATCAGCGCCATCCTGCTCGCCCTGTTTGTCGAGCAGATGCTGCCTACCGTCGTCCGTCATGGCATCTTCCACGCCATCTGCCACACCGAGGGCGGTTGGACCCAGCCCCTGGTCGTTCTCTACTACGTGAGTCTGCCCTCCTGGTCTGTGTCGGCATGTTTTCCGTATGTTGGTGCTGACGCAGATTTAGCTGAACTACCTCACCAAGTACCTGGAGCTTCTGGATACCTGCTTCCTCTTCCTCAAGAAAAAGCCCCTGACCTTCCTTCACTGCTACCACCACGGCGCGACGGCTCTCCTCTGCTACACGCAGCTCATTGGCTCGACAGCGGTGTCGTGGCTTGTCATCTGCCTGAATCTTTTGGTGCACGTGGTCATGTACTGGTACTACTTCCAGAGCGCCCGCGGTATCAAGATCTGGTGGAAAGAGTGGATTACGCGCCTCCAAATTATCCAGTTCGTCATCGATCTCGGTAAGTTCTATCGGATGCCGTCTCTTCTCGGGTTCTTCGACGATATGCTAATCTCCAGTACAGGCTTCGTGTACTTTGCGTCGTGGACATACTTCACGTCGACGTACTGGCCTTGGCTCCCGAATGTGGGAAGTTGTGCGGGTGAGGAATTTGCGGCTTTGTCGGGCATTGCCATCCTCAGCTCGTACCTCTTCCTCTTCATCTCATTCTACTTTGCCACGTACAAGAAGGACGGCAAGCGGCCTAGCGGGCGCAAGGCTGTTCGCCGGATGAGCCAGGCCCCACTGCCGGATCCCATCCATGGCACGATTACCAACGCCAACGCCAACGGCTACGCGACCGGCCAGGACGCCAAGGCCAACGGTTCCAAGACCAACGGCAGCGCCACTCGCTCGAGGAGAGCCTAAGCTCGCTCACAGTGAAAGCGTGCCGGAGGAACCATGACCAAACCCGTTTGCCCCAGGCCCGTCACGAAACAGATGCCAGCGGGTGCTCGGGCTGAGGAAGAGACGCCGTTCAACTAGGATATTTAATGAGTAGAATTTATACAGCACGCAACCGCGGGAGGACCATGGACGCGCCTTTGGGAAGGCTGGCAAGAAATCTATTCGACACCATAACGTGGGCATACTGGTATTCCGGGGTTTCAAATGTGGGGAGAAGGAATCTCAACGTCGTCTTGGGAGCTTTCATGACGACGTCGCCGGTGAAAAAGACATGGCTCGCCAGAGCAGTCGGCGTGGCAAATATATGAGTTGCATCATGACCAGGGCAAGGGGCGCGTGTACGATGGATGGGCTGAGTATGGTTTGGCATTCATGGGCGGCATCGGAGTCTCAATCGCCAGGCAGGGTTGGCGGGCGGGGGCGTTGCAGGCCTGTTTTGTTGGGTGTGAAGCGCAGCGGCTCAGATACGGTGGACTGTGTTCAGAGCCCGGGTTCGGCATGTTTCGATTTTCTTTATGCCTTCGTCTCGTTTATGTGTATACGTTTGTGCTGTACTACTGGCCTGAGCGGATACAAGCGGGCATCCATAAACAGTCTTAATAATATTGGGTTGAACATGGAAGCGTGGTCGGGCATGGAACCGTGTATTCCGGCGCGTCACCTGGGCACATATCTTGGGGGGGTGGGGTGGCTGGCGGCATCCCCATATTGCCTGTCATGCCTTGTGTGGGACCAACTTCGCGGAACCTGGTTCCCGGATGTGAACACAGATGGAAGATGGCCATGTCTGCCGTCGCAGAGATGCGGGACTTCCCGACTCTTCCACCCAAACTGCATTGGCGAGTGCATGAGTGCGCTCGTACAATACAATCCCGCTCGATGGCGCTGCCGTATTCACACGTTGGAAGCTCTCACCGTAGCATCCTTACTACACCAGAACCATGGAGAGGGCCGAGCTGCCTAGCGCCCTTGGGACGAGGATTCTTGATCCCGTCGCTGATGCAACACCTGGCGTAGCGGCGATGCTACCGGGTGTCATGGAGACATGTTGATACCTGGGCTATAACAGCGAATATGCCGTTGGGGCAGAGTTCAAGGCGACACTTCGAGCAAGCAAGCAAGCAAAGTCGGGGGTGGACGTCAACTTTAGCTTCGCCGAGATGCGCGCCGACGGCAGCTCTGCCGAGCGAGGAGAGAATCAGATGGAAGACACTGACTGCCAAGACGTCAATTCAAGGATATGGTTGAGCGGATCACAGACAAGAACAAGCCGTCGGAACCAGCTGGCCGGAGCCGTACACAGTACGCCATACTACATAGCTGGTGCTGGCGGCTGTCGTACCGGAGTTCGGACCGAAGCCATCTGAAAAGTGGCAGCGAGATTGGCAGGATCAAGCACCCGGTTTGGACGGTGGGGTTCGCCGCCCTTCCAATTTCGTCCAAATCCGGGTTCATGGGCGCCGCAGCCGTGGTTGCAAGCAATGGCAGAATCCGGGGAATCATCCAGGGGCCTGCAGTGTGATCACGCTGGAGCCGCAATGTTTGTCTGGCCAGAGTCACTAGCACAGCCGCCAGACGCGCCAAGCCGATTAAGGTTGCTTTGGTCGAGGAGGCCACTTCCGCTTCCTATTCGAGAAGTCGCAAAACCCGGCGACCGAGTCCGCTTGGCCCCACGGCGATGCGACCTCGACGATGGGAAGAGTGGGAGGGAGGGCTGGATGACAGGAGGGGCGAAGGCTTCATCAGGGAGAAAGAGGGGAAAGGGGGGGAGGCAAGTGTCGAGTATAAATAAGATGGCTCGATTCCTCGAACCTCGAGATCCTCCCAGAGTTTGACAGCCAGTCCTCCTCCTCTTCCTCCAGCAAAGTCTACAAGAAGAGAAAAACCCCAAGAGATGAAGGCTTTCACTCTCGTCGCTCTGGCGACCTCGGTCGCGTCGGTCAGCGGCCACTCCATCTTCCAGAAGGTGTCGGTCAACGGCGTGGACCAGGGCCAGCTCAAGGGTGTCCGCGCCCCGTACAGCAACTCGCCCATTACCAACATCAACGACGCGGCCATGGCTTGCAACACCAACATCCAGCTCAAAGACAACACCGTCATCAAGGTGCCCGCCGGCGCCCGCGTTGGCGCCTGGTGGCAGCACGAGATTGGCGGGCCCTCGGGCCCCAACGACCCGGACAACCCGATCGCCGCCTCGCACAAGGGTAGCACTCACTCGCCCCTTTTTATTTTTATCCACTCGTCTTTGCTGACAGGTACATGTCGTAGGCCCCATCAGCGTCTACCTCGCCAAGGTCGATAACGCCGCGACGGCGTCGGCCTCGGGCCTGCGGTGGTTTAAGATTGCCGAGCGCGGCCTCAACAACGGCGTGTGGGCCGTCGACGAGCTCATCTCCAACAACGGGTGGCACTACTTCACCATGCCGTCGTGCGTCGCCCCCGGCCACTACCTGATGCGGGTCGAGCTGCTGGCGCTGCACAACGCCTACTCGGCCGGCGGCGCCCAGTTCTACATGGAGTGCGCCCAGATCGAGGTGACGGGCTCGGGCACCCACACGGGCGCCAACTTTGTCTCGTTCCCGGGCGCCTACCCGGCCAACGACCCGGGCATCGTCCTCAGCATCTACGGCACCGGCGGCAAGCCCGACAATGGCGGCAGGCCCTACCCCATCCCCGGCCCGGACCCCATTACTTGCTCCGGCGGCAACAACCCGCCCCCGACGACCACGACGGCGACCTCGGCCCAGAGCACCCCAACCGGCGGCTCCGGCGGCACCGTGCCCCTGTATGGCCAGTGCGGTGGGAGTGGGTACACGGGCCCGACGACCTGCGCCCAGGGCACCTGCAAGGTCTCGAACCAGTGGTATAGCCAGTGCCTTCCTTGAGAGAGAGGTTTGATCTTCCCCAGAAAGACTTCCTCGAAAAATTGCAGATTGCATGGAGGAGGAGGCTTGGTCAGGGGACACATTCTTTGTATATAGTTGATCTTTTGATCTTGGCTTCATGTCTATACCTAGCTTCTGAATGCAGTACATATGGTGCACAATACATGCGCATACATTTGGCCGGATAATCTCTACAAGCATGACCGGCTGAGTCTTGGGCGACATTGGTGATCCGGGCCCCTGCCCGGGTCAGGTCCGGGGGCCGGCAACTCGGGGTCCGCCCGGTCTTGGCCTTCGTGTTGGTTCGGCGTCCGTCCTGGGTCAGACCATGTCAGACCGGAAAGAAACTTGAATAAAAGCTGGATGCATGGGGTTGAGCCAGACTAAAAATTAAAAACGGTGAATGTATACGATCGTTTTCCTTTTTTCTTTTTTTTTTTTTTTTTTAGCACACTGCGCTCTTGAACCTCTTCGATCACCGCCCCCTGAAACCGTGATCGTCCTCTCCCGTCACCGGCATCTACCCTGCCCGGGCCGCACGAACTTCAAAAGTTGCTGGGATGACTGCACTACACATAAGCTCGATACCTATGTAACGTACGAAGCCCTCAACTGCTGATCCATAGCTGATTTGAGGCTAAGCCAAACAACTCATTATTTGCATCGAGCAACTCCTCGCTCGTGCACCGCGATGCTCATCCAGTGACCAACCAATCCATTGCCACAAGCCCCTTTGCTACCTATTGGGCCGGATGCCCCCGTACATCCTCTCATCCGGGGGACTAGGGACAAACGGACGGGAGTGGCCAACCTTGAAAATGATCCCATGAAGGTATGAAGATGTCGGTGTCTGACAAGGCGGGGTAGGCAACCAAACATCCAGCAGCAGTTAGGTCGCCCCTGAGTTGAACTCAACAAAGTAGAGCGTGGCGCCAAGACGAGAGGTTCACCACACAGTCGGCGTCAAACCACACCTTCCCGATACAGATGTTCTCGCCGAATCAAATCCACTTCAAGTTTCTTGAAAATTGCTTCCACCTCCTCTTCCACTCCTGTCACACCTGAGGCGCGCTAACTCATGTGGAAAATATCTACAGTCGCATCCCGTGCCTGCGTTCGCCGTTTATCACAAGCGTTACATGGTCCCTGCATCACACACATGGTGGTGGAGCTGCGAGGTGCCTTGAGACAGAAGCGAGGCCATACCCGATATTTGTATCGCACGGTTTTCTTGTGCTAATCGCTCAGCAAAGCGGGATCTTCTACCCATGATCTTTGCTCTGGAATGCGCGCAACGACACGTTCCGAGGGTTATTTCTAGCGGAGGGGCCCTTCGCTTCGAGCGGTGGCAGGGGACAGGATGCATTGAAACAATAAGCCCTTGCAACGAACGGACGGAGATGGTATCCAGCACCCCAGAAACGGAGACAGACGAAAGAAGGGTTTGTCGAAATAAAGGCTTCCAGAACAAAGAAGACCACTGTCAGCCCTGTATTCTTGTGAACCCGAGGTCGGTGCACCCAGGGATGAGACTGTCTCAGCGAAGAGGCATCCCGGCCATCTAAAACCGGGAGCATATCGGACCGCGCTTGGTCCCTGTTTCGACTGATTCCAGCGGGCGCAGATAACGCGTGGAAACATGTGGCGAAAGAAAGTCTGGATTTCAGGTCCGAGTGTCAGTTCTGTTCTTTTTACATTGTCACAGCTGGGTTGGGATCGCCAGGAATGTAGAGCTGGGATAATGAGCTTGAAGATGCTGAACGGAGCATTCTTCTTGATTTGTTACTGTAGATCCTCAAAGTGAGAACAAAGACAGGAAAGAAATGCCAGATAATCAGTCTGAGCCGTGGTATCATCATCCCAAAAACAAAACCCAGTTATGCCATGTAGTGTCGGCTCAACCCAATCTTTCACTTCCCTAACGCCTGCTTTCCCAGCAACTTTGTGTGCTCCAATGATAAAAAGCGCCGTAGATCCTGACCCAACGAACCCATCCGCCCGCCTATCAGACGCCCTGTAAATGCAAATTCAACTCAGATCGCTCATTGTTTTAGACCTTCCCCGTTAATTTGACGCTCCTCCGCCGGGCCGCCAACCCGCCCAGGATCCCCCGCTTCGTCGCCGCCGTCGCAGCCGCCGCCGGCCCGGGTGACGTGGGCGACATGATGTCGCTGGGCGGCGACGGCGCCCCGCCCATGACGGTCGCGTTGCGCTTCACCGCCCGCAGTATGTCGGTGTAGGTGATGGGTGTCATGGGCGTCTTGGGCTGCTGCTCATGCTTTGCTGTGTCGGGTTCGGGCCCTCCCTCGTCGCCATGCACCACTGTGGCCGGTGGTGGTGGTGGTGGTGACTGCACCGAGCTCCTGTTGGATGATAGTGCGTCCAGTTTCGGCATCGACGTCTGCGGCCCCGGACTCAGTGCTGGCCTGCTGCGCTTCCGGACCAAGCTGAGGGACCGCGTGACTCCCTTGAGCAGCGCCGTTGGCGTGCGCGGCGTCTTGGCCGTCTGGCTCTCGCCCTCGAGGCTGTCGAGCGCCTTGGGCATGTTTAACGAGTAACTGCTGCCGTTTGCGTACGGGTCAATGCTGAGGAAGGGCGGTTTCTTCTTGATTAGGATTTCAGATAGGAGGATGCTGCTTCTCCTGTTGGGCGTCGTGTTCTTGCTAGGACGGGACTGGGAATATCGCGACGAAGCGGTGCTTGCCGGGGTGATTGGCCGATCCTCTGTCGTAGCGGATGCTGCCGTCTGAGGTTTGGTGAGAGCGGACGACTCGGTGCTACATCGTGTCCTGGTCGTGCCCAAGGAGGTACTCGAAACGGGTCGTTTCCTTGCGGCAGGCAGGTCGACAATTGACGGCTTGCCCGCGAATACCACTGACACCACCCGAGCCGTGTCCTCATGACTGCTCCTGCTAGTGGGCGAGGTCGGATCCTCCACGCTCGAATCGTAGTCATAGTCGGAGAAGTCGTCGGCGTCGGACGAAACGTCCTCTTCGGACGAGAGGTAGACATCGTGCGGCGTGGTCGCCTGGCCCAGCCCGGTTGCTTCCACGGCACCGCCCAGCTTCATTCCGAGGTTGTCGAGCATCTTGGACACTCGGAGGCCGCTCCTCGGTGGTAGCTCTGGGACATTGTCGCTCGAACGAACGCGCTTGGGGCTTGGGCCCACAGTGTCTTGGGTGTCCATGTCGTAGAACTTGTCAAAGATGGGCTCGTCAAAGGCTGCTGGTTGTGATGAGAGAGGAAAGTCGTCTTTGTCGTCGAGGGTCAGGGTATTTGTGATGTCGATTGCATGGCCTGCCTTCCTCGCGGGAAGAGGTTGGTCCACCAGGGACATATCTTGAGGGAGAAGGTTCAGAGCGAGAGGCTAGAAAGTGACCAACAAGGGAGAGAGCAAAGCTTGAACGTCAATGTCTCAGTCGTATAGAGGCGTGTTTGTCTGAGGGATGGCGGTATGGTATGACTGGCATGGAGGAACACGCCCTGAGAGGTTGGGAGGGTGGGAAGGTATTTTAATGGAAGACGGTGGTGCCCAAGATCGACGAACCCTGGAAGCTCCTGTACATAAGTGGACGTCAAGCGCCGAAAAGCAGCCAAAAACGGTCTGCAGTGACTGGCCCGCCATCACCGTCGGCCGCCAATCTGCTTGGTGGGTGTGGCATGTGGGCGTAAGTGGTGCGCAGGAACCTCCGTCCCGCGATAGTCTATACAAAGAAGCAGGTCCGTTACGAGCAAGAAAGACGGATGAATGGCTCGCCTCGCATGACAAGCCTCCACATGCCAACCCTGTCCCTGCTCCCGGCCGGTCCCCGTCCCCCGCTGATCCTTGCTCGCCTCTCCACAAGCAGCCAGCCAGGGTCGATTCTTTCGTGTCATCAACAGCATCTTCGGTTGTACTCAGGAGAGAGTTGGAAACGATAGCATGGAGGGCCTGAACCGAGTCACCAACGCTTTACTGGAAGGAATGATCCGCCCATCTGCTAGAGCCAGCTGAGTGAGGACTGGCCGTCGTCTCGGCTGCGATCGAGGGCCGTCGAAATGGCGAGCCCTGGTTGGCCGTAGCTCTTGTTTCAGGTAGAGCCGACCCTCGGCCTCAACCGACGTGCGAAGTGCCCGCCAAGCGTGCGATTTTCTACCGAACCCATGAACCCACCTCCAAGAAGAATCATCAGTCGCGTCGGGCGAGACTCTTGGATTTCGCATTGTTGGGTTCGCGGCCGGTTTGTGATCCGGGGCTGGAAAAGACCCCCTACTGCGTAAGATGAAAACGGGATTCTCGTTTTCCGGGTCACAGCCACCACTTCGTGACCGGCAGTCAGCCTCTTCCTGTCATCAGCCCCAGCTAGGCCCGGCCAGCCAGTCTGTCAACAGACACTAATTCATCGGCAACGTGACCGCTGCATTCAGTTAACCAATCAGCAGTGACTCGCCATTGCCGCCGTACTGAGTTGGGATTCCGTTCTCGTGCCAATCGCCGTTTATTACCCAAACACTCGGCCCCTCACGAACCTCGCTGCCAATGAAGATTCGCGTGGGGAACTCCTTGGGCAGTTCCCTCGCAGTCGAAACAGCTTCGCGACGACGGAACTTTCTCGCAGCGGCTGGCCGGTGCTGCACACCATCTCTGCAACAAACCCACACACGGTAAGTAGATTGAGAGCTCCGAATTGGGCTGGTCTTCGACTGCACGGCCTCTGCCCGCCCGATTTCTCAGCCAGTTGAGATGCAACAGAGCCTGACGACCCCGATCACCCACCCACCTCTGCATCGGCCGCCCTCCCTGCCCGGTCGCCCTGGATTCGAATGCAAACCAGGATCCTCCGACATCCTCAAGCCATGTTGGCAGAGCCATCCGCCGTGCCCTTGAGCCGGCCGTTCGTGCGGGTGTCGTTCGTTGTTGGCCTTGTTGATGGAGTGTCTGGGTGCCTTACTTACGCAGTACCTAGTTAACATGAATCACGAGATTGCCTTACTGTGGTAAGAACGGCCGGCCGGCCTCTAGATCCCCGGCCGCCAAAACGGAAAGGTTTGTTGTCGGCTTTTCCCACGCTTTGCTCTGAATTCAGCTTAGATTCGAGGCTCGAGCCCCAAAGTGCAACCTAATGAAGGCCGCCGACTTTGTAAGCAACGGCCATTATGGCCCACCAGGGGGAAACAAAACAACGTTGATTATACACAAAACGATGACAGATGTTGGAAAACCATGTCCTTTACTGTGTAGTCTGTTGAACTAACTCCAAGCTCCCTTCTTCGGTTTTCCGCTGGGGGCGGGGGCTTTTTCCCTTTTCCTCCTTGCGCCTCTTCTTGTTCACTCCTATTTCCGTTTCGTTATTCTACTCTAACCTTCTTCACCCCCATTCTTAGCGTCACCATGCACCCTTAATCACCTTCCTCGCTTGATCTATTATCACTTATGAGTTACAATAGGTTACACGACGCATACTATGGACTATGGAGGCTCGTCTTGCAGCCGTACGGACCAACTCAATCCGATCTGCTTGATGGAAGGCACATTCACATGATACCGGGCTGCATAGTGAATCAGCCACCATTGCGGCCAGCTCATTAACTACCTACATGTATTACATGATTGTCGGGTGGGTTGAAAGCTGTCCTGTTCGACGGAGCGCCAAAAGATTGACACGACATAACTGAGTTATTATATTGAAGTGCGGATATGGAGGAATGGACTGCCTACCAACCTCAGCATATAAGAAACAGGACGCTTCCAGCTGTCCACCACATGATTGATATTGAACTCCATGTACCCCAGGCTTCTTCAAGTTATCGTGTTATCAAGACACAGTCTCCTACGGATTCCTAACAAGCACCGCGAGCCACATCACCCACATCACCACTCTCGGGTCAACTCTCTGCAAGTACTTATACTTCTGACTACCCAGCACTGCAGCAAACATGCCCGAGCCAGAGAGCCCAAGGTGCGTTTGCTTACGGCGCATATATTACCGGGCTTGCGGCCATAGCTATACATACACAAGCCGATATGGATGTCACGCCAAATTCCACATCATCAGGATTGAGACGATTCAGCATACTTACAAGTGCGCTCCTTGGGAGATAATGCAGACGTGAGGTAGACCGGCATTTGAGCGGGTCTTGCTGGGAGAAGGCCGGCCGCAACGGGCGGAACTTGGGCCGATGTTGAGCTGGAGACGAGGGAAGCAAAAAGATGGCATCCGTGGAGTTGTGTTTTGGCTTCACGTTTCCACCTTGTGTCTTCCAAGTTTGGCTTTCTGATTGCTTTCCGCGGGAAACGCTGCTTGATGTACTCTATCGTAAATGAATATGCTCCAAATCTCAAGAGCATGCACTTCTTATTACTGAGAAACTCCGACTGTTGGCGGCGTTTTGGTTGGAATACTGTGCCATATCAACAATCCGATCATCAAGCCTCGTGTAAAGGTGGCCGCAATGCCCTTTGCAATGATGATGGTATCAACCATGACAAGAGTCAGTGTAATCAACACGCATTACTTTGCAGGGAATCGTGGCAGCTTGTGAGGAGGACACAGAAGTCAGGCCAACCCAGAAGCGGAAAGAGGAGATGTCTAGTAAGGTATCTATAGTCCAGCGGCAGCGCACATCCATTTGACAAGTCGAGCATAAGAATCAGGTAGACTTAGGCGATTGAACTAACTGTCGTTTCACATTTAGGTAAGTACCTTTAAACTTAGGTTAGGTGTCTTATGAACAAATACTATGGCGATGTTTACCTCCGATTGCAGCTGAGGTTATAGCTTAGTGCACACCCTGGGACCGGCTACCCGTTGCCTTGACGACACTATTGACTAGTGATAAAGTTTTTGAAGGGTAGATGGATGAGGTTGATAGTGTATATACCTTAAATCCGTCCGTCGCTTCATACGGTGTACTTGTAGGAATGGATGGTTGCTACTGCAGTGTCACTATCATGACTGCTGAACAGTGTCCCGTTGCTGTTGAACGCCTTCTCCGTGCTCGAGTTAATGTTACGATAAAACGGCTCTGCACCGTTTTTGCGGGAGCATCGCTGCACTTGGCCCTGGTATGGATGACGCATGACTCTGACCTGTTCAAGGTAGATTCCAAGGGCAATGTAGCATCCGGCTTGATTGTTCGCAGGCTTGTCTAGTCGTTAATTCGGTCGATCATATCAAGCGCTGGGAATGTGAGCGTCGCGTCTGACGTTGAAATGCATCAACTCCTTCCACACCCAGCACTTGCACACCCAACACTTCAACCCTTGAATCTGGCATTGCGTCATGATGAGACAGAGGGTTGCAGACGGACTGTGGTCCAAGCTTCTTAAAGCTTGCAGTCTAACCTAGTACGGCCTAGCGTTATTATCTGTTTCTAATCTTGTCTCGGCTCAGAACCCCACATGCACTGCCGATGCCGAGATCTCGTGTGACCACCCTGGTATTCCTGCGCCCGTAATAAACTTTATCTTCACCTAGGTCCCAGAGCTAGATACGACATACTCTGTCCACAAACGACCGTATCCGTACTGCAGCCTCTCGCCAAGTCAGCAACGCGAAAGTATTCGGTATAGTTACTGAGGAAAAAAGAGGCTGTTCTACGATTCATTCTCCGCCATGGCCGAGACGGAGCACAGAAGTCGAGTTTCGGCTCTTGCGCATCCAACGGAATGCGGAATGCGGCTGACTCGGCTGAGGAACGTCAGAGGACGAATCATTGTTCCGCCTCCACTACCACAAGTTACCGAGTTGAGAGCCAGGCTGACGCTGGGTTTCTGGAAAACGCTCGGCTGGATGCCTCTCCGGCTATGGGCCATCACCGTCTAGGTTCCCGCTCCGGCGGGGCCCTACACCGTTCGGTGTCCATGAATAGGGAATGCTTACCACACAGTTCAGCACCTTATATCATAACTGAGGGACAGCTCAATTAGCAGACTTCAAGACACCTTTATTCATGCGTCTTACCTTGGGTTTTTCTTGGCCTTGTCTTCCTCCTAGTCAAGCCAGCCCCTTGGTTGCCGGCTCAATAAGGCACACGGAGTCATGACATTTTTGATTTCTGACAGTTCTCGCCAAGTATCCTCCGGAACACCAACTGGAATTCAATACTCCTCGTAATCGACACATGCCATGGTGATGCCGGTCGGTATCTGCGTTCGATCACTCATTCATTCATCTTTTACCACAACCCACACTAGCGAACCGAATCCCAGGTAAGCCGTGCGGAAGATCGACCGACCGTGCCGCAGGACGACCGGACTCGCTGCGCTGCAACATAGGTAGTTAGTTGATCTTTGACTTCTTATTTTTGGGTTGCATGGATACGGTACTCACTCGGTCATTGGTTTCTCCCCGACTTCTACCCTTCGCCTTCCGCACCGTCGAGAAACTGAAGTAAAAACAGCATCACCACCATCCCGCTCCCTTGGTCCTGTTGTCACTACACAGCGGGACAGTTGATAGGATGAGGTACCGCGATCCTGCTAATTGGTGGATCTAATGGAACGCGATCGTCTCAGGAAGTCGCCCCTGGATTCGTTCATGTTGGAAGAATACTCCACCCACTTCCGTCCCTTCCAACACATCTCGAGGGGTGTTCGGGTGAGTGGTCTCGAGCAGTTAAAGGATTCATACATGGAGGCCACAAAACGGCCTGTTTGACTGTTGCAAGACACAGCTACAACTCCCAGATGGATTAGGCGCCTTTGACTGTAAGTAATATCAGTCGCGCCAGGGAAGGTTGCTCCAGTCAGTGCCGAACGAGCGTAAACAACTGGCTAGTCAGATATAGCTCGCTGTCTTGGAGGAGCTGCGCTCTGGGAACGGGTTGTCTATCTCCAGCCTTGATGCCGGAAACCCCGTTCTTTCCCAGCACCAGTGCTTCGCGAGTTCGGTCGTCCCTCTCCGGGCAGAGACCAACTTGACGGACCTCAAGCGAAAGACGTAGCCCTCGCGATCATGCTCCGTGTCCCGAGGCATGCTTGGGTTGTTGCGAGCAACTGTCGCGGTATGCATACGTGCAGGGAGCCAGCCGGGAGACTGGAGGAACGTCCCCGTTGCGGTCTGGGGACAACTGTTGATTCAGACGCTCTGTCCGCAAAGTAGGTGAATGCCACACGCCACGCCTAAGGAAGATAGCTGCGTCATCATGAAAACACGAGGGGTATAATACAGAAGAAAAGCCCAGCTTTGAGCACAACGACGCGCACGAAGCACCAAGCACCAAGGGACCAGACTCTCCGTTACTTCCCAGCCTGTCCCAGCTCCCACCTCAGACGCCAGCACGCCAAACTGTCCTTGTTGAACCAGCCAGAAACCATGACAGTTTGTTTGAGTTCCCGCATCTCCCAGGTCTCCCAACAACCAACAAGCCACAAACGCGTTTCCTCTTCTCTCCCGTCTTTCACAGAGAGAGTAACCCCTTTCACGGAGGTGGGGCACTTCTCACAATGATATCGCCCTGTTCGGCGTCACACTCCTTATAGGATGATGTAGAGGCCCCATCAGTCAGGAACATCCACTCCCAGTCCTCCCGACCTCACCGCCACAAATCCAACTTCTCCCTCTTCCTCTCGCCAGCACTGCTCTTCGGCCTCGGCCATTCATTCTCACCACCATCCCCAAACCCATCAGCACCACCACCCACAGACTGCCCTCCATCCATCCCCTTCCTTCCAGCACCCCTGCCTCCAAAACCCTCACTCGGCACCGCCAAAAACCCCCCACCCCCTCCGCCCTCCCCCCTGCCACTGACAAGCACACTCCGTCTGGCCCCGGCGCCACTACTCCACCCGGCCGCGCTGCCGCCCAACACATCCGCCCCCAGACCATAACTACTCAGCGGCCGCTCAGGCCTCATGCCACCCACCGCCGCCGCCGCGTTGTTCAACCCGCCTCCTCTTCTCCCTCCGTGACCGCCACCGCCAACACCGCCAACACGGACAAACGACCAGCCCAGCTGGTCGTCATCGCTCTTGGTGAAGACCTCGAGTTTTGCGGGGAGGTTTGTGAATTCTCCTCCCGCGCCTCCGCCCACGCCTACACCCCCAGCAGGAGGAGGAGCAAAACCAGCGGGAGATGCGAGGGAAGCAGCAAAGGGGTTGTTACTGCTGAAGCGGGGGTTGAAGGAGGAGCCGTTCAGCGAGGAGACAGACCCCTGCGGGCGGTGGCCCCGTCCGCCTCCTCCTGTGAAGGGCGCTGACGGGGGTAGTAAAGGCGGGAAGCCACCATTACCGCCTTGATGGGAGGGTCTGTTCGGGGAGGCGAAGGGCGAGAGGGAACCGCTGCTTGCGGGGCGCGCGAGGCGGCCTTCGGCGAAGGAGGGGGCGGGCGGGGGCAGGCCGAGGAGGAGATCGGGGAAGTTGGGGTCGCGGACGTAGACTGCGCGGAGGTTTGGGAGACCGCCGGAGAGCAGGGAGCCGGCGAGGTAGTTGTAGTAGCTTGCTGTGACGCCCGAGTATTTCGGGGTGGAGGGTGCGGGGGTGATCTCAAAGTGGAGGGACTCGAGGCTGGTGGATGAGAGCGGCGGGATGTTGTGCGTCCCGGCAGCGGCGTGCATGGTGGCGGATACGCTGTCGATGATGGACAGGTGTTTGAGCCGGGGCGTGTAAGCGACAAGGTCCTGCAACGACCATGCGCGGACGCCCGTTCCGTTCAGGGTGAGTACCCTCAACGCCTGCCGCGCCTCGGGCAGGACCAGCCATGCCTTGAGGCCCTCGGACGTGACGTTGGGGATATTGGTCAGAATAAACTCCTCCACGGGAGGGAAAGGCGGCAGCATCTCGTTCCATGCCAGCGCCTCGTCGGTAAATGATGGCGTCTGGCTGATCTTCAGGGCCCGGAGGTTGCTCAAATATCCAAGCACGTGGCGCAGCATGGAGGGCTCCATATCTATCCGGATGAGCTCCAGCACTTCGAGCTTGGTCCACACCCTCCCCGTCGCCAGCGTCTGCAAGCTGTTTTCCGAACCTCCCATGTACGTCATCTTGCGCAATTCGAGGCAACGCGCTTGGACCTCTAGCCGGAGGGTCAGGAAGGCCGGTTCGTCGGTGAAGAGGCCCTCGGGCAAGTCGACGTAGTGCAGATTGGGCGTCACAGCGATGGTCCGGGCCAAATCGGCCTGGCAGGCTTCGCGCAGCATGTAGGGCATCTTGAGGAATTGGACGAGCCGGCCGCGGCGCACTGGGTCTTCGCGAAGCGTCCGACAGAGGAGCTTCAGCCGAGCCTGAGCCGGGTCCTCGGGCTCGCCATTGCGGTCGAAGAAAGAGGACCGTCGTTTCCGGCGCTCGGCTAGGATGGCCTCGAGATCGCAGTAGTGGACGCTGTCGATGCGAATGCTGTGGTATCTGGAGGGTAGAGCTGGATTAGCACTCAGGTCAGGGGGAGAAGGACTGATTCGTAGCTCGGTTCGACGTACAGCAGCTTGACAGCCTCTGCCTTCCACCTCCTACAGATAGCGACGCAATGCGCGAGGTCGCGCAGGTCACACAGCATGCATGCATCCTCGACAGAGCTCTGCTCGCAGGTCGCGTAGCTTTCGTCGCGCGTATGGGGGCAGACGAAGGCAAAGATGCGCTCGAAGATGGCTTCCGGAAACTGGGCAAGGACGGCGGCTGAAGCGCGAGTTGGCCTGGGTTGGAAGTGGTTGGACTGCGCGTATGATCTCGGGTTGTAGGAGCCGGACGGGGAAGAGCCGAAGGCCCGGGAGTCATCAGACCGAGAGTTGCCATAACCGTGCCCGCCGTAGGCCGGAGTCGTCTGCTTTCCACTCGTGCTGCTGCCAAAGCCCGGCATCCGGCTGTGGCTGCTGTCGCCGCCGTTCTTGCGCTTGTCCTTGCGCCTGAAGAACTTCATCGTGCGCAAGCCAGTTGTGGAAGATTGCCCGTGAGAGGGCTAGCTAGAAGAGAGTGAGACAGGAGCGCGAAGTTGAACGAGGTGGGGTCCTGGGATATGCCTATTAGGCGGTCACCGCCTGGCCGGGATATAGGTAAGGTACAGTACATACCGCGTACCCCTGTTTCCTCAGGTACATTAGGTTACCTTAGGAACTTACTCCGGCAGTAGGCGGCTATTGCCTTAGGAGTGCTTACCTTACCGTAGATACATACCTTACCTGAATCACCCGACGGTACCTGTTGTAACAGACCGCCTCTGCTCGACAGAGAGAGGAGGCGTATGTCTCTCTGTTACAACAACGCAAGGTTCCCTGAGGTTGGAACTCATCAACCGTGTCGATCCTGGTCATGCTCAGGACAGGACTCGCTGATTTCGGGTCAATTTCAGGGCTCAAACTCTCAGATAAGTGAGGGCCAATAAACCAAACATAGCTAGATAAGGCAGGGCTGTGCATAGTTGAGACGAGATGCTGCCACTTGCACCATGTGGTTGTTGCGGGACCCTGGAGGGGTTAGGTACATAGCATAACTCTTTGGGTATCCAGGCAAGCCAGGGCAGGTTTGGATTCATGCGGGGCAAAGGACTCGGGGGCTCCTGAGTCAGTATCTGCAATCTGACATCTTGACTTCAAGCTGTCAACGTCAACAAGAGTTCTGCTATTAAAGGCATCATCTCCAGTCTCGTCTTTGACATTGGTAATATCATTTGCCTACTCGTTAAACAGTAGACTAGCCGACCTGGCTGCCATGAGGGATGTGGTACTTGTCGCAGGTGCTCAGGTTCCTGTCATAAACAGATCTTCGGCTTGGACAGACTTCATCGACATTCAAGATTTGGACCATGGCTAATAATGCAAGACTTTTTACGCGTCAATCTTACAAGTGGCATATAGGTAAGCTACACAAAACTCTGGCTCGTAACCAGCAATTACCGCCCCAATGCTTCCGCCCGCTGCTGTTCCATCTCTCGCCTCGCGTCTCGTACAATCTTGCGGCTGTGCTCCATGACCAACCAACCTTGGATAAGCCCGTCAGCGCGCTATATACGACGCGTACGGCTAATGATGCCCCAGTGGTCGGCCGGCTGTGTGAAAAGCAATGATGATGTCTTTACCATGATGCAAATTAGGTGCTGTCCAGAGTGCTGTAATAACCGAAGTGGTCTGGCAGCTCAGTTGCCGTTCGTCGGGAGCCCCGCAGACGACTTGGTTCTCAGCGTGAGCGGGAACGGGTACTCGTCAGGGTCCTCCTCCTCACTGTGTAACGTGATTAGCCAACGGTCTGCAACAAGGGGTGCATCTCGCGATACGTACGGAAGCTTCCACGCGACATAATCTTCGGTGCTGAGACCCTCGTGGCTCTCCTGGAGGCTTGCGAAGTCTCCAGGAGTCATCATGCCCGTCCGATCCCGAGGCGAGCCGGGCACTGAGAAAGGCCGCGAGATCTTCTGATCCACGCCCGGGATGTAGTCCTCCTCCTCTTCGCCGTTGAAAGACATGGGGTATGCCCGTCTCAGAGCAAGCTGCCGGGCCTTGACGTACTCCATGCCCATCCTCTTCCAGTCAAGCAGGTCGCTCAACCGCTCGGTCCGGTTCCGCTGGTTGATGCGTTGCCTGCGGCTCTTCTGCGCAAACTCGAACATGTACGACGTGAGCTGGTTGACCGAGTCGTCGACTCCCTTGGTACGACGATCCACAATGTAGATGCCGTAGTCGCTCGAGTTCTCAATCAGCTCCTCCATGTAGCACCCGAACCCCGAGAGATTGGTCGTGATGCTCGGTACGCCCATCACGGTGCACTCGGCCGGCGTGTAACCCCACGGCTCATAGTAAGACGCGAACACGCCCAGGTGCGTGCCCCGCACGAAGTCATCGTAGTCGAGGGGCAGCACCGGGTTCGCGGAGTTCAGGAACTCGGGGTGGAAGACGATCTTGACCCGGTCGCTGGGGTGGTTGAAGAGCTGCACCCGGCGAATCTGGTTCAGAATCGGATCCTCATGGTCGTTAACCATGTTGTGCGTAACGATTGGCGGCAGCCCATGTCTCTTCATGGCAAACAAGCGCCGGCGGAGCAACACGCGATCCTGGCTGGAAATGAGCTCCTTCTCTTCGGGCATTGGGTCGCCATCATGCCACTTAAGGGACCGTTCAAAGATGCGGCGGCCAATATTCCTCTCGATCGTGTCCACTGTGTCCCTGAGAGACTTGATCACGGCCTGTCCTTTCAGAGCCTCGACCGTCAGCGATGACGTCTGAGCGGGCATGATGATGAAGGCGACCACCGTCGTCTTGCTGCCGGACGCCTTGAGCCGGTGGTTCAACCGGGCCAGCGATTCAATGAACATATCGACACCCTTATTCCGGAACTCGTACCGTCCGGCCGTGAAGAAGTAGAGTGTGTTCTCCGGGTCGAAGTCATAGTGGCCGTAGAAATGGCCCCGCACAAAGTCGTGGATCTTCTCCTTGGACTGCTGGTGCAGATTCTGGAACTCGTGGACAGCCGAGAACTTTGTGACGTTGAGCCCGTTGGGAAGTACTCCGTCGGGCTTCCGCTTGAGCAGATGCTCGCTTTCGTACGCCGTGATATGGGAGACGGTGGTGAAGACGTCGCAGGAATGCGCTGCCGCCCGCTCAATGCAGTACCGGTGATAGATGCCCCGCTTGCCCGCCTCAGCATCAACGTCGAAATGCTGGAGGTTGTTGTAGAAATCCACCGAGCCGGCGCACAGATACCGGCCCAACAGGGTGGCATGAGTGGTGAAGATTGTCGTCACATCAATCTGTCGCTTCCTGGTCAGGGGCAAAGCAACGCCTGCCAACCACTCGTGAAAGTGGGCGATGACCGCTTTCTTTTTCTCGTGGCACACGTACTGTAGTCGGCCTGTTAGCCGGCTGCGCCACAGGAATGTGTATAGATTACTTGTTACTGACCTCCCCAAGGAACCATGCGACAAGGTAGCCAAAGACGACGGCCTCGTTGGTCTCGTCATCGTTGTCAGGCGACGGAATGGAGGCAACATTCCACAAGTCGGCCTTCCACTCGTTCATGTAGCCGTATGCCGTCTTGGTGTCGAAGAGAAGGACTCGGGGCGCGCCCTCAATCAGCCAGCGCCCATACAGTATCCCAATGCCGCGGTCTTTCATGGACTGGATGGTCGCAGCCAGTTCGGGATTGGTGGGCTCCATGGCCTCGACCTCGACGGCCGCCTGATGTCTTGTTAGTATTGCCTTAGATAGGCGTTCTCCGAGACAAAACCATCCAAGCCCAATGTGATAGATCCAGAAGAGTGAGACCTACAGACTGGTGATTGAGGGGTCCAATGAGAGTGTAGCGGTCGCCATATTCAGCCGTGGTTACCGGGGCCTTGGACTTGATGACCGAGTAGATGCCCCCAACTGAACAGCAAAGTTAGCCGGGTCCACCAGCCAGTCTGCGCGACGGGCGAGCATACCTCGATGTGCGACTTCAGTTGCAATCTCAAATAGGACATGATTTCTAACCTCGCGCCGCTCGCGGTCCGTGTCTTCGTTGGCCATTTTGGAGGCGAAGGCACAAGGCTTGTTTCGAGGAAGCCTGCGTTAGCAGGAATGCGATGTCGCAGACTAGAGCGTAATATTCAATCCACGCTGTGGTCTACTGGCGCGCCGAACGAGGACCGAGGAGAAGAAGAATGGGATGGTGGGTCGCCGGCCGAGAATCTAAGACAGCTTACACAGCGGGACGAGATATTTGGAGAAAGATTGAGATGACTGGCAGAATGCCTACTCCGTAACCCCAGATGACTTTCCTCCGGAATTCAAGCAAGGAATGTGTCGGGAGCCAGCCGAGATTGCGGCCAGACTGGGGGCGGGGATCACTGGGATGTTTATACCGTAAACCGGGCCGGATGCAGCACAGGGCGGGGTGACGTCGGATGCAGGCGCTGCGTCGCAGACAAGCGCGGCTCAATCGGCAGCGAAGCAGGTCGAAGCAACTCAGAACTGAATTTGGAAAGGTGCCAACAAGACGATCCTGATGGGTGCCGGGAGGCGGAAGGGGGAGGCGTTTTGCCGCGAATGGCGGGCTTCCGAGAGCTGCGGCTCGTGTTGGTTGGTGAGGCAAGGCAGTGATGCAGCTTGAAGCTTGCCTGTTGCTGCGAAAACCCGTCAGGGGAGCTCTTCCCCATTGAGCGAGGGTAAGGTAAGGGAAGGTAACGGAAAGAATTCGGAGGACCGTAATTTCACCTGTCACCCGCTCCCCTCGCCGTTCCTTGCTTTACGCAAAGCCCGTTGAGTGTAATAACATTCCACTGAATCTACGAGACTTTTAAATCAGATAATCTGTGTCCATTATTCTGCGGAGTCTTAGATATTCGTGTACCTTACTTAGTCTTCCACCTCAACCTAAGGTATTCTGTTCAACCGTCCCCAATGCCTAGGTCATAACTTGACACTACACTTGATTTAGGAACGGGGTATTTACAAGTACATGTCCCAGTTGTCTTGGCGTGGTATCGTCCCCACGAAAACCCAGAGCATGACGACATTGGGTGGGCCTCTGGGCAAGGGTCGCGCATATTCATCCTGCATGTTTCGGGTCCCAAAGTGCATCAGGTCTCTCAACCGCCAGAGGAAACGTACAGGAAAATAATCAATCTGCGAGTTCCTGGGAGGATAGATTTTTATTTGGCGCATGTGCATATCTTGAATCCATCATTTTATTTTACTGCTGTCGTCGCCTTCTTCTATACAGGTCTATGCAACGGGTACAGCAGTGAATTGAAAACGGATCTTATAAAACGCCGAGATCTTCACCACCCGGGACTTCAACCGCCAAAAGAGATCCGCTGCCACGGGAAATCATTACTTCATACATTTCGTAGACACATCATCGAGCGCCATTATGGTAGATCTCTCTCTTCAAAACCTTGGTAGCAGCCAGTCACCATCAACCGTGGCAAGGCTCCATGATTCTTTCATCCTGTCCCAAGTGATTCTTGGATCTGCCCTGTGTGAACAGCAAGCTGTTCTCAGATGAATTAGACTAATGCAATCCTTTAATCTGGCGGTTGGCAATTTCATTCTCGAATGTTGTCTCCTGACAGGCCAGGAACAACGACATTGTCCAGGAGAGTCACCAAGTCTAACAAAGAGACGAGACAAACAGGCAGGAACTCCCCTCTTCCGGTACTTTCATCTTTGTTATGGGAGAAACACACAGAGGACAAAGAAAACATCAAGACATATATTAAGCGTCAAACCCTTCAAGGTACGCCGCACAGACATGACACGCCTATCCTTGGGCAGGAATGGCGCACAACCTACATCAGACAGACAGCAGGACACTTTCATCAGGGGTGCAGTGTATTACCAACGATGGCGCGACCACCGAGAGGGCCTCGAGGCCATCGAGGCAATCACAGTAACGGCATCCACAAGCACAATCGCAATGGAGTGCATGGACACGGCAATGGCAATGTCATTGGCGGGTATCAGAGCGGCGGCGGGAACCACGGCAGTCAGTAGAATTGGAATGGAAACCGAAAAGGCTTTGGTCAGAACAACAGCAATGGTAGGGATCAAGCCGGCGGCGACCTCAGCAACATAAACAGCAACAACAACAACCACCGCAAAGGCAGTAATAACAACCGGAATGGTGATGGTTAGCAACAGGACTGGAGCCAATACCTCTACAATCTCTTGACTTTGGGGAACGCAACCGAGAAGCCTGGTAAGCTTACGAGCTTGATCGCAGTAGCCGCCGTTTCGCTCGACTCTGCGGTCAGGAAGCAACCGGGGCGTGGCAAAACAAAGCAGCAAATTGCTCGAGAGCTCAAGCTGCCATGGCAAGCTTGCCAGAAGCTTCATGAGCTGACGGGATATTTGATGGAGGGGCTCCTTGAGCCTGACCCTGACATGGACGGTGACATCCCGATGGGCGACGGCGGCCTGCGACAGCTACGGCCGAACATGTGCCAATGTTGACAATATTGAGCTTGGGAAAGTGCTGCTCGATGCCATGGTGGGCCATCTCGGACGGCCATGAGCGATCCTAGATGTGGCTGGTTTTCTTGCGCCGAAAGACTGACCGATAGCAGGCCTTCTTTTCACGGTACGGATCCAGAATTGTGAAGTACAGACGCTTGAGATACCTTAGCTGTCCGAACCCGAGATAGTTGGAGGAATACTCCGTACCTTGTGGCTAATCACCAGGTTCGAGGTAGGTACCAGTAGAGCTTTTGGTACAGAACACTAGAAGCCCCGTTTGGATTAAAAATAGCAGTCCTCATAACGGTCAGAAGGCAACCTAGCGGCACAGCCTGAAGATGGGGGAAGGTCTAAAAGTCCCGCACACAGAACACCGACCGGAGGAAATGAAAGTGAACGTAACGTGATAACAGAGTAGACACTTAGGAGGCCAAGCTCTATCAAGTGACGGGTATCCGTCTTGAATTACATATTTTGAACAATGATACGAAGGTGACTACCAGGTTGGCATTGTTGGCCGTTTACAAGGCAAGGATGAACTCCTGAAGGAGATCACGTGCAATGGACGATGGTCCATGCTTTGCTGTGGCCTAGTTCCAGCTTGGTCTGGCTCTTCCACAGTTTCCTGTCCCAGTTCCTCGTCAACAACCCCCATGATACCTCCACCTTCGACAACGCGCACCGCATCTCGGGACGCTTCGCCGCAGCTCAGCGTTGGCGGCAAACCACTGGTACCTCTAGCGATCCATGCTGCAGCTTATTGCCGCCGTTACCGTTCTCCGGACACCATCAATTGCCAGCATGATGGGTTTCGTCAGCTTCGGGATGCGGGGCTAACAAGCATATCGGTCGGAGTCCACCATCGTCCGCTGAGAAAACGTCGACACCGGCTCCGAAAGGGTATTAAAAAGGATTAAAATCGTGGAATTTATGTTTTTGACGACCTTTTTTTCACTTCTTTTTTTTTTCCCATTTCTTTTTTTTTTTTTTTTTGGAGGGAGACATACAGCCCGGTCGCAGCTAGCCCAATGGCTGGAAGCACGCTCCTGCGCAAAGACTGCCCATCGCCGGCAATGCGCGTCGCCAGATATCGCCAGAATTTCCGACTGCTGTACGCCCGTCGTTCTGACTCAACGATCAAACTGCCCTGATTAGAGAGATTGGATTTTGGGGTATTCGGCTGTTCTCGACAACTCTTCCGTCAAGGCCCAATTCCCTTTCTGAGGCGTTCACCACTTTTTGCCGGCATGTAATTGCCATGAGAGAACCGGCTGTCTTCCGAAAAGCCTCGCATGGCTCAACATCTTGAACGACATTAAGGCTAACATTAACACGGAGAAGCCCGGTTCAGGCGGTCTGCAACCTCGCTTCATCCGACACGGATGGAAACAGAGACTGCCCCGTCGCAGGATCGGTTACGTCTGGATGGATGCGGAACTCAAAGGAAAAGCCATCTATCAGTGCAACTGACTCTCGACAGCTAACTTCGCCGTTGCCTTTTCCCTCGCACATCCTGCTATGGGATCAAGGCGCACACATCACAACACCACAGACAGCCACGTCCACTTAGGCTCTTCCGCTGGTCCGCGTCACGTAATGCGGCCTGGCCTGGCGCACCTGTTGGCAGGTGGGTGGGTGGGTGGATCGGGAGCCGGGTTGCATTCGTAAAGCTTCAGGTATCTTGCCCGTGTATAGTGGTATGTGCGTGGTGATATTGTGTCTGCCAGCTGCTGGCATAGTCAGGTTTGGGACTGCTGGGCTGGAATAGGGACGGGGAATTTGGTCCTGGCGGGAGAACCCCGGTGGATGAGATGAAGTGCTTCCTGGTACCTGCTTCTTTGTGGGCTCTCCAGGAAATGCTCGCCTTGCTCGCGGTTCCGGAGCTGCGCAAGGCGAGGCGATATACTACCGCCCGACTGCTTGACGTTGGAGTCTGCGCTGGCGGCTCCAACCAGATGACAGACGGTTTGGGCTCGCCAAACGAAGTTGTCATGGGGTTGCAAGAAAGTTTCGCAGCTTGCGGGACAATCGCCTCTCACTGCGGCCCCCAACAGCATATGAGCGCGAACTGGGAACTCGGCAGTTGATTCTCAATGCAACGCGCAGCAGAAGAGAGACGGATTTGAATTCAGGTTTACACTGCCGGGCCCAGGTAGTCGAGGTTCGCGACACACTCGAACACCGACCTAACCCGTCAGTTTCTAAAGGTACCCGATGTGCAGTACTTGACATCAACTCGATCACCTGGTTGCGCAACCTGAGCTGGGCTAAGGTTCCGGATTGCCCAGGGGCACCTAAGAGCGGGGCCTCTCCCGCGCCCCTCACACAGCGCTATCGCGCCCGCGCAGTGGGTGGGCTGCGCCAGGCTTTCAGCACGTGTCCAGCATGCCCACAGCGGATGACCCGTGGGCGGCCACCCCTGTCTCTCAGCATGGGCGCCGCCTTGACCAACTAAAACTCAGAAGTCGAATCTCGTCGGCCATGGACAACCTTGCACACCATCGGCGCCGAGACAACGCTGCATCACCAAATGGCAGCAGCAGCCACCTCGACAAGCAGCACCGCCGTCAGGACGGGAATAACCTCGGCATGACGACTTCACGCAGATCCAACTTGCCCGCCGCCCTTGCCGTAAATCGGTCGTTTGAACCCCCCAGAGAACGAGAGCGAGAGCGACAGCGTGAGCGTGAGCGAGCCCGGCACCGTCATCTACCGCATCCGCCTCTTGTCCATTCTCGAGGCCGTCCGGACGAGCTATCACTGTCCGAGTCCCATCACCGCCGCCGCGACCACACCCGCAGCCCCGAGCGTCGCAGTAACTGTCCATCCCAACCATCCCACCGTTCACCACGCAGCCATCGAGGCCGTTCCCGTTCGCCAGGAACCGCCCATCGCCGCGAGCCTCGTGCCTCACCTGGTCGTCGAGCATCAGACCACGCCTCTTCAAGGTCTAAAAAGGAGACCCGCGAACAGCTAGAACCTCACGGCCGACGCCGTGCATCGCGATCGCCAGCACCAAGCAAGCGCCGACGAAGCCCTAGCCCTTCCCTTGCTGCGGAGACGAGGTCGAAAAAGGCCCGGCAAAACGCCAGTCCTTCAAGGCCGGAGAGTGGCGTGCGGCCGGAACTTCTGCAGTCAAGGGCTGACCGTGACACTTCTCCCCGTTCTCATCGGGCCCCACCCCATTCACCTCGCGACCGGCGTTCAAAGCCCAGCGGCAGACGGCCTAGCCGTTCGCGGTCCCCAAGTCCTCCTCGTCGACATAGGTCTCGGTCTCCTCGTGGCTACCGAGCCACTCGAACAGAAGGTGAGGGAGCCACCCGCCGTAGGGGTACGTCACCTAGGCATCATCACCGATCGCCTCGCCCGGAGCCCAGACGTCGATCGAGATCACGTCCTCGCAGTTCTCGGAAGCCGCCTGTCGCAGGGGAAAGCCAACGGCCTACTTCATCAGATACTGCATCACGTCGCAGGCCAAGTCCAGATTTCGGCTCGTCACAGGCAGCACACGGACCGGCCCGGGCCCACTCCCCGCCCGGTGGGGGACACCGTAGATCGGGCAAGAAGAGACGAGGCCGTGAAGGATCACGCTCATCCGAGAAGTTTGACCCTGTCTCCGGTGCCAATAGTATCGGGGTGAACATGGCGGCCAGGGGTGGACACCGCGGTGGCTTCAATCCCCCACCGAGCTATCCCAAAGGGCAATTTGACGCCCGCAGCTACGGCCAGTCTCCGGGCCACGGAACCCCCGTCTCATCATTCCACGGCTCACCAACATCTCAGTCACCGTATGGCGGTAGCGGACGGGGCTGGAACCACCAACCGCAGTTTTCTCCCCAAGGGTCAGTCAGCTTCGCTTCATGTTGTTTTTTGCTTGTGAGCCTTCGTAACTGACGCAGCATAGTGGCCAATTCTCGCCCCCATATCCCAATAGCAATTATGGACCTCCAAATGGCCCGCAAGCACACTATCACGGCGGCCAGATACATTCGCCTCCTTATGCACCGACTGGGCCGTCATCTCAATATTCTCCCGGGCCGTACCGCGGAGGTCACAGAGGCGGCTCGTTTCGGGGCGGCCAGTTCCCCGCCCGTGGGGGCCTCCGAGGTGGATTCAAGAGTACACAGTGGCATCCGCAGGGCAACCATGGGCGAAGCCAACCTGGCCCGGCCGAGGGGTCGGACCTGTCGCATGCTGCTTCCCATCAATCTCCCAGCAGTCATGCGGAAAGGCCTTCAGAGAAGGGCGATGTTAGCATGGCAGGTAGCGATAACCCCTTCAGGCCGTCCAAGGACTTGCAAGTTGAGGATTCCAGCAAGGAGGAGCAGCCAAAAGAAGACAGGATGCCACCCCCGAGCCGGCCGCCTCCCACTGGGCCGCAATCCACGACATCTAATAAGTTTAGTTTCAGCATGAAAAACGCGGTTAAACCGGTTGTGGCGGCACCTAGACCCGAGATATCGTCCAAATTCAATGCTGCTCCGGCATCGCGCGATGCACCAACCAGGCCCGCAGGGCAGAAAGCACCTCCTACAAGGCCAGAGCGAGACCGCGGCGGGTTTCCGAAGAACGCGCCCACCGAGCCAGCATCGGCACGACCCCGTCCCGGTGTTCCCACCGGACCCGGCGATCGCAGACCGCTCGAATCCGCCAGGCAGCCAGAGCCCGCCCCGAAAACACAGAAGGTGAAGAAGATCGTCAAGCGTCTCAGGGAGAAGCCTACCCTTCCGCCGGATTTGGCGGCCTCAAAGTCCGTCTTCTTCAGGAAACCGGGGAACGAATCGGTCGTGGGCTCGGGCACGTACGGCAAGGTGTTCAAAGGTTTGAATGTATACACCAAGAACCTTGTTGCTCTCAAGAAGATCCGCATGGAAGGTGAGAGGGACGGGTTTCCGGTGACGGCCGTGCGCGAGATCAAACTCCTCCGCTCGCTCAGCCATAAGAACATTGTCCAGCTGCAGGAGGTCATGGTCGAGGCCAACGACTGCTTCATGGTGTTCGAGTACCTGTCACACGACCTGACGGGTCTGCTCAACCACCCAACATATCAGCTGGAGGAAGGGCACAAGAAGCACTTGGCCCAGCAACTCTTTGAGGGGCTTGACTATCTTCACACGAGGGGCGTGCTCCACCGTGACATCAAGGCCGCCAATATTCTGGTCAGCAGCGACGGCATTCTCAAGCTTGCTGACTTTGGCTTGGCCCGCTTTTATGCAAAACATCACCAGCTAGACTACACCAACCGTGTCATCACCATCTGGTACCGGTCGCCCGAATTATTGCTTGGAGAGACGCAGTATGGTCCGGCAGTGGACATCTGGAGCGCCGCCTGCGTGCTGGTGGAGATCTTCACCAAGCGGGCCATCTTCCCCGGGGACGGCAGCGAGATCAACCAGCTGGACAAGATTTACTCGGTGCTCGGGACACCGAACCGGAAAAACTGGTCGAACCTGGTTGAGATGCCTTGGTTTGCTCTACTCCGGCCGACCTACCGGAGACCCAATGTATTTGAGGAAAAGTACAAGGAGTTACTCACCCCAGCCGCCTTCGACCTGCTCGCCTCCATGTTCGTCTACGATCCGGATAAGCGCCCTACTGCCGCTCAGGTCTTGAAGCATCCGTACTTTACGACGGAGGAACCGGCTCCACGGCAGGCGATTGAGTAAGCTTTTCTTCTCCGCTCCTAAGGGTTGGGTAAGCTGATACTGACACGTTCCCCACAGGCTCAAGGACATTGGCGGTGAGTGGCACGAGCTTGAGTCGAAAGCTCTCCGGCGTGAGAAGGAAAAGAAGGAGAGGGAGCGCGCACGCGCTGCGCAACAACAGCAGCAGCAGCAACAGTCTGGTCTGAAGGAGGAGGGCCCCGAAAGCGGTAGCGCCCGTGACAGGGAGCGGAAGCGGCCCAATGAAGACGCGGATGCGCAGCGCGAGGCGAAGAGGCCGCATATTGAGCCCAACGGCAAGAGTGCCGGGGCAGCGGCCAGTCAAGCGCCCGGGAGAGGTTGAGAATGCGGGCTTGTTGGTTTGATCATCTCTACCGATCTTCGAGAAAGAGAGGGAGCAGCAAGGCTACCAAGTGGGAGAACCGCTGGCACATTAGACGAGGCGGGCATCAGCAAAGCGGGCGGAAACGAATGAATGTACGACTACTATTCACTAGACGTGACGGGTCATGGCCCTTGGTCAGCATGCATGGACGGGGGTGCCAAGGAGAGCCGGACCGCTGATCAGGCTAGCCCTCGAATTTCCGCGATATGTTCTTGCGTGCTCTGGCACGGCAAGGCCGGTGTTGGTATACATATAATGAGATGACCACATTTACTCAATGACCTATGCTGCCGCCCTGGTGATACGAATCAGACGCTGGTTCCAGTATGACACATGTGAGCTGTGGCGGTCAAGGCGCGATTTTGCAGGCAGTTTCCAACACGAGAACTATGGTGAGGCTGATCTGCCTTTCCAGATGTATCTCACATTGCATACAGACGACATCTCATCGTGGGAAGACGAGTCAAAGTGTAGACACGGCACTTCTCCATCTATACATGCCGGCCTAACGATACTCTAAGTCGAGGCCATGTTCGATTCCAATTCAGACATGATCATGAATCAAACTTGTACTCGCCTGGGTGTAGCAAGCGCCTACCGAAGTCGTCTCAACCCAGATAAAAGCCGCATTCAATTTTTAGAGACCGAGAGACAACCGGTTGCTTTTCATATAAACCTAAGGTACCTTAGACACCTGTAACTGGCCACGTTGAAACCCTCGCCTCCCGATTGCCCAGCTTTCTGCGATAGTCCTGGCCTCATATCTGTTGAGCTCGTCCTACAAGGGTTGAGTCTCCCACAGTCCAAGTTCAAGACTTCAAGTAATGCTCAGAACCACCCTGTTTTACCACAAGCATACCTCTGCCTAGCATTGACAAATCTAGCCGGCAACGATATCCCCCATGTTCGGTCACCTTGTCGAGTTGTCGTCGCCCAAAACGCCAATCGATCACATCAAATACTCCGTCACTCCCCTGGTGAAATTCAAATATAGTTCTTCCATCAAACCCTCATCCCTCGCCGTCAAAGCACTAATTCCTCAACCCAACACTACCTTCTCACCTCCCTCCCCACCTGCCCCTCCCCAAGACCGCCACTGCTCTTCAACAACAACCTCAGACTTCCCTCCGCATGGCTAGCCCTCGTTTCACGCACAAGTTCACCACTCTGCTCCTGTGCCTGTGCCTGCGCCTGCGCCTGCGCCCCGCCAACCCGCCAAGGATTCCAACCCACCCACGACGACGACGACGACGACTCAGTCCCACCGCCCCCTGAAGCCTTACTACCAGTAGAAGCGGCTTCCTGCTGCGGCAACCCGCCACCATCCTCAACAACACTACGACGCCCACTTCGCTCGTGATCACCACCATCGCCACCACCACCACCCACAGACCCGCCCACAACTGCAGTCACCAAGCCAGGCGTACCAACACCGCTCGGAGCAGGCGCAGTTCTCACGCCCAGATGACTGCGGGATGTCTGGGGAAGGGCAGGCTCGCTGAGTAGAGCCGAGGACGAGCTGCTGTTCATGGTGTTGGCCGGTTTCCGACCCGTGTTGCGGGATGAGGAGTCGACGGTACTGTTATGAGTCCTTCCCGAGGCGCGGCCGCTGCTGGTGTCTATTATGGCTGTGGCAAACGAGGCTGATTTTTTGCGAGCTAGTTTGGTGTTGGCGTTGGAGTTGCTTGAGGTGGTGTTGTGAGTAAAAGGTTGCTGGTCTGCGCTGCCAGTAGTGGTGGTGGTTTTGCTGTTGCTGTTTCCGGTTGATGCGGACACGGAGCCCGAGGCCGATGTGCTTGGGTTGTTCCCCAATGCCTTCCGCGCTGCTCTCCCCCGGACCTCGCCCGCCAGCTCGGCGGCGGATTTCTTCTTGGACTTATCCTCCTCGGATGACCTGCTCGAGGACATGATGGTCTCTAGCGTGCCGTACGCGGCACTCCTCCGCCGCCCGCCGGCCCTTCTCCTGGGGTGGGATTGAGCGGAAGCCTCGTCGTCGGAGGTGATGGCTTGCAGAGTTGGACCCCCGGAGCCATGCCCGTGACTCCGGCTGCGACTGTGGCCTTTCCTACGCGATGCGGAGGGAGGTCTCAGGCCGGCGCCTGACATGAATGAAGAGCCGGAACCGTGAGGGGCCACGTGAACCTCGTATTGACTGCTCAGGGAGTACCGGGATCGGGCGCATATCTCAGCAATCCGGTCCAGATCGGCGCTGATGTCGTTGTCTCCGCCGGGAGCTTGGAGGTCAGCCATGAAGCTCTTGAACGAGAAAGCTTCGAGTGGAGGCAGCTTTGGTTCTTCAAGTGCCTGGCGCGATGAGTGCCATGGCCATGGCAACGGCAGCATGCCGCTGCCAGTAGTGGCCTTTTTCGGCTTGTAGGGACGAGACATATTCACTCCATAAGCACTGTCAGAGATCTCAAGGACGTGTCTGTTTATATCAACGTTGATACTGCTGGTAGTACCAACGCCAACACCGCTGACTGTGGGCTGAATGAGCTGCCCAGGTGCACCGCTCCCGGTTGTCGAAGCTGAGGGGAGCGGGACCCGCCTCGAGACAGCGCGGCTGCTGCTCGGGGGCCTGTATTGCCGAGACCGGGAACTGCGAGAGCCTTGGGAAGGCGACGGTCCGCTGTAAGTCCGCACAAGGACGGGTTGGGAGTAGGTGCTGCTCTGGGCACTGGGAGCCCCCGGTGTGTAGCCGTGGCGACGGCCTGCCGACGGGTACTTGCTGTTCAGCTTGTGCAAGGCAGATGCGCGATGAGCGGCCGCGGGATCGGTGACTGGCACCGGTTTGCCTTCGGCAGTGGACGAAGCGAGGGAGGCTGACGGCACCTTGCTTCGCTGGAAGAAAATGGGCGGAAACGAGATAGGGAGGGACGTCCGTCTTGGTATGGAGGAACCGCCAGGAAGTGGACCAGTTGCAGAGGATGAGGGGGAGGGGTCATGGATATGGAGAGCGTCACCAGAGCGTGCCGAGCGGTTCTCCGGGTCTCCAGGACGGCATGAAGAGGCCGGCTCTGCGCTGGCAGCGTCCGCGGCATCGGCGCCTGCACGTTCGGAGGCCATCTGGCGAGGGGCGTGCGGCTTATTGGATATATAAATGGCAGGCGGGCTTGCTTGATGCAGCATAGACGAGCAGCACGGGTATGGGTCGCACCATGCAGAGGTGTCGTAGTAGCAATGGAGGCAGCAGCAGCAGGAACAGTAGCAGAGCCAAGCGGTAAGCGGTTCAAAAGGAGAACCACGGAAATCGTGAGACTCGGGCGACGGACGGGGGCGTAGACGCGACCCAATGGGTCAACAGGTCAATGGGAGAACCCGACGTGTTCGCGGAACCGGACGTTGAAGGAACGAGAAGCGCAGCGGGAGCAGGGCAAGGACAACATGACGGCTCCTGCGAGTCTCAACTGGGTGCCGTTCGCTTTGATGTCGTTCGTTGACGTGGTCAACGGTTGTCTAATTCTGGGCGACCGGCTTTGGTTCCACTGTTCGACTGTTCCACTTGATGCGCCTGCGTCCGCAGTTACGTTCCGGGTTGTGTGCCCTTGCCTGAGCTTGCCTCTTCTCAGCGTGTCCCCTCTCTGACCGCTCAGCTTGATTGATTTGATGCAGAGAATAAAGATAAAGTGATTGGTGTGCGTGTTGCCATCGCGAGATTGGCGGGTGTACATCTCCGCTCCGGGTTCGCTGCTCCTATTTCATCCTAGCCATCATGAGTGGTTGAAACGTCCGGAGACGAACCAAGCACAGAGGTTCGAAGTTACCGCCATTGGACGGCAGCAGCTCACCTTCTGCAGGCAGTCGTGGCTGTCGTTCAAAGGTTTGGCGGCAGAGGCGACTTGCAGTTCCATGACAGGGGTTCCGAGAGCGGGGCACGTGGATCCACCGCAACGGAGCTGTCCCGCCAAGGGATCTCACATTCTCAACTTCATTCAAAGCCCGCTGCACCTGCTCTCATCTCATCGCTTCGACATATTCCCTGTCTTACGCCGTATGGTTCTGAGCAAACGGCATTTGCGGAACTCAGATTACACGTATTCTGTAGAGCGACCTGCCACATTATTCTCACGCTGTCAACTGGGCCACGGGACATTGTGGCATCACAACCGAAGGGGGAAGACCGTGCAACAAAGTTGTTGTCGTCGAGCGAGAGTTCTCGATCAGAATGCGGTTTACGAGGCTTACAACTCCATCCGAGGCGCTATGGTGCCATCATTTTCCAGCAAATAAATAAGTTACGAAGACATCGTAACTGACGAGGTTCTTGATAACCCAGCTCCCCCCCTCCTTCCTCCATTTCTTGGCTCATATCCAAGTTCGCCCATACGCCATGCCGCCGGACTGCACCTTGTCGCTCCACACAAACGGCGCTCGTTGGAGAGGTGGTGCCCCAATCTTGTATCTGTCGCGGCGGTCGTAGTACACAAAGAGGAGGTAGAAGGCGTGAATGACGCCGGGAAACCAGCTGCTTGGGTCAGCTAGTGAGTCGCATGGGACTTTGAGGACAACTCACAGCCAGATGGTAAGAAGAACGTTGATCAACAGGTCTGCCCCACAGCCGGCCATGATGGCGACTCCGAGCGGCGGAACTATTGTTCGGCTACTTAGCAGTTGAAACCGACTGCTCCAAAGCACTTACATAGAAAGCTCAGGATGGCAACAAGGATCCCTGCAAGGCCGTCCATCACGTTCGTTATCCGGGGCGCGGCGGGGGTGCTGACTGAAGATTCCAAGGAACAAGTCTCCGTAGGATGGGCGTTCAACTAAGGTGTTTTTGTAGTTCAGTTGCGAGAATGATGCTCTCCCTCTTGCCGTGACCCGATATTTGATTCATACGGCGACGGCCTCTCTGACCGACACCGGGGGCAAGTGCGATGACGTAGTTCGTCCCTGTCCATTCAAGAGCTTTTCGTGGACCAGGTGCGACTCGACCTTTGGCCATCAAGAGTTGGGTTAGAAGAACACGGATTCTCTTCATGAATGCTCATCGTTGTAGAAGGCGAGGACTGTTTGTCATACGTAGCCCGCATTGAGACCTCCACTACCAAGGAAGGTAGCAACTCGCATTCAGGAGCTTACATCCAGCCCTGGTTTGCTTGTTGGCGCGGATTTAAAGCATTTCACTTCCTTCCTTAACCTTTACCCTTTTTCTTCCTCAGGCTTCTTCTTGTCTACCTCTCTGTGTTCCCCACCTTCCTTTTTTCCTCCTTTTTTTTTTTTATTTTATTTTCTCGTTTAGATGTTGTTTTATTTCTTTTCCCAAATTCCTTCTCCTAGGTACTCCTACCTACCCTTTCCCATTCCGGTCGACCGTCTGCCATGTCACGCTAACAAACAAGCCAGGACTGGATTTGTACAATACTTTAAGCATCCCAGCCAGATTGCCAGCACCTCGTGCCTGCTTGAAGATCATTGGTTACTAATTGAAAATTAACATCTACTTTGTAGTAGAAGAAACAGTAGGAAAAGAGGAAAGGCCAGTGTGAGTTCACAAGGAATAAGACTTCGATGAGAGTGTATCCTTGATCGATATCTACCCAGGCCATTTTCTGGCTTTCGTTCCTGTCTCCTCTCAAACTTCGGGGAGTCGCCTGCTCTGGGATGCTTTGATAACCACTTCATCCCTGAATCACATCAGGATTGACGGTGCAGCCTGGCTCTGACAACTCATTGGCAATTCTCTCCGAGGCATCCGTATCCGTACTGTTCCGTCAACTCGAGACACTCCGGCCTTGCCAGGGAGCTGGACGTCATGGGGATTCATGACTGCGGCGCTGCGAACCCCTTTTTAGGCGAGGCACCGGAACCGCATCCGAAAATTGCGACGCCTGCGGATTCGGGCGGAAGTCTATGATTGTGGACCGCACTGTTCAAGCACGAGCAAGGACAGACGCTCATCAATCATTAAAGCTCGCCTCTCAGCCTCGCTCATTAATTGATGTTGCACGGCACCTCTCATGGTTGAGGGAGGCCTCGATTGAAAATGCAGCAGTTTCCGTAACTGGTCAAAAATTCCCGCCACGGCGGAACCCTACAAGTGAGACACGATGTCCTCCACTTGTATTACAGCTTCCCCACATTTTTGGAACGGCATAGTACGTATCACTTGCTGGGTCAAGGGTCTTATGGAAGGCTGAGAACTTACAGTTGCTTTGCCGATACTTTGTGAGAGCGCTCCCAGAACATGTACCTTGGTTTAGCTTCCGCTGTCCAGGGATCCTCCGGCCATGAAGTGCGAGCTGCGAGAACCTGGAAGCAGGGCCGAGGTGCAGGTGTAAGATAAGAGCAAAGTTTCGGTCCTGCATCAGCACGCCGTGTTACTGTAAGATACCTTTCATGAGTTAAGAGTTTGACTCTCAATCCAACAACCCTCGAGCAAACGACGGAATCCGTGGACGCATTATCTTCCATTGGTATACCTGAGCATAAACGAAGAATAATGTAACTATGCGTTTGTCAAAGTTTATAAACTGTTTAATACTACTGTAGGTACCACTAGCAGTATGCTATGACAGTTGCAATCTCCAATTGCTGAATTGCTGGGATGAAGCCCTGGCTAGCCGGGCCAACACCGGTCAAGCAGTCCACCTTACGGAATACACCTCCTGCCTGCCAATTTTTCCCCTCTTGCGCGTCTCTGATTTCCTCTCCACGTTTCCCCTTTTCCGCCTCTCCCTTCTAACCCCTACCCTTCTCCCCAACATCGAGAAAGGGGCGCGAGTTTCAATTAGCAGCTACGTAAAGGACGCGTGCGCCGTGTCCGCGTGGTCGAGAAAGCGCCGCAACTTTGCTTGCAAGCTTGCAACCAATTGCTGCTCCTGCTTGTACTCCGTTCCTGGCGAAGTTCGTACTCGGACCGTGCTCAGCTCCGCAATTCCCTTGCTTGAATTCACAGTCAATGTGGACTCGGTAAACCTCGTGGACTGCTGCTTCAATTTCCCGAAAACCCGCTGTTTGCTGCGGACGTCCACCGAGCGACTTAAGGTATGCGCCGGCCCCAAATACAATCATCGTCGTGCTTTGGGCCTTGATGGCTCCGCTGGCTAACACATGATTTGGCTTGTTGCAGGCAGCATCCTCGGATAGCGGCGTCACCCACCTTTTCATACTCGGACGAGTTCGGCCTCCACCCCGACCTCGACCACTACCCCGACCGCAGCTATGGCTACTCAACAGAGTCCCCCGTTCAAGGTCGACCGATACGTCGTCATCCACGTCGCCACGACCTGCGACGAGCATGGTGTCTATGTGACCAAGGACTCGGCCGAGGTCATCGAGCTTGGTTGGATCCTGCTCGACGCAAACACGCTCGACGAGGTGGGCCCAGCCGAACCCCAGAAAACTCGGAAGAAGCGTCTCCTTTACTCACCGGCTCGTGTCTGCAGCTTCACCGCGAAAGCGTGCTCGTCAAGCCCGTCAACACACCCATCACTCCTCTCTGCAGTGAGTACTCGCCCGTACCTCTCCCAACCGCCTTCAACGGGTCAATTGGCTTCAGAAGCTACATCAGGGCTCTCTTTGCTAACAGGAACCCACCCGCGCCAGCGAGCCTGACCACCCTGACCTGGGAACATGTTCGGAACGCCGGCACCTTCAGGGACGCCATCAACCGCTTCGATGCCTTTGCCTCCGAGCACCTGACCTCGCAAAACCTCGAGTTTGTCTTCGTTACACTTGAAGCTTGGGATCTCCGTGTGCAGCTTCCCCGCGAGGCTCGCGACAAGTCGGTTGTCCTGCCTCCCTACCTGCAACACTCTCGGGCCTTTGAGCTCCGTACCGAATATCAGAGATGGCAGCAGCACCACCCCGAGTCGCTGCCGTTTGGGCCTTCGTCCTTGGCGAACATTTGTGCTGCCCTCGAGGTGGAGGCCGTTCAATCCAGCGCCCCAATCAAGCATAACCTTCCGTTCCACCTGCAGGCCCTGGCTCCGGCCTCACCCCGTCGGGCTATGGAGGAAGCCGTTACGCTGGCCCGCGTCCTGCGCGGCCTGATCCGGAAGTCGCAGCCTCCACATGAACATCCCGACGTTCTTACTAGGCCAATGGATGCTCGTGCCGATGTCCGCGCTTTTCTTTCTGAGCGCAGCAAGGTCTTGCACATGTCCGGCCTCCCTCACGACACGACCCAGTCCGAGCTCGAGAGCTGGTTTACTCAATTTGGAGGCCGTCCCATTGCTTTCTGGACTCTTCGAACTCCGGAGCAGCACAAGCCAACCGGCACCGGCTTCGCCGTCTTCTCCTCTCACGAAGAGGTCAGTGCTTTTCCGCCTCCCTACCCGCCCACCCTTTTCTTTTCTGAATCCACCAAAATTGGCCGCCAACCGACAGTGCGCTGACCATCTAGATACCAGGCCGCCGAAAGTCTGTGCATGAATGGGCGTGCCCTGAACGAGAAGGCGATCGAGGTCTCGCCGTCATCAAGCCGTGTTTTGGATCGGGCTGCCGAGATCCTCACCCCTTTCCCGCCAAGCAAGAACCGGCCCCGGCCCGGTGACTGGACCTGCCCGTCTTGCGGCTTTTCCAACTTCCAGCGCCGTACTGCCTGCTTCCGCTGCTCCTTCCCTGCCGTCACTGCTGGGCCGACCGGCGATATAGGCTACGGCTATGGCTACGCGCCCCCTGCCATGATGCCCCCGCCTCCCCACATGGGTCACCATGGCCATGGCGGCCATGGCCGCATGGGTGGTTCTGGTGTTGTCCCTTTCCGTGCGGGCGATTGGAAGTGCGGCAACGAAGTCTGCGGCTACCACAACTTCGCCAAGAACGTCTGCTGCCTCCGCTGCGGAGCTAGCCGAGCCGGTGCTGCCGTGGTTGCCGATTCCGGCTACCCCTCCCCCATGAACGCTCCGTCCTCGTACGGCCTGGGCCAGGATTCCATGGGCGGTAATCCCGCCCCTGGCCCCTTCGGCTCAGCTGCGGGTGGCTTTAGCTCCGGCGCCGCATATGGCCAGCACTTTGGCGGTCCCCCGAGCACCTACGCTCTCCCATCCGGTCTGGGCGGCGGTGCCGCGCCGTACCCGCCCCTGAACACCCACTTCGGTCCTGCTCCTGGCGCCCACTCTGCCGGACCCTTCGACAGCCGGGCCGCTGAGGCGGCTTTCCAGTCGGCAGGTAACGGATCCGCATCTGCCGGCCCTGGTAACAACTTTTATTCGCAGAATGAGAACGATCCGTTTGCCTTCCTCTCCTCGGGTATTGGTAGCCTGTCGGTCAGCAACCAAGATGCTCGTCAGAACGGTGGTGGGGCACCCCAGAGCAAGTCGCCCGCATAAGCGCCAGCCGGGAAAAAAAACTTCGGTCTATTGCCGAATTTCTCATTGCTCGGAAGCTGCCAAAGTTTGACCTGCTCTTTTCCGGCGCGGTTTTGTTCTTTGGCAACTCCGGGGACAAGGGGTTACCCTGGGCCTGGCATTAGCTGCTGCAAGTTTCGTCTGTTTCTTCAACACGGTGCTGGTAATGGGAAATCTGGGAGAGGTACCCTGACCGGTCACTTATTTGGATTGGTTTGATGGGAAGGGGGGCGGCGGACGGCGGCTGGGGTTCAAAAAAGCACAACGGGCTGGAAAGACAAAACGACACGCCATTCTTACACGGTTCCCTCTCAGGGCGGAGTTCTCTTGAACCGACAACACAACGTACTGGCTCTCTCTTACTCGGTAAGGGTTACGAAGGGGAAACTGGGAATGTTCAATACCCTCAATCGCCTGGGCGCGCACATACGCACATACATACACACACTTCGGTTGTTTCCAAAAACTCCCTGACTTCGCAACAATGGGCAGAATCGGTTAGAGTCAGGCATGGGCTTGGGCAGGTTTGGAATTGGCGGCTGGCAAGCGGGAAAAGGAGAGGAGGAGAGAGGCGTGCATAGCGAGGGAGTGTACCGGGGTTATATCTTGGCCTTTGGTGCTCGTTAACGGCGGCTGGGACTATATGCCTTTGCCCCTGTTTCTGTGTGTTAATCTTGTCCTCCTTTTTTCAGAGTCCGATCTTACTGTTTTATTCTCCTTTTCCCTCATCTATTTCGTTTAGTATGCTCCAGATTGAGGTCTCATCTTCTCTCTCTCGAGGAAAAAGTTCGCTGGAATGGCGGGGCGGGAGTAAAGCGGAACATCAGGGGGCGAAGGGGTGTTGGTTTCGGACTGGCAGGGACGGAGGTTGTTATTTTTCTCGTTAGTTGTGTTCACACAAGTTATTTTCCCAAGGCTTTATTTCTTCGCTCCCGTCTCCATACGCTCGAGCTGACTGGCATATATCCTCATACCCTCATACAACGCTGTTGTGGGCAAGAAAACCTTACTCTGCGCTAACTCGAGCATTATCTGTGTTGCTCTGCTCCAAGTCTTGTGGGCTGACTCATACTGGGGCTAAGAGTTCGTATGGCACTGGTAGGCAATTATAGAGTACACCGGGTTGGTACTCCGGGTTGAGTTCCTCTCCCTCTCTTCTTTCCTGGGCCTCGGATTTGACTTTGATAGAGACGCCGATGTGTTGATATTACATAGATATCAATCCCGGGCCACTGTAACATTATTATATGCATTTTTGAGCTGAGCGCTGTCTCATGATGTTGGGCTTCCATGGGTTTTCCGGCGGCACTACAGCTCCCATACACAATCAATAGATGGACGACGGGCAGAATTGTCAGACAATGAGGTAGGTGAGAGTGGTGATGTCTTCATGATACGGAAGTTACCTCCAAGGCGAGACTGAGCAGGATCCGAAGCAGGTCATACCGGTCTGCGGCCCCATCCTGCCGATGCTCAGTCAGTTCCTCGCTCCGCGAAGACAGATGTTGCAAGAAGCAACTCAGAGGAAATACGGGACGATGAACTATTTATCAACCTCCCGGGTTGAAACAACTGGCAAGGGAGCTGGCTACCAAGGGCGGAACCAATCCCGCAGCTTCTTCGTGCTCTCATCCTCGCCAATGTCTTCGTCAACAGCGTACTCGGCAAGATTGATCTCGTCGTCCTCCGCCGCTTCAGCAGCCTGTTGAAACACCTGCTGGGCGTCAGCCTGCCCCTGACCCACATGCAGACCACCCATGAGCATGATGATGTTTTCGGCGTCCTCGTCCTCCGCAGCCTCAGCATCCATGTTACCCTCCATACCTTCCTCCGCGTCCTCTTCCTCAATATCCATACCTTCACGGTCTTCCTCAGTCTCCTCTTCGGCATCCTGCACCGGTGAAACCACACCTTCGCTCTCGACGGTATAAGCCCCCGGGTTGCTCAGGAAATGATCCCAATCTACCTCGCCAAACACACCGCCCATTCCAGCAACCTCCATGTCACCTCCCGCCTTTGCCTGGTTTTTTTCTTCTTCTCCCCCAACCACCATTATCACCTCATCTCTATTCCCATCCCCCTCCCCAACCCCAGGCCCAACCTCTTGTTGCTGACCCTCCCCGTTTTGCTCCTCCCCATCCACGGTAACCCCACCCGCACCCTCTTCAACCGCATCCCCCTCCCCGTCGTCCCCATCATCCTCTTCAGAATAGTCGAGATCGGTCTGCGCAAGCAACATCTCGGCGGTATTCCCCGACAGCACGCTCGTCGCGGGCGTGTGCTCGGCCAGGAGCAGCAGCGGGATGGCGGCGGCGGCGTCGTCGTCGTCATTGTCAGCAGCAGCAGCAGCTTCTTCGTCGTCGTCATCAGAGAAGTCATCTTCGTACTTGGTCAAGGTGTCGTCGTCGTCTGTGTCTTCTTCTTGTTGTTGTTGTTGTTGTTGTTGGTCTGGATCTGTTTCGGTGGTCGTGGCCCCTGCTGGGTTATTGTTGTTATTGTAGGGGTCTTCTTCCTCCATCTCAACGTCGCCGTCAGACTCGGATTCGGATTGGGGCCAGTGGCAGCGGCGGTAGGACTTAAAGATGCCCTTGAGTTCGGACGGCGGAATTGGGTCCAGGACGAGGTCGTCGTCGGGGATGTTGGATGAGTCGTCCGGGTCCGGGAATGGAGATTGTTGGCGGTGACGCTGTGCCGGGCGGAGTTGGAGGGTCAGATTCAGAGACGGAGTGGGAGTGGCGGAAGAGTCGATGTCCATCGCATCGCTGTCTACGAACGGGTCGAGGTCGAGATCGGTGTAGTGGCTGGCGAGTCGCAGCCGCTGCGGCCGGGCAAACTGGTGGAGGTGGCCCTCCATGTCAGCCAGGGACGGGGGGAGAACCTTGAACTTTGCGTTGAGCCTCGTGCTGCGCATCGCCAGAGACGTCAGTTTCGCCACACCAGCCCACGCAATATGGAACTTCAGCTGGGCAGCGCCGAGCTGCTTTATCTCGTCCACCTCCTCCTGCTCTTCCTCGAGAATCATGGCCCTCTCCACAGCCGTGAGTGTCTTCCACCGCGCTTTCCGCGCATGCTTGGGCAGCCACATGCCGGGTTCAAAGGGCACGTTGCCACAGCTCGAGTGTATGAGCTCGCGCTTCAGCGGTTTCCAGTCCTTGCAAGCCGGCGGAAGATCGTCGTCGCTCATGTACATCTCGTCGAGGCTCGGCACCAGGCTGTTGCCCGTCCCGAAGTCGACGTGCCCAAAAATCATCATCTCGTCAATGCATCTGTCGAGGTCGAGCTGGCGGCGGGCGGCCTCGAGCGGGATCAGCTGGTCGGGCCTCAGCAGATGATCCGGGCCTTGGCCCCATCCCTCAAAGTGCACAACGCCCAACTCGTCGATGGAGACGCCGTGCTGCGTCGCAAGGTTCTCGTCTACCTGTTCGGGTACGACGTCGTAGCGGAGTTTGAGCTGGCGGATCTCGGTAGCAGTGCGGTACTTCTTGCCCCGGAGCAATTGCCAGAGGGGGGTCAAGCCGCGCTGGCCCATCATGAGGCGCATGAGACTGCTCGACTGCGGACCAAAGATCGGGTTGTTGAAGGCGAGGACCAGCTTGACCATGAAGAGCTGGGCAATGTACAGATCCTCGTCAGTGAAAAAAACCGGATTGTTCAGCAGTATCATGCGCGCCTGGCTCGTCGCAGCGTCCATAATTAGCCAGATCTTCTTGAGGGTGACATGGGATCCCTCGGGAAGACGGTGGCCCCGTCTCGCCAGACACGCAATGATGTCGCGAACGCGCATCTCGCGGCCGACGACCATCTGCAGCCACATCAAGCCGGGGATCTTGCGGACCTCGCCTTCGTTTTCGTTCAGGGGCTCCTGGCCGTCGAGTCTGGCCTGGCCCGGCTGGGTCCTGCTCAGCTCCTGGTCGGCAGGCGTCACGCGGCGGCCGGCAGGATCTGGGACGAACCATCTGTGGTAGACGGGGCTCGAGTAGATGCGGGTGGCAGCGGGCGCCATGTAGTTTGCCCAGGCAAAGATGCTGCTGCGCATGTGCTTGCTGATGGTGCGGTGGAAGTCTTTGCTGATGCTGTACAGGTGGACAGTGTCGAGTGGTCGTAGGTGCTTGCAGACCTCGACGATGAGTTCAGTGCATGTACACAGGGAGCCGAGCAGGTCGAAGCGGTCCTTCTTCGGAGGGCGACTCAAGGCCTGCCACTGGGCGTTGGCCTGCTTCAGCATGTGGATGCGTTGCCGGGCAATCTGGCGGAACTCGGCCAGGAGAAACATGCTCGCGTCTTGTAGGCTCTCTTCGGCGAGAATGCCTTGCCACTGCTCCTCAAACCCAGCCTCTTCTTCTTGCGCTTTCTTATCGCTGTGTTCCTCCTCCTCGGCGTCGTCGTCGCCATCCTCGTAGATGCGGCGGGCCATCGAGTCGTTGAGCCTCGCCCGTTTGGACGAGTGAAACGGTGTCCGGTTCATGTGATGGATGATTTGCTCGACATCAGGCCGGATGCCTCTCGCCTCGATCTGCTCGCGCGTGGCGTTTGCGCGGGCTTCCTGCGCGAGAGCAAGCCGGCGCCGGGCAACATTCAAGCTGCCGCCGTCGATGTTGCCTTGAGAAGTCGACATAGCATGGATTCAGAGACAGATGACACTCTGACAGGAGCTGTATAACGTTCTGTTGTAGGTTGAAGAGTTGCATAAATGCGAATTCCTTGATGCAGCTAATCGTCGACAGTCTTCCTGGCAAATGCGAGAGTGAAGTGTGAGGTATTGGAACTCCATGTGCGCAGAAGCTAACACCGTCGTCCAGTGTTGCCCCAGCATTGATGTGAGTTGTGATATTGTTGCCTGTCTCCCTATTGTGAGCCCAACAACAATAGCAGCAACAATGTGAATCTTCCCATCACAATACCGGCTACCTATTCATCCACCACAAACAATGACTTCAGATGAAACCACAAATGTGTCTGTTGGCCAAACACTGCCCAGGCGTGCATGCCATTTCTCCTCTCACTTCGTGATTCAGCACTGATTTGGCGCATCTCAGCCCGCCCCCTGCTGGAGAAGAAAGAAGTCCGCAAAGCCTACACAAACCGAAGCAACCCAAAACCCAACTCCGTTTTATCAACCAACCCCCAATTCACAACTGGTTTCCTTGGGACCAACTCCCGAGGCCCTCACTTCTCCTGTTCGCGCTCTTCAGCCTTGTTGTCACTCGCGATTTGCTGGGCCCATGCCCTCCTGGTCGTCACATATGTCAATTTGCGCTCCTTGCGCGGTTCTTGACTCGGTTCCTTAGCCGGCTGTTCGGTCGGTTCCTCGGTCGGGTTAGACTCGGATCTCCTGACCATTGTCGATGGTTCCGGACAACCTGTTGACGCAAGAGCATCTGGCTTCAACCCGCCATCCGACAAGTCGACAAGTGCCATGGCTGCCTCTAAATTTCTAGGATCCGTACCATCCCCCTTCTAATTGGACGCGTCCATCTCGTTCATTGGCATCTCAGTGTCGTCCGGATCGACGATGGAACTCGCAATCTTCCAAATCTGGAGGAGGTTGTCCTCGGAAGCGCTGCACATTATCCAGTCGTCGTTGAGGTTCCAGCTGAGATCGGCCAGGTGGTTGGTGTGCCCCCCGTGCATGAAGAGGATCTCCGGCGGGCCATCCTCTTGGTCCTCTGGCAACTGCTCGTCACCTATACGGCTGAGGTCCCAAATGAGGACCCGCCTGTCGTAGCCTCCACTGGCCAGAATGCTGATCTCGTTTGGATTCCACGCGAGCGACGTGACAGCGTCGTTGTGGCCCACGAGCGTGTAGATCTTCTCCTTGAAATTTCGCATGTCCCAGATACCTATTGTCTTATCGGCCGACGCAGTGGCAATGAGAAACTCGGTCCGTGGGTTGAAAGACAGCGCATTGATTGCATCGCTATGGCCGTCGCGGCCGACAAGTGCAGCCGTTGCCGTGTTGGGGCGTCGCACGTCAATAATTTGAAGTGTCAGATCGTCCGACACGGTCCCGATCCAGTGCTTAACCATGGGGTGGTACTGCACGTCGTTCACAATGTTGTTGTGATGGGTGTATCTGCGCGAGGGCTTGAGCGTCTTGCCGTTTCCCTGAACTGTTTTCAAATCCCTGTGCTACCGGTCAGATGCCGCTCCCCACACTCGGAGCCCAGATCAATACATACCAAAGCAGCACCGTCTTGTCCTCACTACCGGTTGCAAGGCAGCCTGCATCGTGGGGGTTCCATGCAAGCCCGAAGCCCTCCTCCTTATGGCCGATGAGCTCGATTTGCGGATTCGGCGTACCCGTGGGCGTCAGACTGTGCTTGGTGCGGTCGAAGATCAAGACCCTGCCGTCAACCGCGAGCGTGGCGATGATGTCGGGATTCTGAGGCTGGTACCGAGCCTTGTTCACCTCGCCCGGGTGGTCAATCTTTTGAGTGATGCTCCACTTGATGGAGCGAGACTCCTCCGAGGATGCCTTGCCGCCATAGCCCCCAATCTCGCCACGTTCTTCGTCGTAGTTGCGAGGATTGGGCTTGACAGGCTTCGGAATCTCAACTTCGGCAATTTGCAGATAATTGGGCTTCCCTTCTGCAGTGTGGGTTCCGATAAGCAATCGGTGGGTCGTGTAGGTATTGTCTTTTACGTCCTTGACATCGGGGAACCACTGCGTGGTCAATGTCGGCCAGTCCAACGCGGTGCTTGCAGCTATGTCAGATGACAATGCCGTTTGCATAACAAGTTTGCGCAATCCTTACCTCAGGATCATGTCATAGAGAAACGGGCTGTTCTTCTTCCACGTCTTGTATTCTGTCAATTATTAGTCGGTTGGTCAGAGAGAATTTCGTACTGGGACGGAACCTACCTTCGTTGATGAGTCTCTGCTCCATGTCGGCATCGTCCTGGTCGTCCATGTTGCCGACTGCGCATAGTTAGGATTCTTCGATACACTTTGCAGCACTCGAGAGCGGGAGGAGTAGGTGAGGGGCTCACTGTCGACATCGTCCACTACGTCCGCGGAAACCATTGTGGATAAAGGGATGTTGGGGGCGAGTTGAGAAACCACTTCACTAGGTAAATTAAAGTATTTCCTGGCCGGGTTGCTTTTTTGAATACTCACGGGCAAGTGATGACTGTGGGCTGACTTCAAATGCGGAGTGCTTGCATGTGCGAGAAGCCGGCCAAGTCAATGCACAACTTGAACGCGAAACACGACTTTTGCTCGCGCCGTGTCCAGATGCGCTAAACAAATATCAGTTAGCGGACGGTAGTGGGGCACGGTCAGTGCACTCTTCGATGGTGGGGCTAGACTGGGAGCGGTCCGCAGTGGGGCGTCCCCATAGTCAGACATCGCAAGGAGGGTGTCCTCAGCTTCAGGGCACCACCAGGCGAACAACCGAAACATACACTTGCCTCGACATCCCCTACTATCGCCGTTTGCTGGCTCTATCACACGTAGCCACGAGGCTTTCTATACAACGACAGTATCTCTAAAAGTGGACTGATTGAGTTCTGCGAACCTTCCAGCTTTCGTGGTTTATTTTCCTTCGTTCGCTGCTTATTGCGCTCTTCCAGATATCGAATGCCCGGCCATTTTTATTCAGCGCCGGCATCTTAGACACCGGTTCTCTCTTGAGCCTTCATTGTCATTTTCTATCGCTGTGACCCAAAGTCGAAGCGAGAGAACCACCGCAGCATCTGCACCGACGATTCAGAACTTGACTCGACAACATTGGATCACAGTAGCGCCATCTCGCGCGCCTTGTTGCCAACATGGGGTATGTCTCTGGCTATGGTTTCAGCGCGATGCGCCCAATTCACTGACCGCCGCTCAGTGTTCCCAAATTCTTCAGATGGCTCTCGGAGCGCTATCCTGCCATCTCACAGCTCATCGCCGAGAACCGGATTCCCGAGTTCGACTGCCTCTACGTGCGCGCGCCTCCCAGCATCGCAGAAGCGCCACCAGCTTCTCTCTTCCACAGTCTGCTAACCGACCCTCGTAGCTGGATATGAACGGCATCATTCACAACTGTACGCACAAGGACTCGGACGATGTTCACTTCCGTCTCACCGAGGAGGAGATGTTCATCGCCATCTTCAACTACATCGAACATCTCTTTGGCAAGATCAAGCCCAAGAAGCTGTTTTTCATGGCCATCGACGGTGTCGCGCCGCGTGCCAAGATGAACCAACAGCGCGCCCGCCGCTTTCGCACTGCCCTGGATGCCGAGAAGGCCCGCGAGAAGGCCATCAAGGAAGGCAAGGAGTTGCCCAAGGAGGAGCCTTTTGACAGCAACTGCATCACGCCTGGTATGCTGCCTTACTCCCTCAAGCTCGCCCTCGGTCGTTAACAAAATCCCTATAGGAACCGAGTTCATGGCGAAACTGTCACGGCAGCTCAAGTACTTTATCAACAAGAAGGTGTCCGAGGACAGGGACTGGCAACAACCCGAGATTGTGCTTTCTGGCCACGAGGTGCCCGGCGAGGGTGAGCACAAGATCATGGAGTACATTCGGAACGCCCGCGCCCAGCCCGACTACAATCCCAACGTTCGTCACTGTCTGTACGGCCTTGATGCCGACCTCATCATGCTGGGATTGCTGAGTCACGACCCGCACTTCTGCCTTCTTCGGGAGGAGGTCACATTCGGCCGTCAATCAAAGCACAAGTCCAAGGAGCTGGAGCATCAAAATTTTTACCTGATGCATCTCTGCATTGTCCGAGAATACCTGGAGCTCGAGTTTCAGGAGCTCAAAGCTCCTGGCGCAATGTCTTTCCCGTTTGATATGGAAAGGATCATTGACGACTTCATCCTCATGGCTTTCTTCGTCGGCAACGACTTCCTTCCGAACCTCCCTCACCTTCACATTAACGAGGGCGCTCTGGCTACCATGTTCAGGATATACAAGACTGTGCTCCCCAAATGCGACGGCTACCTCAACGAGAACGGCAAGGTCAATCTGCAAAGGCTCGGTCTCCTTCTAGACGAACTCGGAAAGGAAGAGTTCCGCTTCTTCGAGCACGAGAACGAGGATGCCAGCTGGCTGCGAGGTAAAAGAATGCTTGAGAACGATGAGGTGGAGAAGACCCGAGCAAAGGCGAAGGGAAAGCTTATCATCAGCTCAGACCAGAAGGCCCTCTGGAAGCAAAAGATTCGCAAGTTTCTTACTAACCGCACCTCTCAGACTTTGGATCTTGGTGCCGGCCTCAATGCCGCGGACCGCAAGTTTATCCAGGATCTCGCCGAGGCTGCCCACCTGGAATGGGCGACGAAGCCGGACGAGGAGGGTCACCGCCATCTCATCCTTTCTTACCCCGCTAGAGACGAGGAGGATGAGGATGATGAGGAGTCCCAGTCCGCGGTGCTGCGTATTGTCAAGAGATACGACAATGCGCAAGTGCTCGACCTCACGTCGGCGGACGCTCAAGCTGCAATGGAGGCCAAGTACAAGCAAAAGTTCCAGGAATGGAAAGACGATTACTACTTCAAAAAATTCGAGGACTGGACGCCAGAAAACAAGGAGGAGGAGCTTCGGAAGCTGGCCGAAAACTACGTACAAGGCCTTCAATGGGTGCTTTACTACTACTATCGTGGTATTGCCTCGTGGCCCTGGTTCTACGGTTATCACTACTCGCCCATGATTTCCGACGTCATGAGAGGACTGAACGCCGATCTCAACTTTAAGCTGGGCCAACCTTTCAAGCCGAACGAGCAGCTCATGGGCGTCTTGCCAGACCGTAGCAAGAAGATCGTTCCGCCCGTGTACTGGGAGCTCATGACGGATCCCAAGTCGCCCATCATCGACTTCTACCCTAGGGATTTCGAACTGGACATGAATGGCAAGAAGATGGATTGGGAAGCCGTCATCAAGATTCCATTCATCGACGAGAAGCGGCTACTGGCCGCCATGGCCCCCAAGGACGCCCTTCTTTCCGACGACGAAAAGGCGCGCAATGACTTCGGAGTCGCTTTGAAGTTCACCTACTCTGAGGATGTCGACTTTGTTTACCCTTCCTCGCTGGAAGGTGTGTTTCCGCCCCTCGCCCACTGCCACTGCGTGGAGAATATTTTCGACCTTCCTCCCGTAGAAGGCTTGGAATACCGGGCTGGTCTCACGGACGGTGCCCTGCTCAACATCGAGGCCTTGGCCGGGTTTCCTACGCTGGCGACGTTGCCATATGTCGCGAGTCTGGGCTTCCACGGAGTCAACGTCTTCCAACAAGACAGCCGGAATGAGAGTATGGTTGTCACCCTGTTGGGAACGGATATGCGGACCAAGGTCGAGAACGCAAAGGTCAAACTTGGCCAGCGTTGCTTTGTCGGTTATCCGTTCCTGCAAGAAGCCAAGATTGTGAAGGTCTCGGACGAGCTGTTCGACTACACGCTGGCTGAGGACGGCAGTGGGCAAGTGGCCGTCGCACATCATTCGCCCCGCGACATCGAGGAATGGACGAAGAAGGCCGACAGAATTGAGAACTTCTACAGCAAGCGGCTGGGCATCGTGATTGGTCCTGTCGAGTCACTTGTTTCCGTCCACATGCTCAAGGGTTTAATTAAGACCGACGAGGGAGCGACAATCAAGGAATACGGTGAGATCCCTGGCATGGAGTCAGAGTACGCCTCGCAGATCATTGTGGATGAGGTAGTCAACGAAGATGAGCGCTTCATCGAGAAGGCAGCTCTGCCTGTTGAAGAAGAATTCCCCGTCGGGTCGGTTGGCTTCTTCCTTGGTGACTACAACTATGGCCAGCCGCTCGAGGTTGGAGGCCACTCGGCCGGTAAGCTTACCATCTGGCTTGCCGTTCAGGAGAAGCGCGAGCCGGAATTTGCAAAGAAGATCATTCACGATGCCCAACGGGGCATGCACTACCTGCCTTCTTACATGGTGGCCAAACAGCTAGATCTGCATCCTCTCACGCTCAGCAAGATTACCTCATCTTACTTTGTCCGGACTGTCGGCGACCTTCGGGTTAATCTTGGACTCAACCTCAAGTTTGAGGCGAGGAAGCAGAAGGTGCTGGGCTACTCTCGCAAATCCCAGACTGGCTGGGAGTTCAGCCCTGCTGCCATTCATTTGATCGTCGAGTACATGAAGCGATTCCCCGACTTCTTTGCGGGAGTCAAGCGGAACCCATCGGGCGCCGAGCTGAACGAGACGGATCTCTGGCCTGATGCCGCCGTGGCATCCACCAGGGTTAAGGAAATCGGCGCCTGGCTGAAGACCCTCAAGACTAACTCCATGGAGCGCGTGCCCCTTGACGCCGAGCAACTCGACTCGGACGTCGTCATGCGACTTGCCGCTGAGGCAGACAATCTCCAACTGAGCGCAATCCCCTCTAACTCCAAGAAGATGAACGGCGTGCCGCGCAACGCGCTCATGAGGCCCGAGGACGCGGAGCACCGGCTCGGCAACCAGAACTTCGCCCTTGGAGACCGCGTAGTCTACGTCGCGGGCAAGGGCAAGGTTCCCATCGCCTTCCGCGGCACTGTCGTCGGCATCAGCCGCACCCCAACCGCCAAACTGATCGACGTCGTCTTCGACGTCACCTTCATGAGCGGTACTACCCTCGGTGACCGGTGCCCGCCGTTCCGCGGGCAGACGGTCCCCGCCACGACGCTCCTCAACCTCACCAACCACCAAGTCGTCGCCGGGTCCAAGGCACAAGTCGCCAGACAGCCCGTCAGCCCCTCGGTTACCACCCTGACAGCCCACGGCGGCTACCACATGAACGGCAAGCGCTACCAGGACGCGGCCGCTCCGCCGCCGCTGCAGGGAAGCTGGCGCGGCGCGCTGAATGGGGGTAACCGTGGCGGCCGGGGCGGCAACTTGGCTCAGCGCGGCCCTATCCAGGGGACCCTGCCGTACCGCCCGCACTCGCAGCAAGAACAACAACAGCAACCGGACGGCCTTTACAACCCCATCCCGGCTCGGGGTCGTGGTCGCGGCGGAGGACAGTTCATGGGCCGTGGTAACAGTGGTGCCCCGTTCAGGGGTCGCGGAGGGTACCCCAGCGTCGATCCGAACGGCATCCAGCATCCGGCTTCGGCCCCGCCTGTGTATTCGGCTGTGCCGCCTCCGGCGATTCTGGATGCGCCGTCGAGGGGTGGACGTGGAGGGCGTGGACGGGGCGGTGGTGGCAGGGGAAGGGGGGAAGGGCAGGGGTTTAGAGGAAGGGGTGGACGTGGCGCTGCACAGGGGCCGGCGCAGGGGCAGCAGCGGCAGCAGCAGGCGGCGGCTTCGCGGGGCTAGGGCCTGGGTTTCTGTACGCGATAACTAGGGGATGGTGATATAGTGGGGTAACAGGTTGGAGGGCTGTAGATTGTAGAGATGAGAAATGACCTCTGCCAGCTGGGAAAACATTGGTGGGATGGAGGGTCGCATATAATGCTGGCTTGCATGGGACTTGGGGTTGGAAGAGAGGAGAGACCTTGTCTTTAACTGGAGCATGGTAGGTGACGGCGAGATGTACTTGATCTATAGCTTCCAGCTAGGAGAATGGCGAGAAAACCCATGATACCCCCCAAGGCGACACCTTATTCATATTGCATGTAGCTATGCGTAGTGGATGGCTTGGGAATATCTCAAGCAGGAAGACAATCAAAAGACTCGAGAAGTTCATGCTCCAATTGCGTCTACGTGCGTGGAACCGGCCGACTCTACGCCCCCGCCTTCTTGGTCTCGTCCTTCTTCTTGATTGAAGGCAACGTAAACTTCTTGCTTAAGTTATTCCTCAGCGTCTTCCACCTCCAGAAATCCACGTCCTGGTTCCACGTCAAGAAGCCCACCCACGGCTGCACGTTATAGTGCAGCCTCAATACCACATCCTCCTGTTCCGCCACCTTGCCCGAGGGGTGTGTGATTTGGTACTTGGGACGCTGGTTCTTGATGGAAAGTTTCCCGCTGCGCCATCCATCGCGGTCAGCCGACCCAGCCCTCCCATACGTAGGTAGAGGGTGAGGAGAGAACAGAAAACATACCGGCTGGGATCGATGCTCTTGCCCTGGGCGCTGCGCTTCAGCTTCTTCAGGGCGATCGGCCCCAGGTTGGCCAGGTGGTCCGCGCTCGGCGACGTGATGATGCTGTCCCAGATGACGGCCTGGTTGCTCGCGTTCTGGCCCGACCCGGAGCCGCCCGCCGACGGCCACTCGGCCGTCACGTAGACGAAGAGCTGCTTCGTGTTCCAGGTGAAGAGTGACGAGAGGTCGGCGTCGAGCGAGAATTTGATTATGGCGTACTCTTCCTTTTTGGACGAGTAGTAATGCGGGCGGCCGCGGACGCTGGGGAAAGGGAGGGGTGTTAGTGGAGGTAGGCCTTTGAACGGGGAGAGGGGCAAGAGGGTATGTACACTTGGACATTGGTGGGTTTGAGAACGCCCACGCTTGGAGTGCGCGGTGTGAGCAGGTCTGTAGATGCGATCAAGGCGGCAACGACGAAGGCGACGGTGGTGAAGAAGCTGAATGCGTTTTGGAAACGGACGACGGAGGAGTACATGTTGGGCGACGGAACCGGAGGCTGCTGCGCCCTTGCTCCTTGAAAGAAATCAAGAATTGGGACTGGTTTTCCAGTTGGAGGAGAAATGGCTGGCGTCACCTGGACCTTGTCATTGACCGGGAAAGGCTCTAGGGGGCGTCAACAACTTGGAGTTCGCAATTGCTCGATCGGGACAGCTTCCCTTCCCAGTGATTGACGAGTACGATAAGGCCAGATCGTTTGTTACATGCAGCAATCGGGGCGCTGTCCAGGTACTGTTACGGATACAAGCTTGGGCACGCCTTATCTTATCGCACATCTGGTGATGTAAGACGCCCTCCGGTGAGCCTGGTTCTCATTGCATTCCGACCGAATCAATGCCTCTCCGTAACCCACACCTTGGGTTTGCGTCGCCCTCTCAACTGCCCGGCTCCCCGCACCACTCAACCACACGATGCGAATATCTTAGCAGCAGTCAACATGGGTGCTAGCGACTCAAAGCTCGTCTTCAAGAAGGGCATCTTTAGGCTGTCCGAAGAGCGACACATTCCCTCTGGCGATGTGTACTGGGCCTCGGTCAGTTACTCTACATCATAAGAAAGTAAGGTCTGCTGAGGTTATCCTGCTAACCGAACCATCACAGTTCTGGGAGCTCCCTGAATCTGCCGAAGACATCTTTAGCCTCTTCGCTGCGGCTGACGTGCGCCGCACCCGCGACAATGCGCTCGAGAACCTTGAGAGCCTTATCCAGGCCGTGACGGCCCGACTATTCATCCTCCGCAACCACCCTTCGTTCCCCGATCCCGAACTAGCACCTGATCGAGAAGCCTTGAACTGCATCCGTGTTCTGACACGGGTCCTTCCATTCGTATACGAGCAGGAGTCTCTGCAACAATGGGAGGATCAACTGTTCTGGTCCCCGCGGCGCAGGCCGACGCGGAAGTCGTCGATAGCCAATGAGGTCCTCTTCGATGGGGGACAAGATGTTTCGACGAAGCCCTCAGGAGACGATTTCGAAGACGCGAAACCGCTTGGGCAAGAACTCATTGATGCTCTGCTCGACCTCCTCTTCTTCTCCGACTTCACCGTTCCCAGGTCGCCGCAGGGCAAACCCAAAGTCACCTACGCCATCTGGCAGAGCGGTGTGGGATGTAATACGTCAATCCCGACCACAAGGGATCATGAGAGCAACCGCTGCGAGATTCTGCGCCTGCTTCTGACGCTGGCGAGTCGCAGCATGTACCTGTCTCCTAGCGTGCTACCCCAGCAGGGCATCAAGGCCCTCACTTACATCTGTACTTGCTCAGACAAGCAGGTGGTTCTTTCAGTCTTGTGCTCGCTGTTGAACACGGTAAGTATATCAGTTCCCATCTAGGCTGGCGCTTCACTTACACACGTAGACCCTCAAATACAACCCAGTCAGTTGGCGGGTGCCTTACAATGCCCTTGTCTTCAATGACCCGAAGGAGATTCTCGTGACGTACACACTGCAGTTCCTGTTGGCGACGCTGCTCTACCCCATTCCCGAGCAAAATGGCGCCCTGACGCCCAAGAACACCTACCGCCACTTCCTTGGCCGCCTACACCGGCCTCAGGACTTTCAGTTCGTCGTTGACGGAATGACGCGGATCCTGAATCAGCCACTGCAGGCCAACTCCTCCTACATTCCTGGAGCCCAGCCCCCGGTCCGATTCGCGCCCGAGATCATAATGTTGTTCTGGGAGATTACACAATGCAACAAAAGGTTTCGATCTTTCATCGTCGACACGGAGCGTGCACACGACTTTATCGTTTTGGTTCTGTTCTACGCTCTTGAGTACAAGACCGATGTTTCCAGACAAGGTGTGGTGAGAATGTGCGCTTTCCTGCTGCAGACCCTCAGCGTGGAGAAAAACTTTGGGGTCAACCTGAACAAGTCGTTTCAGGCACAGGATACTTTGCCTCCCGCTATCCGAATTGCCGGCTTCCGGGGGACTTACGGGGACTTTCTCATTCAGGTGAGTAAACCTGGCTACTCGCGCCTACAGCATGGCTGATTGAGGCGTCAGTCTATCTACGGACTGATTACGACCAGCCATGGGAAGCTGACGGCCATTTACCCCGCGCTGCTGGCGGTTATCAACAATATTGCTGCATACCTGGAGGGCTTGAGCGCGCCCACTTGCTCCAAGATCATGCAACTGTTCAATTCCATGTCCTCCCCGTCTTTCCTCTTGGCGAATGAGACTAATCACGGGCTTCTGCGGTCGTTACTCGAGGCAATAAACGCCATCATCGAGCATCAGTGCGACAGTGAGTTGGCAACCCGAGCAGGCCGGCAGCATGAGACAGAACGGACTAAATACTAACCATCCTGCAGAGAACCCCCAGTTCATCTTCACGATACTGAGAAACCGAAAGAGGTTTGAAGCGTTGCGCTCCCTGACGCTGGAAAGCGGCCAGGAGGAGATTGAGAGACGCAACCGGCGGAGGAAGGACAGCAGCGCATCCCACGATCCATTAGAGCAAAGCTCGACCAGGAGCTCGGCCGAGAGTATCAGGAGCCCAACAGGACCGGCTTCGCGAGCCCCGACGCTTGGAGACGTGCCAGAGGATGATAGCACATTTGCAATTGGGGACGACGAAGCTGACAGCGATGACGAAACACGGCCGACGCCTGCAGCGTCCAGTCCCAGCGATAACCCCTCTGTACCTTCGTCGGTGGCATCTGCAGCAGACGATGACGTGCCGAGGCAGCTGCAGGGCATGTCGGAGAAGGCGAGAGGAAAAATGCCGGCCGGCGCAGGCAATTTCTCCCGTCAGAACAGCACCGCCAGCCTTGGAAGCCATGCTGCCGCCCAATCACAGTCTGGGCTGTTTCAGCCCTCAGCCCAGTGGATGGACAGTTGGCTCCCTGAATTGCCACTGCACACGACGCTGACTGTCCTACAGCAGCTGCCAGTTCTCGTCCCGCGCCAGGCTCTCTCGTCAGACACGGTTTCGCAGGCTACTCTGGGCAAAATTCGTGATGTACAACTCGTGGGGGTCGAGCCATCCCCTATCCGTGTTCACTCGTTTGAGTGGTCGACCCTGGCGCTCGGGTGGTACGAGTCGCTGCTCTGGGGCTTCATCTTCGCCAGCGAGATGCAGGTGTCGAAAGGGACCGTGGGCGTCTGGAATACGACAAACATCAAGCTATTCCGCGTTCAGGAGACAGCGCCGCAGGGCCCGACGCTAACATCCCCGCGCGGCGCCGTGGACGCGGTTGGCAGTAACATCGTGTCCCGCATCGGGGCGATCAATCTGCGCGGAGTTGGAAGCCCGTCGGTGTCGACCCTTGGTAATCGACAGCCTTCCCCCCAAGGCGCTTAGCAGGCCTGTAGGAGGAGGTGATAAAAGAAGTCATTGCCTTAGTGACATAGCGTAGTGTCTGCAATGGTGATATGGCAGGCAACACCAGCGGAAATGGCGGGGCGTTGGATGGTCGTCTGTGGTCACGGCACGCAGGTCAATAGGACACGGGAGTCGAGGCGTGCGGGTTGGAATGACCAGATTCATCCAGTATTGTTACTGCACATATTGTACAAATGTCTCGCCGGGTAACCGACAGCGACAGAGCGGTTCTCAGTTTGGCACGGTGGCAATCACGGCACGCATATCGGTTCATCTTCCCAAGTGAAAGTGTGCGTGCTCCCAAAGCGCACCAGCCGGTGTCGCCCACCAAGCGCCAGCCAGTGGGATATGTAGAATGGACGGGTTCCCCAATCTCTATAACCACCGCTGAGTGGCACTAACTGCGCGATGCCTGCTGTCGCGTGTTGAGGCCCGGGATCCAGCAAGAAGAGGAGTCTAGAAGCAGCGCTCGAAATGAAACAGAGCGAATCTGATGAAGAACAGATGAGACGAATTGGAAGGAGAAAAACCGCAGACAGATAAAGCGAGTGTTGCACCTGAGCCAGACAAGGCGACCTGCAAGCCAAACTCATTCATATCCATTCAACAGTGATTTGCCAGCAGGGTGCGGCATATGTTCCTCTATAGAACCTTACAAGGCTGGCTTGATAAGATATACCTAGGTACTACCCCTTCTTGAACAAACAAGGTAGCAAAGTCATCATGACAAATTCTGATGTAGCCTGCTGTTCCCCGAGCTCCTCCTGCCCTTCTCGTACAGCCATTTGCTATTCAGGCTCACGCTAGACCGCTTCCCCGTCGCCGGCGTCGGCGTCGCGGGTCCATCACCAAACATGCTCGAAGCGGTGCTTGCGCCGAGCGGGCTGGTCGAGCCAAACGATGTCCTCCGTGCCCCGTTCATCCCTCCGCCCACAGCCTTGTGCAACAACGGACTGATCGTTGAGGGCGAGTATTGCTGCCCCGGTGCGTTGAGCTTTGACGGCGACGTGTTGAACCTGGGCGACGAGTACTGCCCGGAGCCGGGGCTGGCAATGTTGGAGAGGGGCGAGCTGGTGTAGCTCTTGATGCTGGCGGGCGACCCGGCCAGCGACGGGGTCCTCGAGTACCGCGGGGGCGTGCTGTACACGGAGTCTGGCGTTGCCGGTCGAGAGCTCGGTGGCAGGCCAAGCAGCTTCCGCTGGGCTGGTGTGAGGGGTATGTCGGAGAGGTCGTCCTTGGGCCGGAGGAGCGGCAGCAGTGCAAGGCCGACGTTGATTAACGGCGCTAGGACAAGTGCGGCGTATATCCAGCTGCTGTACTGTTTCAACAGAGGGCTGATGCTGGCGTACGGGTCAGCGCGGTGTATGGTAAAGCTTCGTCTGAGGAACTCACGCCCACGACGGCACAAACGGCAGCACCATTTGTTGCAATAGCCCAAGACCGACGAGTGCAGCAGCATTGTACACTATCTGCCTGATGTTCTTCTCTGAGAAGGTGTTCTGACTCTGCCGCCGCGTGATCTCTGCCAAGCGAGGATGTTTCCAGTTGCCGGGGCTGTCTGTGACAGGAGCAGTGGCGGTCTGCTTGACAGGCGTGGACTGGGCCGACGCCAGGGCCGAAGACGACATTTTCTCGTCGTAGTCTAGCTGCCAGTGGACTGATTTTCTCAGCCGGTGCGACAAACTGAGGAGTGCGCAATAGATGTGATGTGGCCGCGGAAGCACCGTTCGATCTTCTGACTGGCAGGTCGAGAATGGATATGATTCACTGCTGTATAGTGCGGTTAGTATGTCCGGATGGCAAAACAGCCGCTTTCGAAGCGGCGTGTCGCCGGGCGGGTGTAGTCGTCGCCGCTGGGTTGTCGCTTGTTTTGGCGACAAAAGTGGTTGCTAGCCGCGATTTGGCGCCAAGTCAACATTACAATTGTCACTCGGCGACCTGGGGCAATGAGCCAGCTGCTGAGCACCTGTCAGGCTTGAGATTCCGCTGTTCGGCAGCTCCGGGAATCCCAACTTGTTATTGGTTGCAGCTTCCCGACACAGAGCTCCCCGCCATCTTTCCCAGCATCCGCGCCGTTAAGGTACCTTCCTGTGTTACCTTACGCTGCAGGCATAATAGGTAGGCACAGGCACAGGTGCATGGGCAGGGGGCCTAGGACCTTCCTGTGTCCCCTATTTTCAGGTTTGTTTTGGATCTCCTCATCCACGGCACGCCATTCGAGCCGTGGTCGTCACAATTCTGTTTTTCATTGCACCATTTGACATAACCCGTTCATCAGTTGCAACGACACGATGGCCTTCCTCGCCACGCTGCTGCTTCGTCTCGACGAGAGCGTCACAGGGCTCTTCGGACAATGGAATCCCTGGACCAGCGTCATCGTCACCGTTTTGGTTGGCTTTCTGACTTACCAGATTGCTGCACGACAAGAGCCGGACATCCATCCTCTTCTGCTTGCCCGCCAGTCTCAGCGCTCCGAGGTGCGCCTGCCTGGCGAGTCCCCCGTCTACCGGTCGCAAAGCGCCCCGCATGGCATGCCGCTCAACGCCGGCTTGAATGTGAAGGACCCCGGTGCAGCCAAATGGTCTAGAGGCCGCGATGGTGACCTGCGAGATATCTGGCGCCAGGTCATTGCCGGTGTGCAGGAGGACGGTCCGACGAAGGGGGCAACCGGCCGCATCTTGACCGTCCTCGGCACCGACAAGGTAGTCGAGCACCATCTCCGAGACCTCACCCGCCACATCAACTTTATCGGTCAGCATCTCGCCAGCCAGGGCGCTACTCGCGTGGCTATCTACCTCCCGAATTCGGTTGAGCTGATGGTGACGCTGTTCGCATGCGCCTTCTACAACCTAACCGCCGTGGTTCTGCCCTTCGACCAGCCCGACGATGCTGTCATCTCCATGCTGCGCCGATCCGATGCCGACATTGTTGTGACTGCTCCGGGCTCCTTTCCCTTCAACCTCGTCGTCCAGAACTACCCCTCCCTGCGCCAGCTGATCTGGGTCGTCGACGAGGGCAGCAAGCACATGGACTGGAACGAGATTCCCCAAGGCGCCGGAGGGAGTGTCAACGTGACCACCTGGCAAGATGTCCTATACGAGGGTTCCGCCAACTCCGGAAATGAGCTTCCTCCGCTGCAAGGACAGAGAGAACCCAGCGACGTCATCGTCTTCTGGCAGTCCAAACCTGGACAAGAGGAGGAGATGGTCCAGTTCACATCCTCCAACCTCATCGCCGGTGTTGCCGGCCAGATCTTTGCCATCCCGACCTCTCATCGCATGGGTCCCTCCGACCTCTTTCTGCCTGCCGATTCCCTCGCCAATACCCACACCCTGGTCCTCACCCTCGCGGCCCTTTACTCCAACGCCTCCGTCGCCTTCAACTCGGCTGCCCCCCAGGCTGAGGATCTCACAGTCGCGGTCCGCGGCGTGTTCCCCACCATTCTCGTTGCGACGCCCGCGGCGCTGCTCAAGACGCACAAAGAAGCCCAGGCCCAGCTCAAGAGCTCGCTCGTAGCTCGCACCCTCCACTCCCTGCAGCTCCAGAAGCTCACTCAAAACGGCGTCATGCCCCTAATCAAGACCCGCCTACCTGCGGGCAGCAAGCTGCGACTGATTCTGACGGCCGAGCGCCCCCGCGCCGACACACCCAGGTTGTCGTGCCGCGTGCTGACCGATCTGCGGGCGTTTACCGGCGCCAGGATCATGTACGCCCTGACGGCGCCCAAGGTCGCCGGGACTGTGACACAGACCGGGTTCTACGACTACCGCGTGTTTGACGGGGAAAAGGATGGCGGCTACCACTTTGGCCCGCCGCTCACGAACGCCGAGATTGTGCTCAGGGATACGGGCTTGTTCAGGACCGGGTCGCATGGGAGTAGGGGAGAGGTAAGTGCATGGTTTCTACATTCCGTCGTATATGTACCGGCGAGGTGCAGTGTCGTGGTGGTTGGATGGCTGATTGACCATTCTTGACACAGATTTTCGTCAGAGGCCCCTGTGTCGCTGGCGGGGAGGCGTCGGTTGCGGCTGCTGGCATGTTCAGGGATGATAACACCCTTGCGTACACCCGCGCATATGAGTTCTCGTTCCACCAGGCTCCACCCGACGAGCGATTCAAGCAAATCGAGGACGACAAAGACGCCAACTCGGATTAGACTTCGATTTGCACGTCAGTTTCAGGTTGGTTTGCCCTGGCCTACATAGATAGAGGGCACTTCATCGATAGGGACGAATTGCCCAGAAACAAGGTAGACGTGCAAGGCTTCAATACAAATCAATACAAAAAACAACATGCCATCCCAATGACATTATCCCGTGGTGACACCCCTGATTCCGTCCTGCGCCCAGCGCCCTTTAACCGTGCAGATATGTACACCCATGAGAAAATCCCAGCATCACAAACCTCGTGTGCAAGACTACGCCCCATTCCTGTAGACCTGGGCTCCTTGGTTCCTGAACATGATGGTATCCCTCCTCTGCAAGATCATCAGCGCCCGGTTCAACGCCGTCTCGCTGAACCCCCTGCCCTCGACCATCTCCCTGCGAAGCGTCGCCAAACTGGTGCTCCACCCGATGGGCAGCCGCCGCTTCAGCTCGGCCTCGACCCGCGACACCTCCTCGTTTAGCTCGCGGCTGCCCTGGTTGCTGCCCTGGTTGACCGCGTCCATGGTCGAGCAGAGGAAGAGGCGGATGGCCTCGTCGACATGGTCCTCGGTCGCGACGGGTGACAGGGTCAGTTTGGCGAGGGACTCGGTGATGCGCACGATGGCTTCCAGCTGGCGGACCGTGATGGGAATGGAGGAGCGCGTGTTGGCTTCGAGCTCGGCGGCGTGGACTTGCTTGCGGATTGCGACGAAGTGGGACGAGAGCTTCTCGGCTGCTGCGTCGGAGAGGCGCGGGGCGCAGCGGCTGGGGGGGGATGTTAGCTATAAGAGGTTGAAGGGAAAAGAAGGGAAAGATAAGAGGGCTTACGATCTGCAGTAGCTGATGTAGCGGCGCATCTTGTCGACTGGGATCTCGGCCTCGACGCGCTCCTCGACGCCGCGGCCGCCCATGTGGATGCCCATGACGTGCTTGGCGATGCGCTCGTCCCTGCCGCGCTCGTGCTCGTCCTTGACGATAAAGATCATGTCAAAACGGGAGAGGATGGTGGTTTGGAAGTCGATGTTTTCGCCGGGCGTCTTCATGTCGTCGTACCGCCCAAAGATGGGGTTGGCGGCGGCGAGCACGGATGTCCGCGCGTTGAGGATGGTTGTGATACCTGCCTTGGCGATCGAAATGGTCTGCTGCTCCATGGCTTCGTGGATGGCTACACGGTCCTCGTCGCGCATCTTGTCAAACTCGTCGATACACACCACGCCGCCGTCGGCGAGCACCATGGCACCGCCTTCGAGGTAGAACTCGCGTGTGGACTGGTCCCTTTGGACCGAGGCAGTCAGACCGGCGGCGGAGGACCCCTTGCCAGAGGTGTAGATGGCAATGGGCGCAACCTTCTCGACGAACTTGAGCAGCTGCGATTTGGCTGTACCGGGGTCACCAAGCAGGAGGACGTTGATGTCGCCACGTAGCTTCATGCCGTCTGGAAGGATTTTCTTGGAGCCGCCCATCAGGAGGCACAAGATGGCTTTCTTGATGTCCCGGTTACCGTAAATAGAGGGGGCAATGCAGTCGGTCATGATGTTGTAGAGATCGGGGCGCCGACTAAGCTCGAGGAACTCTTGCTCCTCTTCTTCGGAAAAGACGGCCTGCCCCTTGGCGGTCTGGTCCAGATCGGTCTGGATGCCAGTTGCGCGCAGGTAAGGGGTTCGGATGGCGACGGCGCCACTCGAGTTCTTGGAGCCCTTAGTCTGATAGATGGAGAAGATACCCATGACCGTGCACCTCGATCCCGGCACGACCCGGTTGGTGAGGTAGCGGTCGGCGGAGATGAGGACGTGGCGGGGTAATTCGCCCACGGGTACTTGATCGGGCGCCTCCTGGAGCTTGATGATCTGCTGATCGACGAACCTCGACTTCTCGTGCACGACGAAATAAGGATCGAGGGGACATTTTTCTGTGGGATCACCAGGTGCCCTGAACCTGCCACACGTCCTGGGGAGTGCCACGCCGCTAAATCCTCCAAGAACCGGGATGTCTTGGACGTGATCGCAGGTCCGGCACTGGATATGGAGTGTTGTGGCCTTGGAGGACATTACCGAGGCGCCGATAACAATGCCGGGTACCCTCACCAACCGCGAGATGGTAAGGGAGTCCAGGTTGCGAATGGACACGTCTTCAGCATTGGAATGCAGCAGCAACTGGTGCTCTGGCAACTTGACGTTGGGCTCGTGAGGATAAACGATTCGGTGGGTACACCGCTTCAAGGCTGCCTCGAACTAGACGGGGTCAGTTGGACCTCGTACCAAGGTATTGTAGAAGTGTCTGCCCATACTAGCGGGATGATATCTGCCGGCTCTGACACCAATCTATGGGCAATCTCCTCGTTGAACTTGATCAGGTCGCCAATGTTGACGTCGCAGTAGTACTTCTTTAAGAGCGCATTCTCGCGTAATTGGTCTCTGCATGAGTGTTAGCTCAGGCAAGCCGGCGCCCTGGGCCGTAGGGTCAAAGACAGACCTGTAAATGAAGATGTTGGCGAGACGGAAATCGAGGATGAAGGACTCGAGGAGAGCGCGGACGTGTGTGTTGGAGTCCTCGCTTTCGGCAGGCGTGCCGTACAGTCGGCTAGAAAAGACGGACTGCCTATCCATGGTACACGTGTGAGGCAATGGATTCTAGGTGGTGCCGTTTCGTGAAAGAAACGAGCGGACGGCAGTGCAGAGGGCTGTTCGAGTACGGTGGTGAGGGGCAAGTTGCAAGCAAGCAGGGGAACGCGTAAAAGCGTTGGTGTATCCAAGTTAACGCGTCCTAGCGCGGTTTTGTTGCAGGGTCTTTAATTGCACTGGATAAAACGATACGCCCCGTTATGGAGCATCGACACTGGCCAAGCTAGTCATGCACTTACAGAGAATGGATGCAGGGTCTCCGTCTCCGCCGGGCTTGGCAGGCCAGTCCCGGCCAGACTGGCATCCAAATGCAACCGGGCATTCATTGAACGAGGCGCGGTTCAGGAGCTCAGCTCAAGCAACACTCGACGACGGCATTCCACGCCAACTACCAGAGAAAATCTGCTGGTAACTCAACCTACCCTCGCAGTATCACCGCAGCGGAAGAAACAGCAATCGGGCACGATTCGGAGCGTAAACCTCGAGTGTCTTCAGCAATGATAGCTCGGTGACGGCGGCGTCTCACTCAGCTTCCCGACTAGCAGCTTGGGGTGCTAGGTCCTGGGCCTCTGGTTTGGGTTTTGTCCCGGTGTCGACCTGGATGGTCGCCAACAGCACCGGGACTTTGCTGCGTGGCTGGGGAGACTAGGCGAGCTATCATGTTCTCAAATCAGGGGGCGCGCAAGTCGGTCGATAGCCTGTCGCCGACTCTGTCGGCCGGGCATCGCGGCGACTTCCCCTTCCATGGGTACACACAGTCCACGCACACCGACACACCCCATGTACTCGCTCCTAGTAAACTAACTAGTTCGAAGAGCAGCGCCTTATGGACCACCACGTTCCCATCCGCGGAGAGGGTCAACGGCAAGCTCCATCCACTCGATTGGCGGTTCGCTCGATGGCACGGCGAACTGGTCCAATGCCGTCTTCGAGTCGGGCCAGAATGCCATCTCGACCCTCCTCCAACCACCAATAGTGCGGACCGGCATGCTTCCACATACCGCCCCTCCGGCTTCGAGCGCCCACAAACCTCCAACCGCCCGGGACATACCGCCCGTAGCCCTGACCAACATCCCCCAAGTCGACTCATCCGAGTTCAAGCCCTACCTGTCACAGGTCGGCGCCTTGTACGAACAGTTGCGCCGGATACAGGCGGATGAAGACCAAGGGTCGCGCCGAAGTGCCAAACCCGATGACTTCCCCGACGCCCTGCACGAGGGCCACTTGCACCCGGGTAGGCGCCCGGGGTTATCGTCACGAAAAACATCAACCACCTCGCTCAGCTCCTTGTCGTCCATAGAAACCGTTACGCCGCCTCAGCGGCGCTCGAGTTCGCGTCCAAGGAGAGGGCAGGCGCATGGCGCCCCGCCACTGACCACCATTCCCGCCGTCTACTTTGACGAGGACTTCCATCTCGAGAATCCGCGCATTTTTGACGTGGTCAGCGAGCGCTCCGAGGTGGTGCGACCGGCCCCGAGCAGCGATGAGAAGGGGGCCTCCAACGGTCAGTCTGCCGCACCCCGCAAGGCCCTGGCGACAAACGCCATTCTCCAGGAGAAGCTGTCATGGTACATGGATACTGTTGAGATGCACCTCATCCAGTCTATTTCGACTGCGTCCACCACCTTCTTTACCGCCCTCGGCTCACTCCGGGAATTGCATTCTGAAGCTGCAGATTCGGTGGAGCGGATCAAGGCGCTGAGGCGGGAGTTGAAGGCATTGGACGAAGAGGTCGCCACTGGCGGCCTGAACCTTGTTCGCCAGCGCCGGAAAAGGGAAAATATCAAGCAGCTTCATGATGCTGTCATGCAGCTCAGGGAAATTGTCGACGGGGTCGCCGTCTGCGAATCCCTGGTGGATGCCGGCCAAGTCGATCAAGCGCTCGATAATATTGACACCGTCGAGAAGCTCACGGCAGGCGAGCCGTCAGATGCCAACCAGCTAGACATACAACTCAGGGACCTCAGGGAGGCTACCGTCCTTCAGGGAGTGAGCAGCGACCTGGATACCCTTCGACTCCGCATCGGCAAGTCCTACGAAGCGAAATTCCTTAACGTTCTCCTCACAGATCTCCGAGGTCACATTGCGCGGGTGTCGGCCCAGGAAGTTCTGATTCGCTGGAGTAGTGCTTCGGCGCGCGTTCGCGGAGCCCACAGCCGCGAACCCTCGGCTTTTCCGTCGTATATGGTGGGAACAGACGTGATCCGGACAGAACTCCTCTCCAGTCTGAGGGGCTTGCAACGCGCGAGATATGTTACCGCTGCGGCTATCGCTTATCGGGAATCTGCACTCCGCGAGATTCGGACTATTATCCGGCAGCAAATGCCAAGCTCCGACGACGACGACAATGAGTCACTCATGTCCACGTCAACGAGGACGGGGGGTAGGAATCGCTCTCAACAGGAGAGGTCAATCACCCTGGCCCGTAACCTCCGCGCGCTTGAGCCCCAGGACGCCGAGGAGCTCTTAACAAAGATGTACATTGGTGTGACTGAGACGCTAAGGAGGTTGAGCACGCAAGTCAAGGTTCTGCTGGATGTCGCAAGTTCTATCGGCGAATCTCCCGCATCAGGAACACTTTCTCCGCTCAGGTCACCTCCTTTCAGCCCTACATCAAGGCAAACATCGGGTGCCGCTCAGGAGGCCCAGGAAGAAATACACCGAGCAGTGGATATTGCCAACCTTTTGGGGCAGGCGGTAGACGTGGCACAAGAAAAGATCGTCAGGGTATTGCGCGTACGGTCAGAGCAGAGCAAGCGGCTGGGGCTGGTCTGGTTCCTCCGGTATTTCACGCTTAACCTCCACTTTGCCAACGAATGCGAGGCCATCTCAGGGCGCAGCGGCACAACACTTAAGACTGTCGTTAACGGCCACATCAAGGAGTTCATTCAGGTCCACGGAGACGCCGAAAACCAGAAGCTCGCCCAGGGCATGGAGTCGGATCAGTGGAACGCGGCAGACTTTGGCGACAAGGACACTGAGCTACTCAACCGGCTCCTGGAATGCAGCACCAGGGACACCGCCGCCTGGGCCGAGGGAACTCAGATCTGGATCCCGCACACCGACGCGGAGAAACCAAGCGAAGACGTCGACGTGCTCTCGGCCCAGACAAATGGCACGAGCAAGACAAAGACGCGGAGTGCCGTTGTCGAGTCTGAGAGCTTTCTGCTTCCCAAGTCGGCCATTTCATGCATGCATGGCATGGCCCGCTTCCTACATCTCATGTCTGCCATACCGTCCATGACGGGCGAGATTGCGGCCTCGCTCATTGCATTCCTCCAACTTTTCAACTCGCGATGCACCCAGCTCATCCTCGGAGCTGGCGCAATTTGCTCTGCTGGTCTCAAGAATATCACAACAAAGCATCTGGCACTGGCATCACAAGCTCTTGCCTTCATAGCGGCCATCATCCCGCACGTCCGCGAGTTTGTCCGACGGCACTGCGGCTCAGGAACGACAGCGTCGACTGTTATGGGCGAGTTCGACAAGGTCAGGCGGGCATTCCAGGAACACCAGAACAACATGTACGACAAGCTCGTGGAAATCATGAGCGGGCGGGCGCTGGCTGGCACTAAGAAATTGAAGGCCGTGAGCTGGGACCAGGAGGCCAGCAACGCCACGAACGAGTACATGGAGACGCTCGCCAAGGAGACGACGACTCTGCACCGCAATCTGACAAAACACCTTCACGAGGGCACCGTGAGACTGATTATGCTCCCCGTGTTCAAGAACTACAAGGACACGTTTGGTGCCGCATACCAAGGGGTGGAGCTCAAGACTGAGCAGGGTCGCGAGAGGTTTGTTTTTTTCATGATCGGCGGACAATACAGAGGAGCAAGCTAACGTTCGGACAGGATGCTGCGCGACGTCGAGTACTTCCAGTCTCGCCTCGGCAAGATTGACGGGTTCGAAGACGCGGGCGACCACCTCCTCAACATCATCAAGAGCAAAAAAATCGTCACCCCTGAACCCGTTACAGCAACGGCTCCGCCAGCACCGGCACCCGCTGCGGACCCCGAGGAAGGGGAAGACGGGGGGAGGCCGGCGGAAGAGCAGCCAGTGGTGCAAGCACAGGCCGAATCCGGCCTCGTGGAAAACAACGGGGAGCTCAGCGACGAAGGAAAGGCGTAACGGAGATGTCTGGTTTATGGGAAAGATAACATTAATGGTGGGTTGTGTTTGGTAATTTGCTATACATGTGATGGCATGTATAGATAGCGCTACGGTTTGTGTACATAACAGATATTGCGTGGACTCAAAGCGAAAACAGGTATTGGGAAGTCTTCATCAGGTGTAGGTGGCCGAGGGAGTCTGCCAACCTACGCCGAGTCTGGTTTGATTGATGTGCCCGTCAAGGCGAACATGACTTCCGTCCTGGATAATCACCAGCATGGTTTTCCAACCCAACCTAGCGCCGTGCAACCAGGATCTCGCAGGTCCCTGCTGTTGAAACTGAGGTTGCCTCCGTCACTACAAAGATTGGATTGAGCAACACTAGAAAAGAACAGGATCGATAGGAGACGGTTGAAGTAAGCAGTCGCTGCATAACATCTTGCCAATTCGTGCCCTTTTCCCCTCGGCAAGAATTTTACCGGCTTTGCGTCCAGATATCATGTCCTCCTCACACTTGTTGTGCGTACAAAATGCTGATACCGCACGGCAACCTGACCATCATTCATGTACCTTCGGTCCAATCCTGCCCAACATAGCTCACTCCGACCCTTGACCATCAATTCTTCCATAGCATTTTCTCGTATAAACCAGAGCCTATACACCCCGTGCTGTCTTCGCCACCTCGCCGCTATAAAAACTTGGCTGTTTGAGAATCACCAAAGTCATCTTCGGCGTTGCGTCGCTCGTATTAATCTCATAAAAGCTGAGCCGGCGGGCGGGTGAGGGTAGATACTCCTTCAAATGCGCCCGCAGCCATAATCATGGACAGTTAGGCGGAGCAACCTCTGTCCCATGTCCACATTCGAAGCGGTCATCACAAGCCGGTCATCAGCCACCAAGCCGACAAATGCAGCCAACGTTCCTTGGCCTTACCTACTCGCCACCACGGACAAAGCCCATCAGTCGCGCGACGAAAGCCGGCCGCTGCCGTGGCGCGACCAATGCCTTCCATCGCGGTCCCCGCTCCCCTTGACCGGGTCCGACGAGCCAGACGCGAGCCAGTCGCGCTCACTCAGCGCCTGCAGACTGGAGATGGGGAGCGACTTCTAGCGCTCCACCAGATTCGCCAGCTCCATCCTCGAGCGCGCCTCGCGCATAAGCGCCTTGGCCTCCTCGACCTCGACGCCGTCCTGGCAGAGCTCCGTCGCCAGCCGCACCGCCGTGGCGTAGTCCTCGGCCCGCATCGCGTACCGCGCCAGCCACATGCGCGCCTTGCTAGTAGCGAACGTGACGCCTGTACCACTCCCGTCGGTGCCGCCCGCTCCGGCTACCGCGCCTTCGCCGCCTCCGGCCTCGGAGCTCGGCGAGTCATGGTGGATGGCGATGGAATCGCCCAGAGCTCCGCCGCCGCCCTCGTCAGCGCCTGCGGCGCCCTCTTCTTGCGCCAGGCAGAGCTCCATGTACGCCTTGGCCTCCTCCTCTTCGTCAAGCCGGTCGTACATGGTGGCGATCTGCAGCAACACCTCGGGATCCATCTGCGACATGCGGTCGACGGCGGCGGCGCTGCCGAAGCTGCTCGCCGTGGTGGTGTCGTAGTAGCTGTCGGCGAGCAGGGCGCGCTTGAGCGCCTTAATGCCGTCCCGATCCCGACCCATCCTCTGTAGGCACGAGCCGACGGCCTGCCACATCTTAGCGTCCCAGGGCCGGAGGCCAGCTGCCTTCTTGTAGTACCACAGCGCGTAGGCGTGCATCTCGAGCACCTCGTACGTCTGGCCCAGGCCGTACCAGGCGCGGTAGTCCCTCCGGTTGACGTCGACTGCTCGGCGATATGACTCGATGGCCGCGTGGGTGTTCTTAAGCTCGACGTACTCGTGACCCATGAGCGTCCACGCCGAAAGACAGGAGCGGTCGAGGGTGAGGGCCCGGCGGAAGTACTGCACCGCCTTCTCGTGCAGTGAGAGCAGCGAGTAATAGTTCCCAATCACGACACAGGATTCAGCGCGGAACTTGTCGATGTTGGCACAGAGATGGGCCAGGAAAGCTAGCTTGGGTCGCCGGTTCAGAACGTACAGGATGTTGGAGTAGTGGTCCAGACAGTCGAGCCGGTGTGGGTGTAGGGCTAGTATCCTGTTAAATTCCTGCTCGGCAGCGAACAAGTCCTTGGAATGGTAGCACAGTAACGCTTTACAGGTTAAGAGGAAGGATGAAGTCGGGAAGATGCCGAGGAGATCTTTTAGTGAGCCAGCAAGCTCTGGGTTCTGCTGGTAGAGGCTGATGGAGGTGTTGGCATGGAAGATGTAGGACATAATGTTCTGAGGGAGGTGCCGCGTAACCTTGTTCAGCTGTTGGGGTATGTCAGTTAACACAATCAGAGAAAGGGGGGTTGCATGTCGCTCACCTGCTCAACCCTGGAAACCAGATTAGTTATCTCCAACCACGCGCCCCAGTTCCAGGGAAATAAATGTACGCTCTGCATGAGATAGTCCAACGCAAGGCTGTCATTTTTCTCTTTTGCCAGAACCATGCCGTACAGATATTCCAGGAAGCCCTGGCTGGCTGGGTAGTCGCCGTCGTCGGCCTTGCGTTCAGCAAACCATTTGGTGAGGAAGCGGCTGACCACAACCAGCTGCTTGTTGATGACGGCACCCGAGTCCTGCGGCCCCATAATCATTTCGGTGTCCTCATCCTTGTGTTTCTCACCCGCTATGACTTTTGCGTACAGAGCGAGGAACATGCTTTTTTGGCTGATCTCGGGCAGAGTGTATTCCGACGACAAGGAGGCGGAGGCCTTAGTTTTGCCCTTGCCTTTCGGGGTCGCCGTGTCGTTTGTGTTGGCTCCCAACAGGCCTGCAAGTAGGGGCTCAGGAAGGAAGACGGCGGCGCATCGCTCGAATTCCTTGCAGTCGAAGAAGGACTTTGCGAGTAGGTACCGACTCAGCTCCTGGGCCTCGAGGGCGGCCTCAACGGGGTCGGGATTGGGTGCGAATATAGGATGGACATGGCTGTCCGGCGCATCTGACATCTGCGCCTCAACATCGGGTTCTGGGAGCGCATCGAGAAGCTCGGCAGCCCTAGTTAACTCTACGGGTCAGCTGCGTGCCTGGGCGTGGAGATACGAGACGATTGTCCCCAGTCATACCATTTTGCTGACTGATACAGGCATCGTTCGGAGCATTTGACCACTGCTGTTTGGAGCGTTTCCCTCAGCTGCAGCGAGTCATTTGGCGAGAGTCTCATGGTCATGATCTAGATGCGCTGTGATGTCGTGTTGTCTGATGTTGCTTCGTGGTGCTAGGCCGGGGAAGCTATGCTTGCAGTGCACTTGCAGTTTTCCGTCAATTATCCATGTCAAACAAGCAGACGATTTTGGCTCCTAGGTGTAGTTGCAAAACCCAACGCAACATTCCGTCACACCTGGTCCAGTGTGTTGTTGATGAGCCTCGGAGCTCCGATTGGTGCGCGGACGGAGACTCAGAGAAGGTGCTGCACCCGCCTATAATAAAACTGCACGCGTCAGGTGCCGTCATGACGCGCTGGGCGGCAAAGGGTACCTCTGCCCCACTTCCAATCTGTACCTTCCGAATGCCGATCGACCCAATCTTGGAAATCGAGGGGTAATTCAGGGGCTTTGGTACAAAGTACCACCCACCGTAACTTCCCCACCAGAAACTTTGAAGACAAATGGTTTTTCAGATACTTAGGTTTCTTCCATTTGGCAAAAGCTGTAACCCCACCGTGTGTGACACCCGATAGGATACTTCACCGCTCAACCGCACTCTTCCACGCCAAAAACACTCCATTCTCATCGGTCAGGACTTGGTTTTGAACCAATTGCTCCTACCAGCACCACACAAAATAGAAGGAACAAAAGAACTGCAAAGATGGCGCAGAAGACGACCCTCCAGGAATTCGAGTCCGTTTTCCCCAAGCTGGAGGAGGTGCTCCTCGAGCATGCCAGGTCCTACAACCTGCCAGCTCAGGCACTCGAGTGGTACAAGAAGGTCGGTCGATGTGCCATCACCGTTCCTCCCCCTCTTTCCTCCCCGTAGTTTGCAGAGTAAAACGCAGAGTTCTGACCGCTGCTTTTCTGCTCTCCAGTCCCTCGAGGTCAACACGGTGGGCGGCAAGTGCAACCGCGGCATGTCCATACCGGACTCGGCTTCGCTGCTGCTTGGGCGGCCGCTGACTGAGGACGAGTACTTCAAGGCGGCGACGCTGGGCTGGATGACGGAGCTGCTGCAGGCTTTCTTCCTCGTGTCGGACGACATCATGGACAGCAGCATCACGCGGCGGGGCAAGCCGTGCTGGTACCGGCACGAGGGTGTGGGCATGATCGCCATCAACGACGCCTTCATGCTCGAGTCGGCCATCTACACGCTGCTCAAGAAGTACTTCCGCGACCACCCGCGCTATGTCGAGCTCATGGAGCTGTTTCACGAGGTCACGTACCAGACCGAGATCGGCCAGCTGTGCGACCTGCTCACGGCGCCCGAGGACAAGGTCGACCTGGACAACTTCAGCATGGACAAATACCGCTTCATCGTCATTTACAAGACGGCCTACTACAGCTTCTACCTGCCTGTGGCGCTGGCGCTATACCTTCTCGACCTGGCGACCCCCGACAACCTCAAGCAGGCCGAGGCCATCCTGATTCCGCTGGGCGAGTACTTCCAGGTGCAGGACGACTACCTCGACAACTTTGGCCTGCCCGAGCACATTGGCAAGATCGGCACCGACATCATGGACAACAAGTGCTCGTGGCTGGTCAACCAGGCCCTGGCCATCGTGACGCCCGAGCAGCGCCGCGTGCTGGCCGAGAACTACGGTCGCAAGGACAAGGACAAGGAGGCCGTCATCAAGAAGTTGTATGACGAGCTCAAGCTCGAGCAGCGGTACAAGGACTATGAGGAGAAGGTCGTCGGTGAGATCCGCGACCTGATTGCAAAGATCGACGAGACGCAGGGCCTGAAGAAAGGCGTCTTCGAGGCCTTCCTGGCCAAGATCTACAAGCGCAGCAAATAAAGCGTGCTGTTGCGGAGCACTGTGCACCTAGTGTTGACTGCAGATTTGACTTCATGAATACTCACCTTGTAATAGAAGTTCCGTAGAGCATTCTATAGACCGGATCAGAAAAGTGAAAATGAATTGCTACGCCTTCTATTGAGTCTCTAAGTAGTCGAATGAGCGTAATTATAGACCGCTGGAACCGAGTCTTGCTTACCAGGCCGGTTCTGACTTTGAAGACACCCCCCATCATAACTGATTCGTAGACATCGTTCCTCATGCTGAATGCCGCGCCAAGAGGTTCTGCTAGCAAGAAAACAAACAAAAAAAAAAAGGACAAACAGCCAGCCGCAGGCCAGCAATAGAGTTGAAGCAAAGGCAAACGGACGGACAACCGAGAAGCAAGAGCACCATCACCACCACCACCACACCCTCTCAACACTCCCGCTTCCCCCTCAAAGCCAGCTGACTCTGTCCCTGCGAATACCTTCCATCCACAGTCCTCAACCGTTCCCTCGCCCTCTCTCGGTCCCCTTCACCGACCCACATCATCCTGTCCCTCGACCGCACATACGTCGCCGCCGCAGCAGCAGACGAGACCGGCATCGTCCCTCCAATATTACCACCGCCCGCCGTACCAGGCCTGCTGCCCGCCCCACTACCTCCTCCTCCCCCTCCTCCACCACTAGTAGTAGTGCTAGTAGTAGTGCTCTTCACCGTATTCCTCCTCGCCAACCCAGCGCCAGGGCCACCACCACCCATCCCCAACCCTCCACCCTCGGTAAGCGTATTCCCCGTGCCCCTCAGTTGCAGATCATACTGCTGCATGAGCGTACCGCCGCCGCCCGCAGGATGGTCGGGCCGCCGGATAAGGCTCTTAGGCGGCTGGGCTGCGTCGCGGAAGCGCGCGGCCGTGCTGGGCGGCAGCACCGGGCCGGTTGCCAGGTCGACGAGCGGTTTTCCCTGCGGTGCGCGCACGCCGCGGCCCCGGTGCTCGCGGGACCATTGCGGTGGCTCTACGAAGGTTGGTGTCAGGTCAATTAGGGGTTGTGCTGGGCCGCGGGGTTTGCGGCGGTGAGCTGGAGGCTGGGATTCTTGGGTTCTTGAAGAGGCAGGCTGGTTGGCATGGTGAGTAGTGGGTAAAGGTAGGTGGCCTGTCTCGCGCTGCCGGACGGAGGGGGCGCGGGTTGGTGTCGGGGCAGAGGTGCTTGGTCGCCGGGTTAGGGGAGCAGTTGGGCGGGCGTTGCGCTGTTCGGCCGAGTGCTCGACGGCTGAGGGGAACCAGCCTGTTGGCTGAGAGCTGTCAGGTGATCCTGTCTTGTAGCTACCGTCTGACCCGGATGTTTGGGGACGGGCGCCGGATGCAGGCCCGGCCGCTGCACGGCTGTTGAGTAGGCTTGGGCCATTGACAAAGGGACCTTCGTTTATCGTCGAAGCCAAGGTCTCTCGCCGCGGTCTTCCGTTGGCCTCTTGTTGCTGAGCTTGTTGTTTACGCTCGTCGTACCCATTGCCGAGTAGACCGGTTTCCGCGAACAACGCCGCTTTTTTCTCCCGCAAAGCTCCCGGAAAGGGCGGTTCTGGAGGTACTGCTGTCCCAGCTGATGGAGAAGTCGGCGTGTTCTCGCGGGAGGCCGAAATTGACCGAGTCGAAGTAGGAACGTCGACTGACGGCCTTCGCCAGCGGCCTTGGTCAACTGGAGCTTTTCCCCTGGAACCGTAGTCCGCCTGGGAACGGCTGCTCGGCGACGGCACCTCCTGCTTCTCGTGCAGCCTCAATTTTTTGTTCACCAGGTACCAGCTGCGCCAGCCCTGGACACAAGAACGGAACCCCCGCGCCACATCCGGGTCTTCGGTGCAGAAGAAATGCACGTAGTTGGTCAAATCAAGGAACAGACTGGCTTTCTCCTGGCTCTTGATAGCGTAGCAGTACCTTTTTGGGGGCCTCAGCTGCTTCCGCATCTCGGCCTCCGTGGGCATGTAGAGATCGAAGTCAGAGAGATGGCAAAGCCTGACGACATCCTTGTCTGAAGACTTCCAATCTCTCTTCTTGGAGGCGAATATCTGCCCGTTCTCTTTCAGGGTGATGTAGCGCTGGGCCCATTTCCCCGGCCGCTGGAGCAGGTAGAAATTGAGAACGAAGCCCCGGGGCTCTTCCTGCGTCTTGGGGACGCCGGCAAGACTCAACTCCCCGTCAGGGTCGGAAGCGTCCGGCAGAACGATGAGGCTGTTGGATGAGTCGTGATCCCAGGCGCTGACGACGTCCCAAACTAACTCATACTCCCGAAGCCTTCTTTCCAGACCTGGGCGAAGGCATGGCTCGACAACGACACAGCTGTCTGGGTCAATTGGCCGCCCCAGCTTTGTCAGCGACTCACTGCATGATCGCAAGAGGTCGGTGGTGGACGTCTGCTTGGTAACCTGGACCGCCACAGTGGTGCCCCGGCACCGCACGCCAACAGACTATGTCCTAATCAGCACAACATGCTACCTCGGCACAAGCCAGGACAAAGCCAGCCCTTTCAACTACTCGGTTTCGCTTACCTTGGCCGTGGGATTCTGTGCCTCCAAGGAGCTGCGAGGCATCTCTGGGGATGATTTGAAGACATCCGTTGCCGTCGACTTTGATGTCGAGGTTGACGATGTGGGCAGTGTGCGAGAGCGCTTTGTGAGGGTAGAATGGGGCGAGTCGCCGGTCATGCTCTTCTTCTGTCCTCCAGCGAGAAAAGCAAACGCCTCTCGCAGTGGCGGCTGCTGTGGTGAGGGTTGCGACAGCCCGGGTGACTGCATTGAATGATACATGGTCTGCTTGGCGTCGGTCTTGTCGTCCTTGGGGTTAGAGTCAGAATCCTGCCCGTTTCAGGCGCTGGCTGTGCCGCCTCGTCAGCTGAGAAAGAGGTCTTTTTTTGATGGTCGTGCCGACGCTGCCCGCCGACGTTTCGGTACGGCGCCGGCTGCTGCCGCTGCTGCTGTCGTTGAGGTTGGTGTTGTCGCCGTCGATGCTGCTCTTGGTGTAGAGATTGGGAGCCAGGGCTGGTGGGCGACGGTGAGAAGGGCTGGTTCGTTGTTGACTGCCACTGCCGTGTTGAGTGAGATGGAAGGAGTGTGAAGGATGGATGCAGGGGTTTTGGCGGACGGAAAGACAAGCTTTTCGGGTAAAAAGGCCATGCGCTGCGCGCGCTGCGTGCGCTGCGCGGTTGGGCCTGCCCTGCGCTTTAGGAGCTTGGAGTTATTCACGTCATCGTTTGGCCGTCTTGGCCGCAGGTTGGTCGAAGCAGCCGTTTTCTGCACCAGCACGGCCGGCCGGGCTGGCGGAGGTTTGCTGCAACCTGTCGATCCGCCCGTGTAGTTCCCGCTCACGTTTCTATTTCCACCTCCTCTGCCCATTCCAGCGCCGCGAGCGAGTAGGCAGGCGAAAACGACGGCTCGTCTTCAAAAAGTCTTTGCTGAATGTCGGTGGCCTGCAGCGACCCATCGACAATCACTGCACGTCTTCCCGTTGCATTTCTGCCGCGTGGGCTAGATTTCTTTGGGGCAGCCGGGCCGGGCGAGGCAGGTGTTGGTCGTCTTGGTGGACATGGCAAGGTTTCCTCGCTTGTCGCGAGGCACCGGGCGGCGCGGGCTTACCGGGTCGTGGGGGTCGATCTCTGGGGCAGATCTCGGTTCATCAGGGTCGAGTGGATCACAGCCAACGTTACAGCGCTTGCATCAAAACAGGTGGAAAACCAAGGACACTAAAATACGAGACAGGTGAACAGCTCAGGCAAGTATATCCCTCCGTCGCGTACAGCTCCCAAGGGAGTGTCTAGCAGGCGAGACATTTCTCATGGTACGACACGTTGGTCCTGCCTCTGAATGGAATGAGCGCATTGACGGCACTCAGACGCCCCTCGAGTCACTCGGTGATCTGCCATCCCATCTTGCATTGAGATCCCCTGGCTGAGATGGTTGAAGTCCGATTAGTCATTAAAGCAAGGGTGCTCGGACTTATTGTACTGCGAACACTTCGGCAGCCATCAAGAAGCAAAATTCTGCACTGCATACTTCCTTGGATTGAACGCGTTCCAAGACCCATCTCAGATGAATCAGGGAGAGACACCCTTGCCTCCATGACGAAGCGCGTCATGGCACGCTGACCGGGCCGCTTCTCTCAATGTCTGAACGCGCGACACTCCCGCCTCCACCAGCCGACAAAGTCCTGAGTCGAGACATCGATCCCCAGATCTTTCAGCGCCTTGGTGCTGAGGTGGCAATCGTACGGCCGCTGGACGCTGGCATTTGGGTCATTCCCCTGGGTGTTTGGCTCGATTCGATCAATCGGGACACCCATAATCTCGCCAAACAGCTGGCACATCTCGTACTTGGTGTACTTGTCCTCGCTCGAGAACTGGAGCACCTTCGGCAATGACGCCTTGTCCGTCTCTCCCAAATACCTAACTGCCACATCTGCATCGTTCCATTAGCATAACCCCTCACAATGCAATCGGAGATGTCAAAAAGCCAACACCCACCGTAACAAACCCTTGCCACATCCTCCGTGTTCGTAGGGTATCTGAGCGCCCAGTGATCCATCTTCACCGTCTTCCCCTCCCCCTGGCCTTGGTCCCCCATAACGACGTCCATCAAACAATTCACCGCGCTCTCCCCATTCCCCTTCCCCTTATCCACAGGCCCATAGAGCACCGGGACCCTTAGCACCACCCCGAGCCCGTCCCTCCCGGCCTCGCGGCACTCCGCCAGCACGGCCTGCTCCGCGTCTAGCTTGGTCTGCCCGTACAGATTCGTCGGCCCGGTCTGCGCGTCGGCCTCGTACGGGGCCTCGCCCGGCCGCCCGGAGAAGACGTAGTCGGTCGAGATGTAGACGAGCAGGATGCCCCGCGCGGCACACAGCCGGGCGAGCGCGCGCGAGGCCTCGATGTTCAAGGCGCGGGTACCCTGTGGGTCCTTGTCGACTTTATCTGGGTAGCGATTTGCGGCACCTGGTTTGTGTTACTATGAGTGAGGACTTAGTGTGTGGTGGGTAGGAAAAGAAGAGGTAGAGTTACGAACAGTGAATTACCACCTGCGGTCTTGAGACCGGGTTTATCAGTACGATAATGAAGGAACTGCTGAGCGGAGTTTCACAATGTACTCACTTCACCTTGTCCAGAGCCGCCTCGATCTTGGCGGCGTTGGCGAGGTCGACTTTGAGGATGTCGGTGCCATCAGCGCGCGAGTATCCAGTGCCCTTGACGATCCAGTCGTGGAAGGCAAAGGCCTTGACAACCTGCCTCCCCAAGAATCCGGTAGCGCCGGTGACTAGAGCTGCCTTGCCGGACATAGTGAGCAACAAGTTTCTCTCGAGCTCGATTGGTTCGTCTTGTTTCCACGAGATGGTAACGCCTCCAAATTCCCACTACGGGGAGCTTTGGGGCTTCCGAAATGTTGCCAAGCCGTCGACGTCATCGCTGGGTCAAGCGGTAATTGCATTAGGGTTTGGGGTTGGGAGTAGCGATAGGAAACTTGAAGAGCACTAACACAGTAAGGCGAGCACAAGCTAGAAAAAACCCCATTCTTCAAAAGAAAAGTGTCTACAGACTAGTTTCAACGCTGTCAATTGTGGTAACAAGCTCTACACGAACGCTGAGACCCTTCAGTCCCAATCCCGCCATTTCCGTCAGTCCTCGTCCGCCACCTTGTCAGACACCATCTCCTTTGCCTTGTTGACGATCTTTTCCGGCGGACGGGTGACAACGACCTCGATGGGCTCTGGGCTGCTCATGCCGGGAATCGGCGGCAGATTCGCTCCAGGCTCACTCGGCACGGGGATGCGAATGTCTTCGGGCGACCCAGGAATCGTCTTAGGATCGAGACCAGGAATGTGGATGCGCTTGGCCTCGTTCTGATATGCCGCGGGGATGATCTCGATGATCTCGTCCCGCGGGAATTTCAATTTGGGAATATCCATGGTGCTGCAGTGCATGAGGTAGGAATAGAGAACGCGCAGAACACTCTCGTGAGCAATAATCAGGAGGTCATTCTGCTCGCGCTCCAGCTCCAAGATAATTGGCTCGAGCCGAACCGCAAGATCGTGGTATGACTACGCTACATTAGCCTGTGCTCTTCCGCGACAGAGCCATAAAGAATGCATACCTCAGCACGCGGGTAGCGGTGATGATACGGGTCCAGTTCGTGCTTCTCCACCTCCTCGGGATACATGGCGCGAATGGCGCGTTCCGACAGCTTCTCGCAGACGCCGGGGTTGATCTGGCTCATCTGGGACCGCTGCCGGACTTTGTATCCCAATTCCTTCAGTGGTTCTGCCGTTTGGATGGTGCGCAGTCGTGTAGATGTCCACACAGTCAGAGACCGCAATGGCACGTCGGGGCCGCCCTGTTCGATTGATAGCCGCCGCTCCAACTCTCGATGTTTCAGAAGTGCCTCGGTCATCTTCTTTGCGTAGGCTTTCCCTTCCAATGAGAGCGGGGCGTCCGCCTTGTACGACTCTTCGTCTTCCGCAACACCGGCGCGGACGAAGAAGGTGGTGCGGGACTTGATGTGTAGGTTGGTCAAATAAAAGACGATTCTGTGGGTCAGGTAGTTGAAGCTGACATTATTGTAGTAGAAGGCTCGGCCGGCGTTGATCATCTTGACGTAGTTCAGCTCCTCCTCCTCCATCGTCTCAAAAACAGGAATCTTCTTCTCGATCCGCTTGAGGTAGTGCTTCGCCGCCTCGTCAGGGTCCATGCCATGGAACTAGGCGAGTCAGTACCTCCAGCCTCTTGGAACCGCCTATCCACTTACATCAGGAGAGTGGATCTTGACATTGCGGGCGTTCTCCTTAAGAATCTCTTGATCATCGACATAAGATTCGATGAATAGCGTCTACCAGACACAACATCAGTAACATCATACTGAGGTGTAACACGACAAACCGTATTACCTGAACATCATGCTTGGCAAACTCCTTGGCCAACGCAATGCGGCCGCTCGCGGTAGGGTTGACGGCATCGTAGATGGCGACTTGGCCGTTCTCGTGGTTCAGCCAGGCGTAGATGTCCTCTCTGCACTTCTTGAGGATCTTTTGGCGGAGCATGACGGACGCCGGCGATGCATTGGGGTAGAAGTAGTCCTCCGGAACGTGGCCTCCTTCTACAGTGGCCCGGCGATAGTCGCCCAGATGGAAGATACGCGTCTTTACGCCAAGCCTGCAACAAGTGAGTAGCACGAAAAATGCTAGAGCGAGTCAGGACGTACCATGAAAGATAGCGAGCCATCGAGACACAGATGTGGCTGGGAATACATTAGCTACCGTCGGCTCTGGGACGCTCAGAGCTGCCTTACGTTTTCCCACGGGCTGGGAGGCCAACCATGACAATCGCGATTCTCCCCGAGTGGAATAACCTGCCCGACATGGTGCTGTACAGCTGGGCCGGAGCCATATTGCCCTGATCTTCGGTAACATCATGAATGCCGTCGATGAACGTTGAGCTCCTGCGGCGGTATCGTGGCGCGTTGGCCGCGATCTCAGCGGTACTGGAACAGTCAGCAACGGCGTGTCGTCAGTGGAGTCTTTCTCTGTGTAAGTGGCACGGGGCTGTCGATGCAGCCCTGGAAAAAAAGAGAGACTTACAGTAGCGTGTCCATGGCAGCGATGCCGAGGCCGGGAAGGTCTAGACGGTGGCTACCGCGAGAGCGGATGAGAAGCCGAAAGTGATGACTGTATCACCAAACCCACGATCTTGGAGGCGCGGGATGATGTATGTGCCGCACAAAGCCTCTTCCGTTGCATGAAGCGGCAGATAGTAAACGCAGGACAGACAGGTTCAATGTCTGCAAGACTTAGCCCAACTGATACAAATGTGGTCAGCGGAGAGTTTGCGTCACTGCACTTGACGATAAGGCCTCAGTGGTGGCGGAGAAGCAGAGTTAGGAGGTCAGGTTGCCTCCCTGCCAGTCTGTGATGAGTAGCTGAGAAAGTGAGGATGCTGAGTGCCCCACTTTCGTGTTGCGACCGCAGAGACTCGAACTGAGAGCCGTACGGAGTAAAGTAATGTGGAATCGACGGTGAAGGAATGCAGTATAGTAAACCGAGAGTACGGAATTGCAGCTAAGGATAGGTAGGCGAGGTAGGGAGCGTGAGTTATTCTATGGGCCTTCGAGCAGTTGTATACTGTGGTAAGGCTTAAGAATCGAGATGCGAGTGGATGTTCCGTTCGGGTGGGTTTGGGCTGAACTCCGAGCGGTTGACGGGCCCGAGCTGTGACGTTCTGTGGTTTAGTTAGCATTCCCTTCCGGATGCAGCCCGACCTGAGCGATTCAAAGCACAAAACCTATCCAATCGCATCGATTGCGTTAGAAATGCAACTCCTAGCTTGGAGCTCCATAATATTGTCCCCTAGGGCTTACAGGACCTCCGTAGATACCAAAGCAAACCGGCCGCGGCAGGACGTCTGGTTTTATAATTCCTCCGACCCGCAGCACCCTTGCAGCCAGGTGCGGTCCATGCGGTCTCCTTGGCATCTTGGCAGTGGATCTACTACAACGGGCGCTTGGGCCAGCAACCTTGGACCGCGAAATTTTTGGCCCAGCTCCAAGTCTGTCCTTCAAACCGAGAAACTTCAGCCACGGCTCAATTGTCTGCAACATCAAGAGTCACAACCTATTTGTGACGGCAACCATACCCAGGCGTGCTCGGAAATATTTGGCCTCTAGCGACAGACTCGATCGTCCGGAATTGCCGTGATACACGAATCGACGCTGAACCCTGCAATATAGCGATTTCCCGTGACGCCGAGACCTCCCGACTCCTGCCATCATGGCATCCACTACCTCCAATGCGCCGCTCGCGTATCTGCGCAATAACCCCGTCTTCTCAAGCCTCTCAGATGTCTACAATGCCTTTCAAGAAAAGAGGGATCGGCTGGGCTTGTCCAACCCAGGGCTGGTAGAGAATATTGCCAAGGGTACGTCACCGAGGTTGAAAATCGCCCTCAAGGCCATCCACCTGTCGCCCATGGTTCTAGCGCTGTTGGATACCTTGAGCATTGCTAACAGTTCATTAGAGGTCCAGCGCGATGTACTCACCACGAACCTTATGTTCTCCGGTCTCCGGGCCGACCTCACAAAGGCCTTCAGCTTCAACCCCTTGTATGTCTTTCGCAAACTCATGCCCATGCGAAACGCCGATTTGAATTGGGAATCGCCCGGCTTCCCGGTCATGCCGCTGTTCCGGTCATTCGTGCGCCATACTGATCAGAGTCAAGATTCCAAGTATCCCACCAGTTCGCTATGGGGGAACGGTTGAGCCCTTACACTTTTGCCGCCCTCTACGGTACCAGCAAGGTATGACATGACCATCTTCCTCCACCGCAAGCCCACTAACGACATACTCAGGTGTTTGCGCAAGGGAATATTGATGGCGAAGGCGCGCTTTCAGCAACATTCAACTGGAGATGGAGCAATGCGTTCACCACAAAGTCGCGGTTCCAAATCGCCCCCGGCGCCACCGGCCAGGACATGGCCCAGTTCGAGAACGAGTACCTCGGCAAGGACTTTACCGCCACATTGAAAGCCCTCAATCCCTCCTTCCTCGAGGGTGGTTTGACCGGCATCTTCATCGGCCAATATCTGCAGTCCGTCACACCCAAGCTTGCCCTTGGCCTGGAGGCCGTGTGGCAGCGCGCTGGTCTTACCCAGGGGCCCGACACCGCCGTCTCCTACGTCGCTCGGTACAAATCGGAAAATTTCATCGCCAGTGCTCAGCTGCAGGCCCAGGGTGCCCTCAACGCCTCCTACTGGCAGCGCCTGTCGGAGAAGGTCCAAGCCGGCGTTGACATGACTCTTTCTGTTGCTCCCAGTGGCGCCATGATGGGTGGTCTCACCAAGGAGGGCATCACCACCTTTGGCGCCAAGTACGACTTCCGAATGTCGACGTTCCGCGCCCAAATCGACTCCAAGGGCAAGCTGAGCTGCCTACTGGAGAAACGCGTCGCTGCCCCTGTGATGATGACGTTCGCCGCCGATGTTGACCACGTCACGGTAAGAGAAGCCTATCTTATGTAAGAGGATTTTACGCTGATTCCTTCCACAGCAACAAGCGAAGATCGGTGTCGGCATCTCCATCGAGGCTGGCGGCGAGGAGCTGCAAGAGCAACAGGACGCCATCGGAGCCCAGCCTCCTCCCAACATCCCATTCTAAACGAAGACAGCCTACCAGCAGGCAGAGACATGAGGTCAAGACCGAGCAAACCCCATTCCGCCCGCTCCACTCCGCTGCGATCATGCTCGACCACATAATCTATTATCATGCCGGCCGGCTTGCTCGTAATAGGGCTGAGGGCTCATAACCCGCTCTGTATCTCTGTTCTCCCAATCCCCCAATCGTCTCCTTGTTTCATACCGCGCCTTGATCGGCCGCATGGAGATGACGGCTCTTGGGCAGCCTAGGTCGGCACTACGTCTTGCTATATCCGGTCTTCATGAAACGATAGACCTCCCCCCAATCTTCGGGCTTCTCTTGACGGAAAGGAACCTCATGTCCTGGTTTTGGCGCTGCCTCGCATGTCCATACGGAACGGCCTGCTGGAACAGGGCGCACTAGATCTGCACCTTGATAATTTGGCAAGAACCAACCTTGTATTATAGAATTGTGTTCTCAGGAAGGTGGAATGAAGGAGGAGCGAAAGAGAATAGCTGCTCCTTGTCTTTGGGCACAGCAGTCCTGGGCGTGAGAGGATTCCGGGTTGGCAACGGGGCGACTGGAGTCCTGGGCGATTGAATTTGTTTCGCATGTTTTGGCCGCGTCGTCTTTGGAGTCCAGCACCAGTGGTTGCGCTGTAGATATTAGTGGCAATTTCGATGTAAAATAGCATACGCATGGTCGTTTGAGAGCATACTGGAACTGATTCAGACATGGCCATGGTTATTGAACGAGTACAATTATCTACCCTATTGAAACGGGTCGCTGAGTCTCGGGGAACCCCAAGTCGCTGCTCTCTCCCCATCCTCTCCTCAACCATATCCTCCTATCCGCAAATATACATTACACATTTGATAATCCCTAATAGCATATGTAGGTATGGTATCTATCGAAACCACGCTGTTCCCGCCCAGTGAACTCCGCCCCTCATAAGCCCACTCAACTCCATGTCGATGCGGCAAGCTATCAAATCGAACCGTGGCCTTTCATCATCCACCCCGTCTCTGACCATCCGCCTTTGGTATCACCTAGGATCATGCGCTTTGAGCCCTGCTCCCCTTTTTTCGATGTAACGCACCGTGAGGCGTTTACCCTTGATTCCCTGGTTTTCAAGCACACACGCCTTTCCCCAGCGTTCCAATCCCTCGGACCGTCCCCCTAACTGTACACCAATAGGAAAACGAAAGGGGGATGCTCTAATTGTCCTTCACCATGCGAACCGTATCAACCCAACGCTGTTGTGCTGTAAGAAGGATCCAGTAATGCACCTGTAGGTATCCCAACTCGCGCCCGTCCCGCAAATGATAAGAATTGGTAAGAGGAATGACCCGGGTCATCTTTCGCTCCCGGGTCCCACCCTCACATGACAGCGCACTCGCGGTCAGGCTGGACACTCTCCCTGCCCTTGCCATTCCCCTTGTCCTTGTCCTTCTTGTCCTCCTTGTCGCGACTCTTGGACTTGTTCCGGTCCCTGTCCTTCTCTTTCCTGTGAAAGTGATGGTGTTCCTTCTCCTTGCCGGAAGACTCCTCCCCGTCCGTGGGCCCGCCCTGCTCGCTCGTCGACGCTTCCGAGTTTGTCGTGCCGTTGCCGACGCTGGAGCCGCTATCCTTGCTCTGCCGGCCAAAGCCGAGCCTCGATATCGTGAGACTAATCCTCCCCTCGCCGGCTTGGCTGGTCGGCCGGGACTTGCTTGCGCCTGACTTGAACATTGCCGCTGCCCGTGAGAGTCGGGCCGAGGTGGTCTCTTCCTGAGGCGTGACGGCTGGAGAGCCGGCCTCAGGGCTAGCGGCAGGATTGGAAGTAGCTACCGGCTCGGAAAATGTGACGCTACCTCGCCTGGAATTGTCTGTCTGGATAGTAAGCGCCTGCATGTCATACTCCTCAAAACTAAGCCGCGGAGGCTGCTCGATCTCGGAACTGGGGCGAAGGCGCGGTCCCGATTGGGTGAGCGTTGTGCCCGAGTCGAAGTAGCCGCTAATCGACTTCGACAGCCGACCGGCATCGGATATCGTCTCAGCGCTCGGCGTTTTGGAAACGTCAACTGTTGACTCGAGGTACCCCGGGGGATCCGTCACAGAGCCGTCCGTCGACGCGGTCGTGACGTCCACCATGGGGACGAGTTGGTAGATCAGCACATACGGCATCTCTTCCTGTCTGCGGAGACATTGCTGAATGTCATCCACTGGTTCGACACGCCTCTCGATCGCCAAATCGTCGAATTTGACCCATTGGGGCTCCTCGTAGTCGGGGGGCGGATCATGGTCGTGACCCCGGTTATCTGTTAGGAGCTTCGGTGCAACCCGAGCATAGGCAACATAGTGCCCACTATGGATTGAATCACCCCTGTGACAGATGACTGACTGCAACACCAGCTTATATTCCTGGCTTAACCCATTGGGGTCTTGCTCCTCGACGTCGCAGTCGTCGACAACCATGAAATGCGGGAGGCGAAGGCTGTCGGGGATGTCGATGAACGTGTTCTGGCGTATGGGCACACCTTTCTCTGTCATTGTGTACCTCTTCAAGCAAATGGCAACGACAGGGCGTTGGTTAAAATGCCGAGCGAGCTCTACGTCACTGCTTGGAGCGGTGGAGGAGGTGGCATTCCACGCTGACCGAAGGGTCAGCTGCGAATTCTTTGTATAATGGGCGGGGGTCACTGACGTATCAACCGGTAGAACTGCCAAGCCGGAATGGTCACGGCCTTCACCACGTTTGAGCCAGTCCGCTTGGCTCGCTGGAGCAGGCTTCTCGTCTCCGCATCTGCCGACGCGGTCTTCTCGCTCACTATAAATCGCTGGATAATGCTGGTTGACCTGGCCCGAGAACTTGATGGCGGGGAACTAGGACTGGGAGCGGAGACTGGAGACTGCACGACATCCCCGTGCGTTGTCCACCGTCGTTGCAATTGAGTGTTCTCAGTGTGCTCGTCCGGGGCTTCTTCGTCAGGAACCATCCGAGTCATGCTCTCCGGGGTGATGGCGGGCTTGTCGACAGATTTCTTTTCCTCGACGCTATCCCGAAGCACATCGACCTTGTTGTTGAAATACGCCTCCATGCAATCTTCAAGCTTGACCCCTTTGCCATCCGTGTCGGGGGGCACAGGGAGATTGAGGCACCTTTCATGCACAACCTTGTGGTCGTCTACATCTCCTTTCCCCTGGTGAAACAGGTCCATCCGGAGGGCGAGAAGGGGCAGCTGGAGCGCATCGGCGATGAAGGCAAAGGCTTCCGACGTATCCTGCTGCTCAAGACGGGCAGCATCTTTCCAGCCGCAGTCGGCCAAGGCTTGCTGAATGTGCTCCGTCTTGTGGAAGGTACAGTCAGCCACCAAGAACAGGAAGGCGGGCAGAACGTGTAACGTACCATATCGGTGTGAATGAGCTTTCCACTCCTGAGCATGTTGACCCATAACCTAATTAAAGCGGCCAACTTCCTCTGGGACTCGTTTTCCAAGTCATTCTTGAGCATCGATTCGAAGGCTGTCAAGTGGGCGAACATGGCAAAGAGCAACGAGTCGAGATAGCAGGTGACGTTTCCCCTGTTCTCAGCACCAAGCAATACGACATTTGGGTCGTAGGGCTGTATTATTCCGGAGAAGGCCTGCTGCTGCAATTGGAGGAGCTCGACTGCTTTGTTGATGTCGCCGGCGGCGAAGTTGGAGCGGAGTGCGAGGCGGATGATATCCTGCGAAATCTCATGGTAATTAAGCTCCTCAAGGCGCTTGGCTACATCCTCGACCTGTCTACGGCGTCAACACCGTGCTGCGATTCAACCAGTCTCCTTCATGGACCTACCTTTGCCGCTTCCTTCTCCTCCTCTTCCTTTTCCCTCTGCGCCTGCTTCACGGAGTCGGGCTTGAAGATGGAGAGCCACGATTCGGCTGTTAGCGGCCGTGGCTAGTCGTTTTGTCAGCGAACACCAGTGTTGTTGCCTTCGAAGGCCTAGCCCACACACCTTGTTGCCGGCCTCGGACGATCTGTTGCGTCGATGCCCAGTCTTTTCCCTCACGCTGCGGAACTTCTTGGGCACCATGAGCGAACTAGCCGCTTTCATCATCTCCATCGCCCTCCCACGACAGCGTCATGGGATGTCAATACGGAACGAGATATGCTGAGCTCTCGCAGCTCGAGTGGAGGACCGCTCTAGGGCGGGGGTAGATTCACGAGGGGTCGAGGCAGGTGAAGAGCAGTAATTGGCAGTTGTGGCAATCGAACGGGAATTGGAAATGTAATTGATCGCCGTGGCTGTCGGAGGAGAAAGGAGACGATTAGGCAGCTAGTAAAGCGAGCAGCACGGTCGGTCGGGTACCTGAGGCTGGGGAGCTGTGCGGGGCTTGCGAGCTGGACACCGAGACTGGAAGCTCTCGGTCAGTGACGAGCATATGTCGACGCGAGGCCAGAGTCACGCGCGTGAGGCTAGGGGTTCGTGCGAAATGATGATGACAGGAGTTGAGCAGCAAGGGAAGAGCTGAGGTGAAGAGGGAGCCTGGCCAGTGTTAAGGGCCAGACCAGTCGCCAACAAAGTTGAAGTGGAGGTAGGAGGGGCCGAAGGAGTGGGCGACAAAGGCCCCACCTCACCAGCCCAGGTCGATTTTCTTGAATCTTGGCCGGCGCCACCTCAGCTGTAACCAACCCCCTGGCCGTTCGCCAAACGGAAATGTCGACTGAGGTGCCTGAGAAGCTCCAATCAGCAGGGCCATTATCTCCCACTTGCCTGTAATGTAATGACCGCCAGCCTGATGAAGGTGACTTGAGTGAGTGAAGCACCTGAGCGACGCTTGTGGTTGCAGCACAAGACCGAATCCTGTGAGGCTACCGAACTACTAGCCTACATACTAGATATGGAATAACTGGCTAGAGACAGAGCAAGCCATTGTAGATAGGAAACACTCCACTATACGTACGCACTTATATACCTGGTATGAAGAGTCAATCGTCTCAACTGCAAAGCTATGAATACCGTCTTGGACATCCCTGCAACTCCCTGTGCATCATGTTTTGGTGTCTGGATCTGCAAGGTGGCAGGACCCTTGCCCCACCTGCACTTCGTCCACGTCTTGATTGGGGCAAGTGTCGCAGCGAATGGGCCAAGAGGAACAGTAGGTTGTGACGGCCTGGGCTGACGACACGACACCCAGGAGCCGATGCGTGCGGCAGGCGGGATGGTCTTCGGTCACGGGACGGTGCAGTTACGTTGGTGATGGAAATTGAACGGCACGAGCAATTCGAAACTCTCGGACGGCCTCGGTCTTGGGCCGTGCGGACTAAACACATCCAAACAGAAACAGACTCGGTTCCTGCAGAGACCAGGCCGGGACATGGTTTCGAGTTCAGACGTAAACTTGGTCGACCTCACACTATCCCGATCCAAGCTTCTACTCCGGACGTGAATTGTAAATCTCCATCTCGAGTCGACGAGAAGCGCACGGTGTGTAGGGACGCATTTACCCAACTTGGTTACTCAACTGCCTTGCAGGCAGCAAGCTCAACGAGCCAAATAAGGCAGTTCAGCTTGGCTATTCGCCCAGAACTTCGCCGTGCAGTTGGAGCGTGAACATCTTGTATCTCCGCTTCTCATATAGGAACCTGGAAAGAGAAGGACAGGCCGATATGTTCATATATATATACTCTTGCTGGCTGATGGCGCAGCTGTCCTAACCGCTCCCTGTTAACTATCGCTTCTGCGCCCTGCAAGGCAGTGACAGTGCGGGCTGTAGGCACGCTTCTTGATGCACTCAGTATGAATAATGTCCATTCATGCATAATGAATCAGATTTCCCCCTCACCTGGCTTGTGCTTCTTGCTTTTGATTCAACATGTTGCGCAGGGTTCAGCTCAAACTGTGTTGGTCTGAAGGCAAAAGCCACCTCCGCGTTTTCAGCCATCGAGAAGCTTGGCGCTCCGCACCACTAACCCCACCAAGGCCGGGGTGCCGATGAACCTCGGCATGGGGCGGCTAACCGTACCTCGCCTGAGCCATTGATTCAACATCATTGTGTTTCCTTGTCAGACAGATGCATAGATTTCCCTTCTTTCTCATTCCCGACAAGAAACAGTAAATCCACCACATACCCACAAACACTCATCCAAACCTACACCATGTCTGCCCATATTCCCATTGCTGTAGGAAACCCAACTGTGTCACTTCATAGTTTGGCCCTTGTTAACTAAGACGGCTTTGCAGGTGCGTGACCGCGTGAGCGAGCGCGCACAGAAGATATTGGACATTGTAGCCAAGTTTGTCGAGGAAGACTGCATTCCGTAAGCTGAGACTCGCATCCGCATTCAATATCTCAACTGATCTGACATGTTGTCAGGGCCGATCCTGTATTGGAGGTTCAGATTGGAGTGGGCGATGAGAGATGGCAGTCGCATCCGCCTATCCTCGAGGACTTGAAGAAGAAAGCCCGGTCTCTGGGCCTGTGGAACATGTTCCTGCCCAAGGGCCACTACAAGGAGTCGCCTGGCTTCACCAACCTCGAGTACGGCCTGATGGCCGAGTGGCTGGGCAAGTCGAGGGTTGCCTCTGAGGCCGTCAACTGCTCCGCGCCGGACACGGGCAACATGGAGGTGTTGGCCAAGTATGGCAATGACGCACAGAAGGCGAAGTGGCTCAAGCCGTTGATGGAGGGTGAGATCCGCTCCGCCTTCTTGATGACGGAGCCCCAAGTCGCTTCGTCCGATGCTCGCAACATTGAGATGAAGATCGTGCAGGACGGCGACTACTACGTTCTCAATGGCCAGGTATGAATGTCGGATGATCCTGAAATTACCGGCCATCATGCTGATCATGCACAGAAATGGTGGTCCAGCGGTGCGGGAGACCCTCGCTGCAAGGTCTACATCGTCATGGGCAAGACCGACGCCGGCAACAAAGACCCCTATAAGCAGCAGTCAGTCATCATCGTGCCGGCCGACACCGAGGGCATCACGATTCACCGCATGCTGTCAGTCTACGGATACGACGACGCGCCGCACGGCCACGGGCACATCACCTTCAAAAATGTCCGCGTTCCGGCGAGCAACATGGTGCTTGGCGAGGGCCGCGGCTTCGAGATCATCCAGGGCCGTCTTGGCCCCGGGCGCATCCACCACGCGATGCGGACGATTGGCGCCGCCGAGCGGGCCCTGGAATGGATGCTCATGCGCATCAATGACCCCAGGAAGACCACCTTTGGCAAGCAGCTGCGCGAGCACGGCGTCATCCTCGAGTGGGTGGCCAAGTCCCGGCTCGAGATCGACGCTGCGCGGCTCGTCGTGCTCAACGCCGCCATCAAGATGGACGAGCAGGGCCCCAAGGCCGCGCTCAAGGAGATTGCCCAGGCCAAGGTCTTGGTCCCGCAGACCGCGCTGACCGTCATTGACCGGGCGGTCCAATCGTTTGGCGGAGCCGGTGTCAGCCAGGACACGCCGCTGGCAAATATGTGGGCGCAAATCAGGACGCTGAGGTTGGCGGACGGCCCGGATGAGGTGCATCTGCAGCAGATGGGCAGGAACGAGAACCGGCAAGGCAAGGTCGTTGCTGAGAAGATTGCCGCGCAGAGGGCGAAGACGGAGCAGCTGATGAAGCAGTACGGCGCGAAGCGGACCGAGCTTGGTTCCAACATCAAGCGGTCCAATAACTGATTCGGGGGAGTGGCCATGACGTTTGTATGCTTAACAAAGCCGGTTTCAGCTCGATTTGACAAATTGCATTTTCTTTGTTGACTTGGTTACCCAGTTGTTGTCGGGATCATGACGTCCCATTCCAGGGGATGTTTGCGGGCTCAAATTATGGACTGGGGTGAGCTGTGTTGTGGGCCGCTGTATTTAACGTTATGCCGTTGCCCGGTCGATGGTGCCTAAACCGGAAATGTGTTGTTCTCTTTTTCTGCACCCGACCAGAGCCACGCAACGGACAATCCACCTGGATTCATTTAAGTTCGGACACTTGCGTATTGCATACCGGCTTTCCGTTTGTTCTTCTTGTACGCAACGATTCGCGAACCGCTGCATCTCTCCGTTCACCTACCCAGCTTTTGCTTGCGTCGCCTTGCACTTCGAGTTGCCTACCCTCGATCACACCCATCCTCGGCTCTCCATCAACAAACGGCCACCCATTTACATAACAGAAATGTCTGCCAACGTCCTCGCTGCCAGAGACGTCAACGTCTCGATATCGACGAAACCCGAGGCCGACGCAAACACCAAGCCAGGCGTTATGAGCATGGAGCACCACCGACAGGTCCTCCAGTCCAAGATGGAACAGGACGGGGGGTACGTCAACCAACCTACACCCCCATTCACGACTCTTAGAAAGAGGGAAACCCAAAGACTCCGACGCTGACCGTTCCATCTCGCCAGGAAAACAAACTTCATCTCACCGTCGGACAACATCATGAGCCCCTGCACCGCCAAACTGAGCGCCTTCCGCAACAAGCAAGTCGGCAAGTACGTGCTCAAACGCCCGTTCCCCTAGTCTCTTTTTCAGGCCACAGTACATTAACGTTTTTTTTTTTCTTTGTTCAGAGTCAAGCCAAAGTCGCTCTTCGCACAGGCGTCGGCTAAGAAACTCGAGGCCGCCGAGGGCACTGCCGCCACCGGCACATCGTTGTTCGGAAGCAAGCCGGCTGCTGCGGCTGCGCACACTGCCGCCAATCCCTTCGCCAACTGAGTTGCTCGATTCGACTTGTCCGACACATTTTCATTCGTTCAACCCGTTCAGCTTCCACGCGACGGGAACCTTGCTGGGCTGTGGCGCCCTTTCCGCTACATGGCCGTCTCTGCTGTCTGGGCCACTTCCCTTATTTCTTTTGCTTTCGCATAAAGGGACATCTCTGTGTTGAGGTTCGAAGGGAGGGGCTTGTTGGCTGATTGGTTGGATGGTCTACACATGAGGGCGTTGCAGGATCTGCTTATTTTTCTTTGGGATTTCTTTATCAATGGGCGAAAGGCTGTTTAAGACTGGTTATGACAAAACACACAATACCGATGGGCATCGATGTTATGAACTTCCATACGGAGGATGACTTCGTTGCATGCTGTCTGCCATCTCTGGGACTATGCCTTCCACCCGCTGACTATGTACACCACGTCCTCGTCCGCCACCGGGTGCCCCAGCCCTACCCTCTGCGGTATATGCCTCGCACTGGCGCCCCAGACCAGTGCGTACTTGAAGGTCTCCTTGAGCGTCCTGTGGATGCGGTCGCAGACATCTTCAATGGTGCTGTTGCTCCGCACAATGAGAGCCTCGTTAAAGTCGGGATCCACGCCCTTGCGCTTGGTGTATATCCGTATCAGGTTGAGCTCCTTCCAGCACCGGTCGACGACGTCCTGGATACCCAGGTCCAGCTCGCAGCTCATGACCACGGTGTGGGGCTCTCGTGCCAATTTGTCAAGGAAGTCGAGCGAGACGCTGTCGATCTTGTTGTAGACGTACAGGCACTTGATGTACTTGCGGTGGTCCTTCATGATGACGTCGATCAAGTCGTCTACGGTGCAGTTTTCGTCGCGGACGAGGACCTCGCAGTTAAGCAGCTTGTAGTCGCGTAGGATGTTCATGATCATCTTCTCGTCGAGCCCCTTAGGTGGCGATTGAAAAGTGATCTTCATGCCGCCGGCTTTTTTGGGCTTGAGGTAAATGTTTCTGTCGGGTTGTAAGTGACGTCTCAGCCCATGCGGTCGCAAGTGCCATACTTACGGTGGCTCCCGGTTCAGCCGAATTCCCACCGCTTCTAATTCGGCCTCCAAGAGTGCCCTCTGCTCGGCTCGTTTGGTGGCGTCGAGAACCATGAGGATGAGATCGCTCGTCTTTGCCGCCGAAATCACCTGCCGGCCTCTCCCCTTGCCTTCCGCAGCCCCCTCAATGATACCCGGCAAATCCAGCAGCTGAATCTCGGCGCCGCCATATTCAAGAACGCCAGGAATGGCGGTGAGCGTTGTGAATGCGTACGATGCAACTTCGGACTTGGTTTTGGTGACTTTCGAGAGGAAGGTCGACTTGCCCACTGATGGAAACCCGACCAGCGCTATCCGGGCATCACCACTTTTGCTCACGTCAAAGCCAGCACCACCGCCGCCACCTGATCCCGGGCCTGGTTCCAGCAATTGTGCGCGAAGCCGTGCAAGTTTTCTGCCAGGCTGTTAGAAAGCTGAAATGTTCTTCTTGGGCCCAATCACTTACTCACCCCTTTAACAGACCCAGATGATATTCTGGCAAAATACCATCAGTAATATGATACAAGCCAAGCTGAAAGGTGGAGAAAGTGCGTACCCGTTGCCTTGTTCTCTGCAGCATATGTCAGCCAACAAGTTCCGGCGGATAGGTAGTTGTGTTGTGGCGCAACTAACTCTGGGTCTTCCTCATCTCCTCCTCGATCCTGTCCTGTGTGAGTTCAACGTCCTGACGACGGTGAAAAATAGCGCCCTTACTCCTTGATCTTCTCTGTAATGTTCACCATCTTGGCCGTGTGTAGGAAGAAGCGCCTTACACTTCCCTTGCTGGAGTGATGAACACGAATTGCACGGCAGCTTTGATGCTTGTAAAATGCCTTTGACTTTTACGGATCCCCGGCCAGCCAAAGTGAATTAACCCCACGTTTCGACGGCAGAATTTCTGAAGCGGGGTGTGTCAGGGGCAAGAACCGCCTCGCCGCCTTCTCCAGGCCTGCCAAGCTGCGGCGAGTGGGCCGGTCGCTTGTGGGTCTAGCAAGGGTGAGGTGCGCCAAGCAACGGAACTGACCCAACCAAAGTCATCCCGAGAAACTTCAATCTCCGGACTTGGAAGCTTCGCGCTCGTCTCCCACTTCAGCAACCTTCGACCATCGCGCGCACCTTACCGACCGACTACCATCTCAATTCGAGAGCTGCCCACTTGGTCATGGCAGAAGTCGAGACGAGGCCTGATGCGGACGTCACAGCTCCCGATGACGCGCACGTCGGCGCGCAAGAGTCCGTCCTCACGACAGGTAGCAACGAGGTGGCGGCCCCAACAGAGAAGAAAGTGAAGAAGATTATCCGGCGGAAGAAGCGCCCGGCGCGGCCACAGATCGACCCAGCCTTGATCAAGTCGGAACCGCCACCACAGACGGGCACCGTGTTCAACATTTGGTACAACAAGTGGTCTGGCGGCGACCGTGAGGACAAGTACCTGTCGCAGACCCACGCCAAAGGGAGGTGCAATATTGCCCATGACTCTGGGTACACGCGCGCTGATTCGCGGCCGGGGTCGTATTTCTGTCTGTTCTTCGCAAGGGGAATATGGTACGTTGCTTTGCCGTCATCTCGGTTGGTGTTACCATGGAGCGGTTGCTGACGATTACGTAGCCCCAAAGGACAAGACTGCGATTACCTACACCGATTACCCGGCGTTCACGACATATTCAACCCGAATGTCGACTGCTTCGGGCGCGACAAATTCAGCGACTACCGTGACGACATGGGGGGCGTTGGCAGTTTCACCCGCCAGAACCGGACCATCTACATTGGCCGGATCCATGTTACGGACGATATCGAAGAGATCGTTGCGCGGCACTTCGCGGAGTGGGGCCAAATCGAGCGCATCCGCGTGCTTAACACCAGGGGAGTGGCATTCGTGACCTACACCAACGAGGCAAATGCGCAGTTTGCAAAGGAGGCCATGGCTCATCAGTACGTATCAGAGAAGGCTGTATCTCCGTTCCTTCTCCGCTGACATGCTTCAGGTCTCTGGATCACAACGAGATCCTGAACGTTCGGTGGGCGACAGCAGACCCAAACCCGATGGCGCAAAAACGCGAGGCGCGGCGTATCGAGGAGCAAGCAGCGGAGGCCATTCGGAAGGCGTTGCCGGCGGAATTTATTGCTGAGATTGAGGGCAAGGACCCGGAGGCGCGGAAACGTCGGAAATTGGAAAGCAGTTATGGCTTGGAAGGGTACGAAGCCCCAGATGAGGTGCACTTCGCTCGGGGACCGAATGCTGTCAACCCGAGGGGCCGAGAAGGGTACGAACTTGAGCATGAGCAGCGGCTCATGCTGCAGGCGGCGGAGGCTCAATTCGCAGAGCACGCGCAACCTCCAGCGCAGGGTGAGGCAAAATCGGGGGGAATTCTTTCGGGCAGCACTTTGGCCGCTTTACAATCAGCCCAGGTGGCTGTTGCCACAAAAGCGAAGGCCACTGCTCCATCCGGGCCGTTAGTTGCCTACGACAGCGATGACAGCGATTAAAGAATGCGGACCATTCACCCCGCGTACCAGTTGATAATACCACCAAATAAGACAGCATTGATGCTGTTTCATGACGTTTCTGTATTGGATCTATTTGCCCTGTATCAACTATTGAATATCCTCGAGTACAAAGCCTCATGCCTCCCCACCCACAGATCCATGACCGGCAGGTTCTGCCCGGCCTCCTCGACTCTGGTATGCCACTCGCGCTCGATCATGGCCGTGATCAGGCCCTGCACCGTCTCGCTCGCCAGCGTCTTTTGCGCCTGGTACGGTCCAAACATGCCCGCCCGCACGGCCGCGGACACGAGCGCCTTGACGTGGCCCAGCATGAACACGTATGCAGCCTGTTCCAGCCCGAGCCCGACCAGCGCACAGATGACGCCGAATAGCGGCGCCAGGTGCGCTGCGACCGCCGGCGGGTCGTCCCCGCATCCTCCTGCTGCTTTTCCTCTCCCGTATACTACTACTGGTTCTCTCTGTGCAGATGAGGATGAGCCAGCCGTCGTGGCAGTGGATTTTCGCAGGAGCACAGAAAACCCCCTCAGTGCTTCCGCCCCTCCCCTATCATCCTCATCACCACCACCACCACCACCACCCCCGGCGGCCACACACTCGGCAAACGACCTCTCCCAGATCGAAAGCAGCGCCCTCCCCTGCGCGACCGACGCCCTCCTCCCGACCGTGCACACGATGCTCGCGTCCAGGACGTCGTCGAGCGCAGCCAGGTTCGGCAGGGACGGGTCGCGGTGCGCGGCGAGGACAAAGGGGAGGGTGGTGGAGGCATAGGAAGAGATGGACAGCGGCAAGAAGGCGGCGAAGGAGGCGGGCTGGTAAAAGACGGATTTCTGGTGGGCGAGGTAGCTTTCGAGTCCCGAGGAGAAGGCGAAGCTTCCGAGAGGGAGAGCGGAGTCGGAGAGGAGGAGGAGGAAGTGGTTCGGGGAGGTCAGAGTCGACGAAAAAGGTTCTTTGTGAGGGTTAGTAAGGTGATGAGTGGGACAGGTGGTTCGCCTTTGGGGCTTACTTAACAGTGGTGGATGAGAGTGAGAAGTGAGTTGTTGACGCTTGGCTTTGGCTTGGGCTAGCTGGTGCTCAAGGCCGGCGATCTCAATGTCTAATTCGATCTCGCCCAAATGGGCCCTTCCAGGCGGATTGGCACTCATCTTGGCGATTCATGGTCACATTTTGTTGTTTGAAAGTGAGAATGGTGGTGGTCAAAGACGCTCGACAGCGTCGCTGATAAGCTTATCTACGCTTACCCCTGATTATGACATTCGCAATTACAACGCTATTCCCAACACCTCGACTTCAACCATGAAGCCAGCTCGGTTTGAAGGAGACAGACAGATGGTATCTCAATACCATGTCGAACCCAACCTGCCCGTAATGTGAAAAGAACCAAGATTCCCAAAACCAGCCGATGACAAGACAACAAACGCCCCCAACCCAGTCATATCAATCCATCATGCCATCACGGCCGAGCATTCTCCTTATCTCGCCCGAGCTGCTGCTGTAACATCTTCCGCTCCTTGATCCTCTTCTGTATTCGGGCAAGTGCAGCTGTTTTTCGGTGCTCCGGCAGCGTCGTCCGTGATGTGTTCATCGTGCTCCAGATGGCACTGCTCTGCGCGTTTGTGCCGCCAAGGTCTGGTGAGGTATCGCTCTCTCGCGACAGCGGACGGGGCGGCGGGGGATTCTTCGTCTGTTGTTCGAGCGGAGTCCTGCTGGCACGTTTATCGCGAGCTTCGGCGAGGATGTCGTCGAGAGTCGCGTTCTCCGTTGACGTAGCTGTCCAGGTGGATCGTGTCGGCCGGTCAGTACGGCTCGTCTGGTCTTCCCGCGAGTGCGCAGAGCGGCCGCTCGATGTGGAATTGTGACTATCCTGTAGGTTTCCGCGATCGCTAAAGACGGAAGAAGCAAGCAGCGCTTTCGTGCCAAACTCGGCTTCGAGCTTCTCCCTAAGAGCCCGGGCTTGCGCAAGAGTCGCGTCGTTGTGAGACGCACGCTTGGAGAGGTCGGGGCTGCGCTTGTCTCTTGGCCTCGTCTCGGCGGATGCTGCCGATGCGGTCGTGCCCCTCTGGCCGACCCATTGTTTCAACTCAGTGATGCCCTTCTGCAGCCCGGCACCTTCCTCTCCTACTGGTTCCGGCGGCTTGAGCGCCGTAGATTTCTCACCAAGGCTCTTTGCCCGGACTGACCAGCTTGTTCGCCTTGGCTGTGCTTCACCGCTCCTGAGCGACTCTACCGCTTCTTGAAGCTCAGAGATTGTTTCGTTCTTCTTCTTTAAGACCTGCTGGGCCTCAAGATACCGGGCCTTGGCGTCATCCTTCAACTTTTCGTACGATCCTTTAGAGTCCTCCAGCCGCTTCTCGAGTTCTTCGATCCTTGAGATGCTCAGGGACAGCTCGCTGGACAGTTTGCGATTCTCCTCAGCGAGCTTGCTGGCTCGTTGTTCCGCAAACTTCAGGTCGGACCTGAGTCGATCTCGTTCCTCTTCGAGTCTCTCAAGCTCGCGGACCTGCGCCCTCGCCCGCCTCAATTCACGCTGAGCTTCCATCAGCGTTCGTTGTGTCCGGGGCGATGCTGTTCGCCGTCGCCGATTGGGTTCATTCCCAGCCTCGTCGACATCTCCCGGCAGCAAGGACTCTAACTCCTCCACCTGCTTCTTGTACTCGACCGCAAGAGCTGTCTGCTTGGCGAGCTCTTCAACCAACGCCGGGTTGCTTTCGCCACCCTCCTTCCTGGCGGCTAAGGATGCTTGCCGGGTCATGTCGGCAACCTTTTCCTCCATTGCCTTGACTTTCTCCTGCTCCTCCTTGAGCTTCTGGTGGAGTTCAAGGGCCTCGGCATCCTTCATTTTTGCATAAGACTTGGCGAGATGCTTGTACTTGACAAGCTTCTCCATCTCAGCCTTTGCATCGGTGTGATAGGTCTCGAAGTGGGACTTCCAGTATTTCCCAGAACGCGAGTGCGGTTCATTCAGATCCGTGGTGATGTCGGGTTCGAAATCTGACTCGTCGTCATCCACTTCCTCCCATGCATCCTCTGGCTCCTTTGAAGTATAAGCAAAGTCCTTCTCGTCGGTCTCGAGCGCACTGATGCCCTTGCGGGAGCTCTCCATGGCCTGCTGCAGTTTCGTCTTTGGTCGTGATTGCGCGCTCTCGCCATTCCGATCAACCCATGAACTGGGAAACTTGCCAGGACACTCTTCCGGCAACCCGCTGGTGCTGGTTCTTGCGGTCCCTCCCGAGCCTTGCTTGACATCATGGCCGAACGAGACGCGTTTTCGACGCGTTGTACCTGTTCCTGGCGTAAGGAGAATCCCGGGAGGCTTCGCTGGCGATTTGTCTATTGAAAATGCTGGGTTGGAATTCTGCTGGCTGGTTTGATCCTTGGTCGTCTTCGCCGCCCGGCGATCTCTGGGCGCTGGGGTGCCAAACAAGGCGGTCTTCAGGGCGCGCACGGCAAACACGGGCGCAGGAGTATCGGGCACGTCAAGTTGTGTGGTATCGTCTGGATATTTGTGAGTCCCGGGTTCCGCTGCGCTTCTTGGAACAAGGAGTGTGTTATGCGTACCAGATACCGGCGCGTCGCGCGCGCTGTCCGAATTGCGCTTCAGCGCCCAGCTAATCATTGTGACTGCCAGTTATTAGTTAAAAAAAGAGCGAACGTGGTGGCGGCGGCAGTGTGCGCTTCCGCAAGCTGGTCCATCGACAGGTTCGCGATCAACCGACTCTGGCGCAACATCGGAAGTAGGTATATCCGTCTGTTGCTGTTTGTTGATTGCCAGAAGCAGCCACTCAACTCACATCAGATGTTGTGGGGCTATTTCGTGTAGGTGGGGGCTTTGTCTGAGCAAGTGGAGCCGCTCTGTGTTGTAATCCGTACCTTAATCCGTACAGTATATCGTATCGTACTCACCTTACGTACAAACCTTAAGGTACGCTACCTCGGCTACCTTGCCGGGTTCCTGGGAACAACAAAAGACGAGCTCCAACCCATCACTGCCAACGATAAGCCCCGCCATCTCAACTTCAAGCCACACTTTGGCTCTACTTTAACCCATCTTCTACAGTCACACCATTCCATCACACATGCAACGTTCTTGAGAAATGATGGGCTCAACTCGGTAAAATCTTACTCACAGCCAAAGGCAATCTTGGCTGTGTAGTGAGTTACAGTAATCCCCATCGCGGGTACCACGTCCGAGTCCAATCTTGTCTCACCCTGAGTCGATAGACCTCCCTATGGTTTCACCTTCGGCCATTCAAGTCACTCCAAACCAGCTATGGCGCCCAAGAAGAAGCCCGTCCAACCACACAATAGAAATGGAGACGACAACTTCCCAGGGCTCAACAACAAGGGCCCTGGGAAACCTGCAACCAAGACACAATACCAAGAGCTGCAGGAAAACGAGGTGTTGGCACTGAAGGCCATTTATGGAGAGGACTTCATTGAGCATAGTGCTGCACATAGTGCGTGGCATGTAAGCTTGACATGGTTGCATGCTGGGACGTTTGCAGCTCATGCATAACTGACATCTCAATAGAAATCTGAACCGTCTTTCGACATCCGTATCAAGGCTTCATCAGACGACGACTTTGTCATGACCCTTGGGGTGGTTCTAGTGGCCACGTACCCCAAGTCTCCTCCACTTTTGACCATCAAGGATGCCGGCGACTTGCGTGACTCGACCAAGTTCAAGATTCAAAAGTTCGTCGACACGCAGCCAAGGATATGGGCCGCCGAACAGCGAGAAATGATCGACGGCCTCGTCGAGGGCATCCGCGAGATTTTGGAGGCCGCGGCCCTGAAGAAGGCCCAGGGCCTGGAACTTCCGTCCCTGGAGGAAGAGCGAGCGGCCCATGAGGCTGAGTTGGCGAAGCAGGCCCGAGACGAAAAGGAGCTGGAAGAGCGCAAGAAGCTCGAGGAAATTAAGGAGGAGGAGCGCGGTATGTCTCACAACTCTCTTGATCGGTGATTACGTTGCTGACTTAGGACGCGCAGTCCTCGGTGATATGGTCCAAGAAGAGCTCCGACGGCAGAAGTCCAAGGCAAAAGAGTCTAGAAAGAAGAACCGGAGTCAACAGTTATCGCCTGACCGCGTTGCTGAAGACCCCACCGAGACCGATGTTGCTCTCCTCTTTGACCAGCCATGCAAGTTGACCGACGGATCGGGGAATGCCCTATATTTCCAGACCGTAATCGGAAGGATGATATACCGAGAAGGCCCGGTAACCACGGTTTACAAAGTCAAGCCTGTTCTCTCTGCGAAGAACCTGCGCCCGAGTCTCGCCCTTAAGCAAGTTGAGTTGAAGTACCACGGGAAGGACTCGGCGCAGTCAAGGAAGCAGCTGCAGTTGCTGGAGATGCAGCTGGAATCGCTAAAGAAGCTGCGCCACCAAAACCTCCTGGAGCTGATCGATTACAAAATTGACCGCTCCATAAGTGACACGGACTCGTCATCGCCAGCGGTCTGGAGCATCAGTGTTCTGACGCCTCTCAGCGACAAGGGCCCGCTCGATGAACTTCTCGATCTCGCTGGCCAGATCGACATCAGCAAAGCCAAGTTATGGACTGCTGATCTCCTGGATGCACTGGCCTTTTTGCATAATCATGGCGTCGTGCATCAGGATATCCATCCTGGCAACATCCTGCTCTGCAGAGAGCCAGCGGGGGACATCGTCCCGAAGCTGGCTGATGCAGGGTACCAGAGAGAACTGCACAACATCTGCACCAAGGTGGCCACTCTGACTACGACGAGGGCGGCTAAATCAGCATACTGGTTTGCTCCCGAAATCGCCGGCGTGTCAAAACCGCAATACACGCAAAAGACGGACGTGTGGGATTTCGGGATGGTATTTTTGCAGATGCTCTTCGGTCTGAACGTGGCAGAGAAGTACCACTCTCCATCGGCATTGAGAGACTCGCTTAATCTATCCAGTCCTCTCGAGGAACTGGTTGGCAAGTTCTTCAAGTCTGACCCTAAGAAGCGACCCCGCGCCTTCGAGCTTTGCTCGAGTGAGTTCTTGGCGACCAGCGCCCCGATACTTGCCGACTATGATTCTGCTGTTATTGACGGCTCCATGATTTCTACGTCCCAAGGTTTGCCGCGGAGGCTGCGTCACGATTCCATGAATCGCAGTAACACCAGTTCCAGGTATCTCCAAGATTACGTCGAGGAGGCTCGGCTGGGCAAAGGGGGTTTCGGAGAGGTGGTCAGAGCTCGCAAGATGATCGATGGCCGTCTCTATGCCATCAAGAAGATCACGCAGCGGTCTCAGGAGACGCTGTCCGAAATGCTCAAAGAAGTCAGATTGCTTTCGCAGATGAACCATCCCGCTGTAGTGCGGTATTACAACACTTGGCTCGAGGAGGTTCCCGATCTTTCCGACGCGGAGGGGGACACGTCAACAGAGGGCGCAGGTGCTGAAACTTCCAGGGGAACACTTTCTCAGAATATCAATATCGAGTTCACCGAAAGCAAGAGCCGAGGTCTGGACTTCATGTCGTCAAGCGGGCACCCATACATCGAATTTGGCTACGAATCCGCCATTGAAGACGACGAGGATGACGAAGACGATGAAGGTGAAGACAGTTCCTTGTCATCCGACGAAGACACATCGACCTTGAATAGCAAGGCTCCAAGAGAGCAGCTACTCGTCCCGAATAAGCGCATCAGGAGAGGAAGTACTCGCCCCTTCCGTACCATCATGTACATTTCCATGGAATATTGCGAAAAGCGAGTAGGTTTCCCATCTTCCTTCACACATTCCTGTTCATGGGGCGCTGACGCATGCAGACTCTCCGGGATTTGATAGCGCGCAACCTGTACAAGGAGATCCAAGAAATTTGGCGTTTATTCCGTCAAATTCTCGAGGGCCTTGCTCACATCCACAGCCTCAACATTGTCCACCGGGATCTGAAGCCTGAGAACATCTTCATCAGCGCCGGCCCGGATGGGGTTGAGAATGTGAAGATCGGTGATTTTGGTTTGGCAACGAGCGGACAGTTGGCTATGGACAAGACTGTCGCCAACGTGGATGCCAGCGACATCACCCGGAGCATCGGCACGGCCGTCTATGTCGCCCCCGAAGTGAGAACGGGGGGCAGCGGCTCGTACACAGCGAAAGTGGATGTAGGTACCTGGCCACCCATCGCTATGTTCATAATGTTGATATCCGACAGATGTATTCCCTTGGCGTCATCTTCTTCGAGATGTCGTATCCCCCTATGCTGGGCATGCAGCGCGCGCAGGTCCTTGAGCAAGTGCGGCGGAACCCACCCGCTCTTCCCTTGGACTTCAAGCCTGCCGATAAGAATCACTCCGACATCTTGCTGTCGCTTCTGAGCCATCACTCTAAAGAGCGGCCCTCCAGCGTCGAGCTATTGAAAAGCGGCAAGATGCCGGTTCAGATGGAGAGTGAGGCGATTCGACGTGCCATTGCTGGCGTGGCTGATCCGAATTCGCCGTATTTCCAGAAGATGCTCGATACGCTGTTTGCTCGCCAGATCGAACCGGCAAAAGACTATGCTTGGGATATGTCTTCCTCAACCCCTAGCCCAGCCGACCTGATGCGCCGGTACATCGTCAAGGACACGCTGATATCTATCTTTCGGCGGCACGGCGCTGTCGAGGCTCCACCCGCGTGCCTGTATCCCCGATCCTCGCACTACGGGCAGTATGCGGTCCATTTGCTTGACCGAAACGGTACCGTCCTCCAGCTCCCATTTGACTTGGTGATGGGCCACGCCCGGTCCCTGGCAAGAATCACGAACTGCGCTGTCCCGCAACGTTCTTACTCGTTCGGAAACATCTACCGCGACCGCCATGACGGCGGGCAGCCCGATGTCTACGGAGAAGTTGACTTCGACATTGTCACAACCGATGCTTTGGACCTTGCTCTGAAGGAAGCTGAGGTCATCAAGGTTCTGGATGAGATAGTTGCTGCTTTCCCAACGACGTCGTCGACTCCGGTCTGCTACCACCTGGGCCATTCCGACCTCTTGCATTTGATATTTGAGTTCTGCGGGGTGGAAGTTGGTGCCAGACAGGCTGCTGCCGAGGTCCTCAGCAAGCTGAATATACGAAACTTTACCTGGCAAAAAGTTCGGATTGAGCTCCGGTCGCCTTTGGTAGGCATCTCGGCTACCAGCGTCGACGAGCTGCAGAGATTCGATTTCAGGGGTAAGCAGGTCGAACCTCTACGGATTCCAGACATGCACGGCTCGCTAACTCTTCGTAGACACGCCCAGTAAGGCCATCACAAAGCTGAGGAATCTCTTTGACGGGACCGAGTACAGTGAGAAAGTGTCATCGACGTTGGCCCACTTGAGGGAAGTCTACGAGTATACCAAGAAATTCGGCCTCAACAGCAAGGTCTACATTGCCCCGCTCAGCAGCATCAACGAGTCGTTCTTCCGTGGAGGCTTTCTCTTCGCTTGTCTGTATGACAAGAAGGTCAAAGATGTCTTTGCCGCCGGCGGCCGCTATGATGGGTTGATCAAGGAACACCGTCCCAAAATCGGCAGCCGGTTTGAAGAGCGACACGCGGTGGGCTTTAGTCTGAACTGGGAGAAGCAGCTCGCAAAACAAGTACCCAAGACGACGGGCAAGGCGTTTCTCAAGAAGGCGGTTGAGGAAGAAGCCCAGGGCATCTTCTGCGCAAAAAGAGTTGGTCTTCGCACACTATCCTCGGTTCTGAGACAACTGACTAACACGCGCAGTGCGATGTGCTTGTCGCCAGCTTCGACCCGTCTGTCCTGCGTTCTTCGGGCATTGAGCTGTTACAAACCCTCTGGGCACATGGCATTAGCGCCGAGCTCGCCCGCGACGCCCGCTCCCCCGAAGACCTCCTCTCGGCCTACCGGGACGAATCCTACAGCTGGATCGTCATCATCAAGCAGGATAACCAGCTCAAGATCAAAACTCCGGGCCGCAAGGACGCACCGGACGCGGATATTGCCGCCAAGGAACTCTTGTCCTGGCTCAAATCCGAAATCCGCGAGAGAGAGTCCCGCTCAGGCATGAAGTACCGCAGCACCGCCGGCATGGTGCCGCACTCCGACTCTGCCAGCGCCCTCCTCCCCGCCTCGGCGACAACCGAGCGCAACGAGCAGCAGGACGTGCACGTGCTGGTGGCGCAGACAAAGTCCAAAAAGTTCAATCGGCGCGCCGTCGTGGAGCAGGCGCAGACCAGCGCGGCCAGGCTGGTGCAGTCGTTCCTCGAGGGCCCCATCGCCGCCATCGAGACGTCGGACGCCGTCATGGACCTGATCCGGGGCACGAGCCTGTCGGACCCGGAGAGCTGGCGCCGGGTCGAGCACAGCGTCGGGACGGCCGAGAAGAAGTATGTCCGGGAGATTCACGACATGCTCAAGCAGTGGCGGTGGGAGTGGGAGGCCAAGAAGGAGAAGGACGGGAGTGGGAGTAATGCGTTTGTGTATAACTTTCGCACGGGGACATGTGTTTACTATGACTTGGGAGCTTAGGAAGCTTCTACGGCATCGGCATCGGGCTCGGGTTCAGGATCGGGATCAACGAGGGAGAAGAGGGCGAGGAGATGGTCTGTTGGTATCTGAGAGAGATCTATTTGGCTTGGGCAGTCTATGGGGGTATCCTGGTTTAGGGCTTAGGTCTCCTCTCTGGTTGCGGCTCTGAGTTAGTTTGGTTGTTTGCCTGCTTAGGTTTTGCGGCAGTGCATCGTGCATGCACCTTGTTCCTGCATTGAGATATACGGATAGCACGCTTTTGTTGATACCCCTGAATGCGCGGAGACTACCTGACGGCTGGTTGGAGGTTCCATAAGTGTACGGAGTACCTAACTCAGCAAACGATTGTTCCACTTTCTCTGTGAATTTCTTGGTTCCCAGAAAGGCTAAGAATATGGATGGTAGCTGGGTTCTGGAATGATGACTGTCCTGGCCTCAGGGAAGGGCCGCATTGTTGTCAAACCTCATGCAATTATGAGTCCCCCTTCATTTCGCCATTTGTGGCGAATTACCTTATACACAAGGTCGTCCATTCATTGGCCTCATAGTCTGTATAACATTTGTTTGTAATGGATAGGAAAGGGGTTTGTTAGCAGGATCTAATGCGTGTTTGGGAGTGACAATAATCATTGTCATTCTGATTGTATTTCTGCTAAGCTCACTTGATGTGCTCAACAACAAAGAGTGCTCGGGCTTGTCAAGTCAGGCGTGTCTACGGATTATCTCTGAGCGTGTATTGAGACCACCCGCTTTTACGTTTGTGGGTCTGCTCAGAAACAATGGCGAGGCAACCTGTCAATGACGGGACCTGGACCATTTCCTGCTTCGGCGGGCCGGCGATCGGACTTACATGGATTGGATGTCAACTCTTACCTGACCCGGCGAGCATGATAAGTCGGAGCTATAATACCAAGACATTCCATCCTGCTCCATCTCTTCACACCATAGGTGTTGTTCCTTTTGGATTTGTTCGTTTCAACTTCCTAATACCGCGATACGCCTTGTTCGAAGTTACCGAATAGAAACGCGGATCTGACATTTCTCTTCGATTCGCCGCCGCCGCCTCCTCCTCCTCTCCGCCTTTCCGCCCTTTGCCTGCCCGATCTCTGTCCTGCCTTCGGTCCTAAGTCTGACACAGCACCCGGTAGCCGCTCGTTCTTCTTCTATCAAAACTTCCGTTTATCACAATTTACACGTTCCGGTACCCCGACACTCTCCCGACCCCGCTGCGCACTACCTAAGCCCCAGTCATTCGCCGTCGGTTTGTGCGTATCAGTCAACATGTCATATGCCGTGGCGCCCACCGGCGCGAGGACGCGCCTCATGAGCGAGATGAGGGCGTTGCGGAAGGAGAAATGGATACACTTTGAAGATGTAGGTGGTGGTCAGTCCGGCAGTGCCACCGAGCTTCAAGCTGACGGCTCTACCTATGGCAGGATGACACAGACAACATTCTCAAGTGGCACTTCGGCCTCATGGTAATCAACTCCGAGAGCGCCTTCAACGGCGGCTACTTCAGGGCGGAAATGGTCTTCACCGACGAGTACCCGTACCAGCCGCCCAAATTCCGCTTCCTAATCCCCATTACCCACCCCAACATCTACCCCGACGGGCAGCTATGCATCTCGATCCTACACAAGCCGGGCGAGGATATCATGTCGGGCGAGGAGGCGAGCGAGAGATGGTCGCCGCTGCAGGGGGCCGAGAGCGTGCTGCGCTCTGTTCTGCTGCTGCTTGATGACCCCGAGATCAACTCTCCGGCCAACGTCGACGCCGGCGTCATGTACCGCGACCGCCGCGACGAATACCTCCAGAAGGCCCGCGAGACCGTTGATAAGTCCAAGAAGGACATTCCCGTCGGCTTCGAGATGCCGACGACTTTCGAAGCCGCGCCCCCGCCCAAGCAAGAGAACGACAACGACTTTTGGGCGGACGAGAGCGACGAGGAATACGACTTTGGCGGTAGCGACACCGGCGACGATGAAGAAATGGGCGATTTCGAGGACGAGGAAGAAGGCGATGAGGAGGGCGAGGAAGACGAGGAGCAGGACGGCAGCGAGGAGGACGACGAGGAACACGATGCCGTCTACTGAGGCGCCATCGGTGGCTTACATGAGCCTGCCTTACTTCCATGCTGCTGGACGCCGCCTCTGATACCATTTGATTTTCTTTCGTTTTCGCTTTGGTTCTCTTGTGGCATGCATAGCGTTGGTGAGCACCACGGGGTGGGCGTTTTGAAGGCCTATGCCCATGGGTAGGGAACTGGGAGTATTTCGCGACATCACAACTCCTGGGATGCATATCATGGGATTTTGGTGGAGTCACAGGGAGCGGCGTGGTCTGGAGTTCAACCGCAGGATGGGAGTGGTACTAGATTGCTTTTATCTTTGCTATTTACGTTCATTGATCCACTGAACTCGACATTCTATGACGAGCAATGCCTTGATTCTCATGTTCTTGAACACTCAAAGCGTGTCATAGCAGCCCGGACGCGATTCTGGCTCCGTGTATACCTGGATGAGCGGGGACGAGAGGTCACTTGAGAAGCAGCTCGATGCCAGGACTGGCGGGTACCTCGTTAAGTCAGGTAGGGTACCTTACTTCTTCACCTGAGGGACCCTTATGTGTTGTTGCCCTCACTCAGCCTTCCTTTTGACCGGTCTTGCAGTTAGTGCTTTACTTTGAGATTCAACTTCGAACTGAGGATGTCTGTCTGGTAAGTGTAGTATGGAGGTACTTGTACAATACCAAAGCTTCGTGAACTGTCCGCGGGGTTACCGACAGGGGATATGAAAACTGCTGTGAGGTGCGACCGCCCCACCTCCCCAAACGTATTTTCAAGATCATATGCATTGCGCGGCATTGCACTGTCACGGGCTGGACAGACTGGTAGTCTACTCTGTAATGACAGTTGTATTCGGGATAAGCTACAGTCTAGGCTCTATTTGCCCGTGCGGGGATCGCATCGGCCCGCCAAGACCCGAGCTTGGATTGGAGTGGGCAGCTTCCCAAAGGTGCACGATTGACCTCGACAAACACCCACGCCAGCTTGCTCACGTTCATGAGCAGATTAAAATGAAATATGCACACGTTCTGTGCTCTTGACTGGAGCTGGTTTTATCTTTAAGTTATACTCACAGGTTCATTGAGCATCCACAGTCCTGACTATACGCACGGGTCGGGACCGCCGAGATTCAAGACCAGGACCAGATCAGAGCTCCGTGCCATCACCACACTTTCTGGTAGCGGGTCGCCTGTTGCTACTCACTCGACACCCGCCGACTTCACAAATCGAATTGCCGCATTCCATTTCAACTTCACTTCTCTGTATGACATCTTGAACCTGGCTTCAAATAACGTCTTAGCGTCCGACGGCGCAGCCATCGCGGGAGCGGGACAGTCAACATGGCATATAATGGGGGATCCGTCTCTGCGGAGCAGGTCGACATGGTGACGATGGTCACTGGCTTCGCGGACCAAGCTTTGATTAGGAATGCGCTGCAGGACAACCATGGCAATGTCTCGAACGTTATTAATGAGTATCTGGACGACGCTGAAAAGGTCAATCCATGCTTCCGTCTGCTGCACCCGGCCCAGCTTCGCCCTTGCTGATGCTGTCACAGTTTCGACGGAAGTATGGCTGGGACGAGAACGCATTCTCCGCGGGCCGCGAAGGCGAGAACACTCCGGGGAGCAACGCCAACGGCCCTGGTGCGTACCCTGCCCTGCGCAACGTCCATCCCACCGTGTAGGTGCTGACGAGAATTTGGCTTAGCATTTGTGGTACACCCGCCAGTTATTTACGGGACCGAGCCGAGCAGCTTCTTCGACACTGCCCCCTCACGGCCTCCGTCGAGAGCAAATAACAGATCGCCCATGAGCCGTCTGGTCGACGTTGCCGTCGGCGAGTACACGACAGATGCGCCGAGCAACCGGCAGGAGGAAGAAGACCAACTACGGCGGGCCATCAACGAATCCTTGAGCGCGTCGGGCGTCCAAAGTCCCCAGACATTCCCGCCGCCCCCACCGCCGCTCCCGCAGCAGTCGGGCATTACCAATAGCCCTGGGCTCCTTCCGATACACTTTGGTCCTGCCAACCGCCTGGACTACGATCCGGACGAGTGGGCAATGATTGAGCTGAAAAATAGAGAGACCGATCCGGACCCGTCTCTTAGGGCGAGGAAGGCCGGAGCCCCGGTGCTCTTACGTTGTCGCCAAGAAAAGGTCTGGGAGAAGCATCGCATCGGGGCCCTTTTGATGATACTTCAGCAAATCCCTGCTGCCCGCAACGCGCTGCTCCAGTGCGGCGAGACGCCCCGCTACGGTTATGGTACCAACGGCGACTGGTGGCAAGGACAGCCGATATTGCCGCCAAGTCAGATGGCCCCTAATGGATGGCCCAACGACTCGGCTGTGTCTTGGTCAGACGAGCTTCATCGCTTGATCGCCTTTCTCGAGGCAACGGAGCGGTCGTATGGAACAGCCGATATCCTCCCTCAAGCTAGCAATCTCGCCGGAAAGGAGACTGGAGACGCGGAAAAGGACTTCTTTTCGAACTTCGCGGAATTGCACCCAGCCGAGGGCCCCAACGAGAACAGGGAGGCGCTCATCTCCTCAGTCGAGATTGTGGCATTTGATGACGGCAGTCCACAAGGTGGTGACCGATTCGGTCTTTTGGACCTTCAGGTCAGCAAAGACGCCGACCCCCAACCTGAAGATCTGTACAACGTTATGGATTGGCTCTTCTTTCCGGACCTGAAGCTTGCCAAGGAAGACCCAAGCGCTGCGCGGATGGCGTGGATAACCCAACCCTCCGATATTATTACATGTCGCCTCCAGGCAGACGATGGGCTGCCCGGGCCGCTCCTGTTACCCGAAACTTTCTTTCTGGACCGGTACATGAGAACTCGGGGCAAAGAGATCCATGAGATCCAGATGGATATGATTGCCTTGTGGAAGGCGTACGATGCCTGGCAGCGGAAGGAGGACGAGCTGATAAAATGGGTCAACCCACAGACGAACAAGGCCTACGACCGTAGAGTCCTGATCAAGGCCGCTGTGCGCCGCTGCCGCGAAAGGATAAGGAGAATTAGTCATCGCGCCTATTGGAGGGAGCACGAGCAGACGCCTGCTGATGGTGAGGGCGAATACTACCTACCAGAACATGTCGGTAAACCAATCCTGCTGTCCGAGGAGGCCAGCATCGTTGCCCACTACCAGGCGAAAACCCAGGAGCTCGAGGGCCAGCTAGCCGAAATGGAGCGCCTTATGAATGGTTCGTGGGACTTGACTTGAGAAGTAATGAGTTGTCGCTGACACTGAATGCCAGAACAAGCCGTACCAGAAAGGCAGACTATCCATGAAATCAAGGCCAGATTGTCTCAGCTTCTTACGAGGCCCTCCAGGGAAGAGAGGTGGAACCCCACGCACAAGTACACTCTGCGTGGCGTGGTTAGCGACCCAAACACCGTCTACCTGCGAATGCGTGGACCAGTCGGTGAGCCTGAGGCCACACCTGCCGAGGGTAGTCCCGCCTCCGGCGAGTCCGGCGAAGGGGGGTGGTGGAAGGTGTCCTTCAGGACGGAAGACAACACGGTCGAGCATACAGTGAGTTTCATTCACCTTTTCGGCTTCCTCTGGTGTTGACCGTTGCTGCAGGCCGTAGAGTACGAAAACGTCTTGCTCGAGGCCTGTGGGACTGGCTGCCAGCCCATTGCGGTATATGCAACAGACAAGGCCATGGCGCAAGAATACCTACCGCTGTCAGACGCGCTCAAGACATTTGTCAAGCTCGATAACCGCCTCTTCAAGCAGGAGCTGTTGCAGTCCAACAGGATAGGCCATAAGCGGAGCGCCGGATTGGGGGACGGCTCGCAGTCCAAGCGGCTCCAGCGGTCGGTCAGCATGGACTCTATGGCCACCAACCAGGCCTCGGCGGGAGGCTCCGATAACGATACGCGTGACGGGTCGCTCGACCCCGACCCCATAGGTACCTGGTCCGGCGGCTCGCCCGAGCGGGGTTTGGTACAAGATGACAGCATCCCCGACCTCGTTGACCAGCCTCCTCAGCATCCGCCTCCCCCGTACGCAAATGATGTCGAGATGGAGACTGGCGTGTCCCCAACGCTCGCACAGGTGACGCTGCAGGATCCAAAGAGCAGCAGTCCGCCGGCGCCAGAAATGCAGGAGCGACCGAACGCGCAGTTTGTCACGCGACCGAACATCAGCGGCAGCGGTGCGGCTGCTGGCGTAGAGGAGGAGCCCCTGATCGACCTTGGCGATGGCAACAACGGCCGGTTCGAGGCCCCCGTTAATGGCCTTTAGGAAAAGGGCTCTTCAAGGGAGTGGGGAGTGGAGCGACGTGGTCATTCAGGACTGTCAGGAATGAACTTGAACCAGCCTTCGTCATCGTCGGCGTCGTCGTCGTCCCGAATCGAATCAGGCTCCCCGAGTGCCGACAGGGAAGCTGTGAAGGGGGTAATCCTCCCTGCTCTGAGACCAAAGAGGAGGGTGATGAGCGAGGCGGATCCGGCGGGCGTGACGAAACGGGCCCGGACGAGTGGGTGCTGGTGGTGAGGATGAATGTCGGGTTGGGTCGCATTATCAGTTGTTCAGTCATCAGCGTGGTTTTAGCACGGTGGGTTGGGAACGGGGGATAGAATACGGACTACACATTCTGTCAGTTTTAGAGAACCTCAGCGGGGTTCTGGTTGACGTTATCAGGTTAGTGGTAATGTAGGCATGACTTGGGAGTAGCATCCGGATGCATTGGACGGTATGATACCCCTGAGCAAGTCCATCATCTTGACGTTTAGCTGCCAATATGGTGAATTGGAGATGGCAGTGAATGCTGCCTTTTGAAAGAGTTACAGTAGGGAAGGGCATCTGGCACTATGCTCCTGGTCGCACCGCACTATGTGGGGTGACACTAACACACATCGCAGGCCACATCGCTCAATTGAACTACATCCCATCACATCACTCAAATACAGTCAAACGCCTGCAGAGCAATGGAAATGTACTACAGTTCAATTGACGATGTGCAATACGATATATCGTGTGATGCAAAGGTGCGACAGCGAAAAATGCGTCAGGCGATAGCTCTCTGCGCCGCACCCACATCGCCAATCCACCGGACATCGCACTGCACGGCGCATCACATCGCTCAATTGAACCACCATAGAGCAATGTACTTGATAGATCTAAGTGCACGAAGATGCAGTTCAATTGAGCGATGCAGTACACCTTACAGTAAGTACGACGTCCGGGTGACATGTGATGTAGGTTCAGTTCACAATAAAAATTAACTAAAAGTAAAAAAATGGGGGGCAGGGTTGGGGTTTTGTATGAGGGGAGTAGCCCCACATAGTGTAGTGCGACCGACAGCATTGTGCCAAATGGCCCCCTCTACATGAAATGAATGTGATCTGATATCCGCCGCGAGTATCGACATTCTTCCGAGTCGTTCCTTCATCAGCTCCGACCCCCTAGTTCGTTCCTATGTCACCGCCACCGACTCTTTTTTTACTTGACCCTCATGTGCTGGCAAAGCAGTCATTTCGCAGACCGATCCAAAATTGTGTGGTGGGAGAAGGAAGGCCAACGCCTGGCAGCCATCGGAGGGCCTGGGAGAAGCTGGTTCTCCTCCCCAGGTAACCTGATGGGTTGACCTTGTCCCACTACCGGTAACCTTATATTGGCCACCTACGGCTGGTGAGGGGAAAGACTTAGATTTGGCTCTGTTCATATCATCAGTGTGTTCGCAAGATGCTGCTGTTGATGGTTATATGCGTCTTGCAGGGCGGACACGGCATCCCTGGCCTTCTTGTTGGCACTCTCCAGGTCTGCCACGCGCTGCAGCAGACCGACCCAATCCGCCGGGTTTCGGGCGCGCTAGCGAGACGCTGCCTCGAGCTGCCGAACGCGCTGCTGGGTCTGGCGCAGCTCCGCCTCGACCTGCGCCGTGGTAGTCTTCTGCTCAGTGACTTCCCTGTTGAGCTGGAGGATGGCCGTGTTCAGCGCCTTGAACAGTTCGGTTGAGGCAGCCTGCGCCGAGGTGAGGTTGTCCTTCCATGCCGATCCGAGCGCTGGGATTCTGGATGAGGGGCCGTCTGAGGAGCTGAACACACCTATGAATTTGTTGGCGCTCTCAGCCTGAGTCGATGTTCTGTTGCTTTGCTCGTCGTCTCCGGTTGACCGGTTTCGGGCGGGCATGCCGCGGGGCCGTCTTGGAAACACTGCCAGCATGAGCCCTTCGACCTTCCTCGCATCGGCTTCCTCTAGCGCGTGTGTCCTTGGTGGGCCAAGCTGGATCGGAGTCGTCCATATGCCTTTCTCTCCACTCGCGGTCATTCAGCCGTGCGTCCCTCCAGAAGCGTGTTGGACGGCTGCCAGTCAATATCCAGTCCAGGCCGCTGTGTGTAAGAGACGTGACAATGTGCGCTGGCATGTCCTCGTTGTCTAGATCGAGGTATCGGAGGGGCCGGATCTGGGTGAATGTTGGCAGGCGAGGCATCCTCGCATGATCCCTTGCCTGCATCCAACTTGCGTGGTGCCCCATCCAGACAGAAATGCTCTGTGCTGTCCGCATGAGGCTCCTCAAGATGCCGTGGTAGCTGGTTCTTTGGCCGGCAACCGGGTCTTCGTAGGGCGTGGCGTGGTGAGCCTCCGGTTGAAGTTCCACTGCAATGTTATGCAGAGCCCGATCGAGAGCGGATACTCCTCAATCAGCCTGTTGAGTTCCTCCTCCTGGGCCTCTTCCGTGTTCTCGACTTTGAAAACACTGGTCGCTCTGGTACGCACTACGCAAGCGTCGTCATCGTGATTCGGAGAGTCTGACATTAGCGTGTCGTCCATCGAGACTGCTAGTTCAGCTGACATGGGTCAGTTATGGCCCCCGAGATTCTCACGCCTGATGCAAGAGAGCCCTTACGGAAGATGAGAGCTGCAACGCCACTATAACTGGAAGATGTGCTTGAATGTTCGTCGCTATCGAGCCAGTGCTCGGCTTATGAGGCGTCGTGGAAACGTCCTGTGGCAGCAGAAGTCAGGATAAGAAGGAAAGCGTTCTGATATCGGATTGAGGGTATGGGTGTAAGGACCTTACCCAGCCTGGAGGTGAATTGATATAATACCTCGGTGATTGAGGCTCTGGCCCTACTGTGCCTTAGTTGCAGCAGCATTCAGGCAAACTGGTTAGCCAGTACCGTACTTGATGCGCCTTTAGTCAAGCAACAATGGCAAAGCGGACCTATATCCCCCTGAGGGGTTCGCAAATTAGACACAATGGCCCAAGGGCGGCCGCAACTAGACAATCTGTAGCGAGTTTCACGGGAGAGGAGGAGGCTCCACCAAGTACACCATATCCAGGCCCTTTATGGCAAAAGACGAGGTACTTGTGGCATAAATAAGACTGGCTCTAGGGAGAGTACGTCAGGTAATCACAGCTTGGCGGCTGTCAGGTGTTGGGGCATGCATGAACTCGGTTTGTGTACGTGGAATTCGCGAGCCCAAAACTGCCTTATACAAACTACTTTGTGAGGCACCAAGTTTTGAATCCTTTTGAGTAGTGATAAACAATGAATGATGGCTCTCACCATTTGTGCGAGGGCAACAATTGGGGTGCAAGATGCAGCCCAGGTTGGAAACAAGTGGCGAATTCAAAAGTTTGTCGATGTTGTGCTTAACGTCAGACACACTTTGTAATTGTCTCGCGACCCCCAATGCCTGTTGAATGGTATTCCAACAAAGACTGATCACAATATCTGTAAGTTTGAGATGGGTAGCTCAACAGTTTGGCCTCACTTCGAAGCATAACAAGGCAGGTCGGAGCATACTAGAGCAAAGACCTAGAGAATTATGCTCGCCACTTTAGATTTTGAGCAGGAGAAAGGAAAAAAGTCAGATAAGATGAAGCGGACATTAAGGTAATGATTTAAAGTATAAAAGCCCGAATTAACCAAGGGTGTGAAATTGGGCGAACTTGCTAGTTTAGACAGAGCATGGTTTAATTAGCATTAGTGCAAGCCAAAGAGACCTAGAAACCAAAAGAAGCATTGCGGGGCAGTTGTTGTCCATGGGAAGGTCCAAGCAAGGCGGGCGCCGGCCAGGAGCTGTTTGACAGCAACACTTCGCAGCTGCCAGCGACGATTATCTAAAGCTTCCAATGCGGCAAGACTTGCCCACGAGCCTACAACAAAAGTAGTGCCTTCCTTCTGCACCTCTGCTGGTCTTTCTGATTTTCCACGGCGCGCATAGTTTAACAAACCCCACGAACAAGTGAACGAGAGGAGCTTCTTGGGCAGATCAACAGCCGTCAACGACAGCACCCACCACGCACTCCTCATCTACCCTCCCGACCGATTTGAAAACACATATAAACAGCAGCACCATGTCCTCCTCGTCCAAAATTGAAAAAATTATCGCGCGCCTGCAAAAGCGCATTGCCGAAGGCGCATTCGAAGAGCAGTACGAGGCGGCCCAGGAGACCCGGCTCGTGGCGGCGCGCTACACCAAGCAGAACAACTATGGCGCGGCGGTCGACATCCTGTCCAACGTGTCGCAGGCGCTGCTGCGGGCGGGCCAGGGCGGCAGCGGCGGGGACCTGGCGATCCTGCTGGTGGACGTGTACCGGCAGGCCGGGCAGAAGCCCGACGGCGGGTCGCGCGGCAAGCTGCTGACTTGCTTGAGGCTGTTTGATCGGGACGAGCCGATGCGGAAGAAATTCATTAAGGAGATGATTGAGTGCGTTTGTCACCCATTTGGAGTTGTTATATTTTTTATTGAAATTTTCTGGAGTTTTTTTTTTTTTTTTTTTTTTTGTGGCTTGAGGGTTTGGGCGGCTGACTAGATACAACTATGCGAACACAGGTGGTCCAGAAAGTTCGGCGACTACCCGGCCGGCGACCCGGAGCTGCACCACGTGGTCGGCTCGCTGTATGCCGAGGAGTACGAGCCCGAGGAGGCGGAGCGGCACCTGATACTCGGCACCAAGGAGTCGGCCGAGGTGCTCAGCCGCATGGAGTACGAGTGGTACAAGGAGGACGACTTGCACACGGCGCCCCTCTACTGCGCCCGCGCCGTGCTCCCCTATCTACTCGTCGCCAACGTCCGCGCTGCCAACGCGTCGTACCGAGCCTTCGTCAGCGCCCTCGCCGCCGATAATAAGGGGCTGGCCGTGCAGGATGTGAGCTCTCAGGCCTCGGATGTCCGCGTCTTCCCCAGCCTGCCGCTGCTCAACTTTCTTGGGTTGCTCCTGCTGGCGGTGCAAAAGGGAAGCCCCGATTTGTTCCGGCAACTGAAGAACAAGTACGCGGCAAACCTCAGCGAGCTTGGCGGGGCGTGGGACACGGCGCTTGAGATGGTCGCCGAGATGTACTTTGGTATTCAGCGGCCGAGGCAAAGCAATCCCTTGTTCGATATGATGGGGAGCCTGTTTGGTGGCGGCGCGCCTGGTGGGGGGCAAAGTAGGCCAGCGGCTCGCCGGGTGGAGGCGCCCGCTGCCGAGGGGTTGGACTGAGTGTTCTACTTTTCAGGAGCATTGCGCATTCGAATTGAGATTCAATGACTAGAGACTTCGGCAGGAACGCCCGTCACTGGTGGCGCTGTGGTAGCTCCGGCTCATACAGCCAATTATCATCTCCTAGGGCGGCGACCTTGGCCCTCAGGCTTGCCTTGACAGCTTCGAGGAGCTCTGTGGTCGAAGCGAAATGGTTGGATTTAGTCACGCGGACAGAAGGTATGATAGAGCACTTGCTGCTGGGGAAGCAAAAGGGATCCTTGCCTTCAGGTTGCGAAGGAACACTGTGCTGGTCAATCCGATGTTGCTTCACCGCGTCGGCCAGGCGCTGCCTCTCCAACTCGTTCTCGTGTTGCGCCTCCAGGTCCTCGGGGTCGCCGATGGTCGGTGTTGGTGGGTCGCCCATCTCAATCTCGCCGTTGTCGTTGCGCACTACGATGTCGTCATCCTGGGGAAATGCTGTCTCAGGCTGGGATTGGAATTGGCTATGGTGGTGGTGCTCTTCGTGCACATCGTCATCCAAATGCAGCTCCCCAGATGGCATCGACGAGCCGGCTGGCGGACGACGCGTGATCTGGCTCTGAAAGAGATTGCGGCGCACATTGTGAGATGTGGATGCTATCCCGCTGCGAGCTTTGGAAACACCGGGCGACTGGATCCTGGAGGAGGTGGCGTGTCTGTCAGCCATAAGGAGTCGGGCAGGATTCTAGGCTATGTAATTGTAGGGCTGTTGTTGAGTGTGGAAGGGATGAAAGTTCGGCTTTGACGGCTAGTCGATGGTTTATGGGTCTGAGTAAACAAGGAGGGCTTTTGGCACTATGCTCCTAGTCGCACAGCACTATGTGGGGCCTCACCCACCATGGTGTCGGGTGCCGCATCGCTCAATTGAACTGCATCACATCGCATCAATCAAATACAGTTGAACGCTTGTAAAAAACGATGTAAATCGATGGATGTGCGCATTACACTGCAGTTCAATTGACGATGCGCAATGCGGTGTAGCGCGATGCAAAGTGCGATAGCGAAAAATGCGTCAGGGTTAGGTACAGCTTCTCTGCCCCGCAACCCAGATCGCCAGGCCACCCGGATATCGCACCGCAAGGCGCATCACATCGCTCAATCGAACATAATAGAGCGAAGCATTTTTATGGATTTGAATGCATTGAGATGCGTTTCATTTGAGCGATACAATGCGCCTTGCAGTGCGATACGAACTTCGAGAAAAGGGTTAGGTTTGAGCTTTGATGAGGGGGAGGGAGCCCCACAAAGCGCAGTGCGACTGGCAACATAGTGCCAAATACCCTCGTCTAGGAACCAGTCCAGGCACGGCTGATGCAGGTTGGCGGGCCCCACCTGGACAAAAAAAAAGGCACACCAAAAGCGTCACCCCAGAATTCAATGATCAGAAACATCAGTAGATCATGGCCGAACTGAATGATCTCAATTGCAAACTAATTCCCAGTCATAGCGCCTTCTAGTTCCAAGCAATCCTTGAAGATCTGAGGGATGTTGTCAACCCAGGCATTGATAGTCTCTTGCTTAACTGCTGCCCAGCCCTCTTCGGCTAGCTCCTTCACGATTTCATCGTCCCAGCAAGGCCTCTTCTTTACATACTGCTTCGGCCCCTGCCATGCCTTTTCAATGGGAGAAAAATCAGGGGATTGAGCGCAGTTGAAGAAAGACTCCAAGCCGTTCTGTTCCTTCCAAGCGCGTACGATATTGCTCTTGCTTGTACCGTGGCCAGAGTCATTATCCTCCTCGAGAACAAACGACTGGCCTTCGCGAAGCCAACCACCAACCACAGCCTCGAGGATGTGGTCTCTATAGACCTGCATGGTCATCTTGCCGTTGGAGTTGCCAGGTACACCATACCACACAAGCTGTGACTTGAAGTCGTACCCAACTGCCGCCCAGC